ATGGGTCTCTCTTGCTTTCGTCCCGTCTATACACTCAACTTAAACTTTTAGCTTCGAAACGTCGTGCAGCTGTGGGTCCGCTACACACGCCGCGCACACAAATGGATCCAAGCCTATCTGGAGAATACTCCGCATATGATAGGTTAACCTTCCAAAGGGTGTTTGGTTATTGACACGGCTTATTGGTGTATCAGAGCTCTGAACCAGTCAGAAATGGTTGGGGAAGAGGGATGGAGGCAGAGGCAGAGGCAGAGCAAGAATCTGGGGTTCTCTTCAGGTCTGGCTTAGTGCTTCCCTTTTTCAGGAATAGCGAGTTTACCGAGTGATATGTTCATATTTCAATTTTCTGGGGGAGAACTGGAGAGAGAGGGAGAGAAATTCCCGCAACTGGTGGTAGACGGGCTTAGCTGTTGTATGTATGCCCTGGGGTTGAGAGAGAGAAAGAGGGAAACGATACGACTTTACTATGATCTCCCGTGCATGCATCTCAAAGGCTTGAAGGTAATAAACCCATTTGGAAATGATTTTGGGTTAACGGAGTATATGGGATTACATCAGGCCGGGTTGGGCATCCTTTGTTCCTTAAATCCCTCATAATATTGCCACCTTATTTGCCTTTCTCATTTGGAGATGATGGAGAAATTCGAGATTAAACGGTCTACGTATGCTGATGTGAGACGAGGATGGGCGAAAAAGGGAAGCGGGCTGAAATTCGTGATAATTTTGGATGGTGTAGCGGGTGGTGTTGAACTTCCAAGGGTCCCGAAGATTCCAAAAATGTGATAGAAGATTTTTTTTTTTTTCAAACAGAGAACCACACACACATTTTCTATTGTGGGAGGGCCTCATAAATTGCCTGTGTATTCTTGTTACAGGGCCGAGGGGTATATCGACAGGGTCATGGTAGACTAATTCTGGGAAAGGGAACATCGGCAGGGGTGGGTGCTAATATTCGAATTATTGGGTCCCTCGTTCTTTTTTGTTAAGAAACGGGAGTGTCAAAGTTTGGGGAGATGGGACGAGGGTCTTTGGTTACTTGCAACTGTACTTGCCTTGCCTGACTATAGTAGCATTGTCGTTCGGCAGGTTGATATCAGATATTTGAGGACTTGACCTGGATGCTGTGTTCACGGTTGTCATGTTTCGTATAATTTTTTTAGGTTGGAACGAATCGGCTCTCGGCTCACTGGTCTCTCACTCTCACTCTCTTGATATGCCTCAAAGGTTGGCTGAACCGCACCAATCGTTTCCCGAGACGGCAGGGACGCAGGCCGTCAGAGCGAATATCAAACCTCCAGGAGGGCCCCGTCTACCGGCGAGCGATCACCGAGATAGGATGATATGGGATCGAATGTCGAACGACAATCATCATACGTTGATGTTCATCGCATGAGGATTTTGAACTAAAGAGGTCCAGGGAAGCTAGCCAACATATCCAAAATCCGAGGCCTCGATGCGAAAATCAATCGAGCTCCCTCTCGTTTTCGAGAAGAAAGGGTAAAGCTTCGGGTATCTTGCATGAAAAAACACAGAGACGACCTTTTGAAATGTCTCCATAATGCTAATCGAAGGTCGTACATGGCCACGGTCTGGCCAACCAGCTATATTCTGTATGTATGTGTAAATTAAATTTGCTATTGGCCTTCCCTGTCAATAGCGACCTAGCCTTTTGGCCATCTAGAAAAGGGAACACCACACATGCGCATAGCAGAAGCTGCAAGTTTGATAACGAAGGCACGATCTCAGAAGCTCCTGTCAAACAAAACGGTTGGTTTTCCTCGGCCGGTAGCGGAATATTTCGAAGCAATTCCGCGGGTATGATGCAGGATACGTTTCAGAAATCCAAAGCGTTGGATTTTTGCCTCTTGATACTGTCGATGAGCCTTTGCATAGGAAACAAGAACCTGTTGGTTATGAAGAGGTCTGTGGTTCTGATGGGCAGTCGAGAGTTTCGGTGACAAGGGTGGATAACCTCGTCCCACAAGCTTTGTTCAGGCTTTAGAGGCTAACGAATATGTACCAGCCCGTCCTGGTCCTGAGCGACAGCTATCGGATCTTGGTACTTACTACGGAGCAGTCTGAGCGCAAGGGAAAAACAAAAAGTGAATTAAGAACGAGACCCGCCTCATCCGCGCAGAGGAAACTTAAAGTTGCGCAATAATGTGGTCCCTTATGTTGGTTTCAACCGATTCGATTAAATGATTCTGATACGAAAGGGATCCATGTCGAGAAAGGAAGCATCATGCCAAAATAGAACGGTCGACGTTACGATTGTTCTTCTTCTTCTTTACATCGCGCGCGTTATGTACGGCCGGTCATGGATCAAGGGCCATGCGTTTTATTTGATTTTCGGAGGCCGAAGTTTGCTATTTGTTCCAGCGCTATCTGGAGTGGGTATAGTATAACTCCGATCCCGAGTATTCGGTAGATTCTTTGACATTTTTGGCAGAGGGATGAATTGGGTATATGTAACGGTCTGGGCCTGCTGGTTTTATCTCGAGGAAGATCAGCACTTGGCTTGCAGCTGATGGCCTGACATCCGCACTGGGCATTTTCTTCTGACCCCTCCCCGCAATACGTATTTGGGGATCGGGAAGATCTCGTTTCGAATAGGACACCATCTTTTCGTTGGGATGCCCAAGATAGGCATTCATGGGATTTAAAATACTTGTGATGATGTATATCATGTTGTGGGAACGGATATGAATCAGATATATGATTTAGTTCACGAATTGTGATATTCGAGTCGGCACATTTGCGCCAGTGTGACCCGAGCACGATCCGATATCCGGCGGCGTTAGTTTATGTTTTGTCCGAGATATCGCCTCTTCGACGACCGCTAAGACAGCAAATAAGCTAGTGAAGTGTGAAGTGTGAAATGTGAAGCGTGAGGCGAGTGAAGTGTTAGTTGCTAGCAAGCTTGGTTAGTCTTGAACATACGTATTGTCACCGCTGTCGCTCAACCCTGGTCCCGGAGGGTTGCCTTCCCTTGCCCATGACGATACTTCGGTTCAAGACCAGGGGAGAGACAGAGAAGAACCAGCTCTGGTGAAGTTGCTTTTTATCACAGAGCACTGCAATACAATATGGTTTTTCCCTGTTCAGAATAAATCGGAATTGCCAACCTTTAGGGAACAAGGGGAGTTAGTTCATCATGAAGAATTCCCATGAAATCATCTGATATGGAGGTGTCGAGGACGCAATCTTTAATATTAAAATTTGGTGAATTTTGAAGCTGAGGGTATTTTGTTCAAACTAAACTCGGCTGAGCTCCCGAATCTGTTATTAATTATTTTGCTCGCTTGAATTTCTTTTTTCTTTCTTGTCGCTGGCTGGCTGGCTTGACCTGCTTTCCAGGCCTGAGCCCGAGATTCAGTTGAGCTACTGGTGGCTAGCGCCTTGGTTATCGTGTCTCCTTCAGATCATCTTTTTGGTTGAGGTGTACGGAGTAGTAGGATGGGATGGGATGTACCGTACCTGTATGTATGCAAGCATGTACCTGTACAAGCAGGAGTCCACAGATAGGCAAAAATGGGCATGTAAGGTAAATGTAATGTGAATGTATGTACATGTATGTATGTATGTATGTATGTATGTAAGTATGTATGTATGTACGGGCAGGGTCGACGAGAAGAGCATCATTCTTTTTTTTTTTTTCTGTTTCCCTTCTCCTCTGATACGTATACTCTTTCTTCCAGAGTTCGAAATACAATATCATAATCAATTGGGGGAGGTGTTTGAGGTCTATATCAAACACCAGAAGGACTGGTGGTCAGCCTGCCATCACCACCCGCTTCGTTTAGCTGAATTGACTCAAGGAGAGCGAGCGAGCGAGCGAGAAATAGAGAGACAGACAGACAGAGGCAGAGACCGAGACAGAAAGCGCGGTCGAGCAAGTGCCTGCTACTACTGCACTGGTCGCCCCTCACCGGGCCCTTCACACCCTCCCACTGCTCTGCCACTATCTCCGACTCATATTATTGGATACCCTTCCCTCCCCATACTCTCTCTTTTTTTTTTGACCTTTGTCTATCATCCGCCTTTTTTTTTTCTTTCTGCTTTTCGACATCTGATTTTCCCTGGCCTCGTCCTTGTTCTGGGACGGAGGTGAGTGAGTCGTCATAAATAATAACTGGCAGCTCCTCCTACCAAGTGGTCTGTCTCACCCGAAAACCAGCCATACAAATACGAGAAAGCGTCCCGACAGTTTGGGCACACGATATCGAGCCTTCTTCCTATTTGTGCACAGGTATAGCCATTTTTTAGGTAATTTTCTGTTCTTTTTTATTCAACTTTATTATCCGAGGGAAAACAGTTGGAGATAAGGATCGTTTCGATACTCCATACAAAAACTCTGTCACCAGCCAGCCTGCGAACGGAGAAAAGTATATTCCTCCCCCGTTGAAATACTTCCTTACTTGTATTTTATTTTATTTTATTTTATTGTATGTACATACCTACTTACTTAAGTAGATACTACGTAGGTGGTTAAGTTATCGATAACTTTCAAATACTAATTCTAAAAATACAGAGATTCGAGAATCTACACAATCTTCAATTCTCTATCTGGCGCTGGCTGATTCGACCGTGAATTCGATTGCATAATAATATCGGCACCGAAAAACGCCCGAGTCTAACTTATCAGAACTGTTGTCCTGTCCAGTTTTCTTTTTTTTTCTCTCTCTCCTCTCACCTCACTTCTTTTTTCTCTTCTCTTCTCTTTTCTTTACTTTTTTCTGCTTGTCTGGGGGGTTTCCTGGCCTGCTTTTCCCATAGTATTATTAGTCCAGTCCGACTAGTCGATTAATTCCTTCTCGCCCGCCGCCCAACAAAGCAAAAGCCGGGAAGCAAGAGCCAGAGCCAAAACCAAAAAAAGCCAAAGCCAAAGCCAAAGCAAGATCCAGCCAAAGCCAGCTAAAGCCAAAAAGTCAAAAGGCCAAGGTCGGAAACCCCATTTCTACCCAATCGAAGGCTTTAATATCATATCATTGATCTTGCCTTTAATTCCCATTTCTCTCGTCTGCTTGTTGCTTTGGACCTGGAACTGGAACTGGAGGACCGACATCATTCCGACGAATTGCCACTACACCACCACAACCACCACCTCTACTCGCTTGCTCGCTCACATACGACATCTTCCCACCACCACTACCACCACTACCACCACTACGATAACCTCCATTACATCTCTCCTTGGCTGATCCGATCCTGATCCCGAACCACCACCACCTCTCCTCCAACAATTCTTCTCCTCACTCATCTTCATCTTCAACTTCCATTTCCCTCTGGCCAAGATAGCTAGGCAGTTAGCTGTCATTCCCAACAATTCTTCACTGCATTGATTGACCATATTAGCCTGTCCGAGACGACCTGATCATCACCATACCATACCGTACCGTTCCAAGACTCTCTTGTGCGTCGATTAGAACTGCTGTGTAGGCCGGCACACGACCCTGGTGCTACGTGAGACGACCACTGCTGTTCAATTCTCGACGACTTCAACCCTTTCCGTAGACCGCCAGTCAAACCCAATCCATCTAAAATTCCTCACCGTTTATATTCCCTCCCTGGGCAGGAGACACAGCCTTATACAGAATAGACACGGACCCGCCTTATCTATCCCGTCCAATCGAATACCATCCGATCAATCATCTTATTGCAATTCAACTATCTGTGCTTGGTTAAATCACATTAGTTTTTTTATTCTTTTTTTTTTGTTTTAAACAAAAAAATCGTCATCCTTCCTACGCCATCTGCAGGCTGCCATCGCCGTTCGTTGAGCCTCGATTTCTCTTTTGGTCCCGCATTTCCCGTCGTCAAACCCTCTCGGAATCAAACGAAGCTCAAGCCTTCCCAAGCTGGTGACCCTCTTCATAGACCGAACCTTTTCTTATCACGTTACACCATTCGTAATCTCGAAGTTCTAGAAGGCTTGAATCTTTTATCTTTGGATCTTAATCCTGTGTCCTGATTCCTTTTTCTTTTTCCTTCTTACTTTGCTTTCCAACCTTCGGAAATCGAATCTTCATCGCTTCTTGATATCAGAAACTGTCCTGCCAACACACACACGACACCACGAAGCTCGGTTCCCGTTATCATTTGCCAATTGCTGTTGAATCCCTCTCAAGCTGCTTTAGGTAGGGATAGGACATTCCTTCGAGGTGGTTCCCATTTGCGAGTCGGGATCAGGAACTGATTAGATGGCTGTGCCCTGCTTCAAAAATTAGCTATTACCCTCCTCCGCCATTCGGACACTTACCTTCTCGGAAATACGCCCCTAGACCTCCATATCTTTTTCAACCCGAGGTATGTTACACAAGCAAAGTTTGCCTTCCTGGACATACCAAGCTCCAATAGGTCGTGAAGCTCTCAGTCCGGCACCGATCCCGGGCGGAAGTTTAAGCCTTTGATAACGGTTGTTATTTGAATATTTGAATTGAATGACACTAACAATTTTCTCCCCTGCTGTCGTCGATAGATAGCGTTTTCTTGGTGTTTTCTTCTTAGGGTGGACGAGATCATCCCCAAGCTATAATCCCCCCTTCGCCCAAAAGACCAAACGTCCCTTTATCATGCCAATAAAGCACAAGCCGTAACTAGCTGGATACTCTCCAAACTCTCATCCGTCGAGAAATAAAGAGAAAAGAATCATGACGGATCCAATTCGAACGGGAGGTGCGAAAGCCGGGACATCGCCATCGGGTCGCGGCCATTCCCGGCATTCTAGTAATTCAACAAACGGAGACCAATCATCCACTTCAGATGAATTGTTCTTGGCTCATCCGCGATCCGAACCCATCACACGACGGCCGTCGAATGCACAGGTCTGGGTTCCTGTGCAGCCGTTATTAACATCCGAATCCACACCCGCTTCTCCTACCGATCTCCATATCAAAACTTACCAAGGTGCCAGTGCCGCCTTGTATTCACCTGCAACGACTGCTCTCTCATCTCCCGGCGGGCAGAGACAACTATTTTCTCAATCTCCATTCCTCCACCCGTCTCACCGACAGCCTGTCAAGGAAACCCATCTTCTCGACGTCGAATTTGATCCGATATCCGGCCGCAAGTCCATCAACTCGTACGAAATCATCAATGAGATCGGCAGGGGTGTTCATGGTAAGGTAAAACTCGGTCGGAACCTTCTTGGAGACCACGAATTCGTTGCGATCAAAATTGTTGAACGAACCTCTCGGCCTCGCCTCGGGAAGGTCGGTCAGAAGAAAGGCAGTCAGGAGGAGAAAGTCAAGCGCGAAATTGCCATATTGAAGAAATGTCGACATCCGAATGTTGTTAGGTTGATCGAAGTCATTGATGACCCGTCTAGCAAGAAGGTGTATCTTGTCCTGGAATTCGTTGAACTTAGTGAGGTCAAATGGAGACGCCAGGGCGATGAAAGTATTGCTCAGAGGGAGGCCCTTCGACTCGAGAAACTTCGGGCTCTTGCTCTTGGTACAGCGGATGCCCGTGAAGAGGAACAACGCAAGGAACGACAACTGCGACGGCGTATTGCTAAGCAGAATGAAGCCGCCCGTAAGGCCAGAGATGAAAGGAAACGACACCAAGAACATGCTGCTGCTTCCGAGCACATGTGGTCCCTTGAATTCGGAGGAGAAACAGAAGAATCTTTGAGCGATGATGATGTTGCCGTTGGGAGCTTTACCGACGATTCTCACGATGATGAAACTCCAACTGCCATCAAGGAGTCTTCGGATGTCAACCCTTTTATTCAAGACATCTCTGATATTTCCCGGAACTACTCGTTGTCTACGATCGCTACTAACACTAGTGATTCGTATGATCCGGATCTTATGTACGTTCCGTCGTTGACCATCCAGCAAGCTAGACAAGTTTTCAGAGATACCGTCCTTGGGTTGGAATATCTTCACTATCAAGGCATCATTCACAGGGACATCAAGCCCGCCAATCTCCTTTGGAATAGAGATCACCGAGTCAAGATTTCTGATTTTGGTGTCAGCTATCTCGGCCAAGGCGTTGACGAGGAGGGAAACGTCGGACTTGACCAGACTGATATCGAGCTGGCTAAGACCGTTGGAACACCTGCCTTCTTTGCACCGGAGCTCTGCTACAGCGACATCACGAAGCCGCGCCCGCAGATTACAGAAGCTATCGACGTATGGGCCCTTGGTGTTACACTCTATTGCCTTATCTTTGCCAGGTGCCCCTTTATGGCAAGCGGCGAATATGAACTTTACAACATTATCGAAACTCAAGAGCTCTTCATCCCCAACACTCGCCTCCGTCCTGATGTTGACTCTCCATCCGGCTCCCGTCCGAGTACTCGTCGGTCGGTGTCTCACCGAAAAAGTCTTAACCTGAAACTGAACGATGTTCCTGAAGACGAGCCTTCCAACACGCATGAGCCCATCTCCGCCGACCTTAAGGATTTGCTGCGGAAGCTTCTCACGAAGGACCCAGCCGAGCGTATCACACTTTCTGAAGCGAAGCGTCACCCATGGGTTCTACAAGACCTGGATGATGCGATCGGCTGGATCGAAGAAAGCGACCCAAGACGTGCTCGCCCAGTCGAGATCTCTAGAGAAGATGTTGACCACGCTGTCGCGCCAGCTACCGTCCTGGGTCGTGTCAAGAATAGCTTGAGGAAAGCCGTCGGTGGTATTGCAACTGCAGTTGGCCTACGGCGTCGAGCCCATAGCGCTGTCACTATCCCTACCACGGTATCCATAGGTGCTATCCCCATCGAACCTCGTGTAGGAGGTATGGACGGAGCAGACGACATCGCAGATTTCATTCGCGATCGTGAAACAGACGCCCAGAGGGCTTTAAAAAGGGAGAAGAATTTGGCACCACCACATCAACATCAAGGACATCAGCATCCACATAACCAACACCAGCATCCCCATCAGCATCCACACCCGCATTCACACCCGCACCCACATCAATATCAACACCAACATCATTCCCCTCTCCGTCGAGCTACATCTGTGACTGTCGCTAATATCAATAAGGAGTATAAGACATCTCTTGTGACTGGTCTTCTTCCTGCCAACGGTGGCTCCAAAGCGCCTCCGCCAACACCAATCGCCGGAACCCCAGTCGCCCAATATGAGAATGCCGAAGCGCACCATAGTCGTCGAGGGCATCAGAACAGTGCCTTTTCTTCACGTATAGCCATAGGTAGGCTGCTCCGCGCTTCGAAAAGCAGAGACATGCATAGGGACTTTCGAGCCACTGAAACACGAGCCACGGAGACCAGTTCGGAACCCGGTGATACGGACATTGTTTGGAAGCAGGATAAAGAAAAGAGAGCAGAAGGCAAAGACAAGCACTTTGGTTCCGTGCGAGGCTGGAGCGGCGTGATTCGTCGAGGAAGTCGGCAATCTTGCGACTCCATCATGCGCTTGGCTGCCGGATTTTCCGACAACAGGTCCTCTCGTTCCGCCAGCCCCATGCCTAGTATGCCGTCTTCGCCCGCTGAAGATCCAAAGCCAGTCTTCCCACCAACTCCAAGCCGCAAATCACCATTCTTCCCAATTTCAGACACCGACGATAGCAAACACTCCCGAGATGTTTCACCAATTAGTGTCAAGTCTACAGATGATGCTCTTGCGAACTGCCCTCCGAGCCCAGAAGATGCGACATATCTCGATGTTCTTGCCAACCGCTCAAACAAGGAAGGAGTCTTCAGTGGAGATGATAGTAGTTTCTCGAACACCACCACTAAAGTTACGCCACACAGCCTCAAGTGGGAAGGCAGCTTCCCCCCTCGTACCTATGCTGTGGATATGAACCAGCAAGTCTCACCAGGAACTTCTGTTAAATCGCCTAGCTTATCACCCAGAACACGATCGCCACGTCCACGACACCAGCACACTCGATCGTTTCACTTCTCCTCTCCGTCAGGCGGAATTCCAGAGCGATCTGTCTTGACATCATCTAGCAGCGAAGAGCATTTCGGTACCTCTAGTCTTAGCAATTCTACGAGTTTCCCTAGTGTCCTTTCTGCCTCATCATCACTCTCTACTGACGACCACTGGCCTCATGGCTCACCACCTCCCAAAACGCGTCTTAATAGTGCGGATCGTCTTAGCATGCTACCAACTTGTTTCCCTTCCAAACCTGCTTACCAAGAAATCCAAACACGGACTAAATTATCGTCCAGCAGGAGCGGATCAGCCCCACCTATGGAGTTCCTAAACACTATCGAAGACGTTCATGATCATCCTACCGACGACTTTTCTGCTGATGGTGCTGTTGCGGATATTGAAGACTGCGACGATGACGATGAAGAGGATGAGGGCTTCTTCATTGACTTCAAGAAGAAAGAAGTTAGAAGCAACAGCCTGGCTGCATCCTCCCGTCCACAGCTCACCCAACTCAATAAGGAACAGCTCGCGAATCGCCGAAAGTCGTATGTTCCCTAATCCGGCACTATTGTGTCCCAAATCCGGACGCTCCGTCCTTTTTCTTTTTTTTCCCTCAACGCTGAATACCTTGTACAACATGACTGTTTCCTTCTCTTCCTTTTAATGCATTTACGGTGGGGTTTTTCTTATCTCTTCCTCCTTCGTGCTCTTTTCTTATTTTCCCCTCTAGCGACGCATGCATGGAACTTTTCTACCGGGGGCGAATTATCTGAATCTTTTCCATCGAATCAGGAGTCTGAACTTTTTTTTTGCCTGTTTTTCCTTCTAACGTGGGCGTTTGGATGAAACATTTTCGAGTTTTCTATCTCTCTGCTAATAGCAGAGACTTGTTCTTTTAGCATAGTGTAGTGTTTTCTTTGTCTCCCTATCCAAACCCTCTCATATTTTTTTATTGGCCTTTCATTTTTCTTTCCCTTTCTGTTTTACATTACCTTACTTCCTCTTCATCTGTCTGCCTGTACTCGTTCATGTTTTGAGATACCAGGCAGACCATCTAGTTTCTTCGATTGAAAAGAGATAGCGGTCTTTAAAGCCTTCTGTTTTCAGGCCTTATAGACACGGAATTGTACTTTTTTTTTTTATCGGCGAGATTGAAATAGCGGGAGTCTCGTAGACAGAAGGGATTCAAGAGAGTTGAAGGGTGGGGGAGGGGCCAATGGGGAGAATGGGGTGTTTATTCATAATGTACATAAGACCTCTTTCACTTGTTATTTTTGCTCTTTACTCTTTTTTTTTTCTCTTTTTTTTTTTAACTATACGAACGAATAGGAAACAAAGAATAAGGAAGTTTGACACAAGATTGCATGGTTTGCATGTGCGCTGAGAAATCTTTTTTTAATTTTTTTTCTTCTAATTTTTTTCCTCCTCCCTTGGAAGTTTCAATCAATTTATGAAGTTTTGAGAGGTGATGTCTTTCGTAATTAGCATATGTTGTTTTGATTTTCAGTTGTTATTTCTTCTGGGAGGACTTCATTTCGAGTTTTTCTGTTTTCTTTTTCGAACTTTTGAGTTCACGGAGCGGAATCTTTCGTGTGCTGCTTCTTTTTATTTTTTATTTTTTGCTGAGCTCCTTTCGAAGCATTCCAAGGTCCGTTGTGATATGTGTGGTTGAAAGTCCGGGACGGGTCAGCCGTGGGGAGCGAATTGAAGCGAGGAGGCTTCAAGGAGCGACTGTGTCCGAAGGCCGGCCGGGGGTGGATATAGCGACTTTTTTTTTTTTTAAACAATTTCGCGAGACACGACGGGATGAATAGGAAATAGATGCTACCGTCCGCGTGCCTACGTTATTGTCCACCGACTATCTACTTCTTTTTTGACGGCTAGAGAGAAGGAGACGGAAACCAGAAAGAAAAAAAAGAAACCTTAGGAATGCAAATTTGTAAATCTTTTGCTTATATTTAGTTTTATGGGTTTTTCTCATTGCGATGGCAATTGCATGTTGGGATTCGGATTCTGTGGATCGATTTTTTTTTTTTGTATTATAGAAAAGCAGAAGCATTTTTACTATCTTTCTTTTTTAAATTCTCACCTATTTTTTTTTTTTCTCTTCTTCTTATGAAATGATGATCGATCATGGTCACATATCCATACATATAAAGTATATTTGACATATTTTCTCTCTTAGGATTCGAGGCTACTTTTTTTGAACGGGTTAACGCGACGTGTGAAAATTGCTTGAGATTTGTATGATAGAGTTGTTGTGTAGTAAGGACGTCGAGAAATTCAAAGTTATACTGTACTATTTCCGTTTCGATCTCTGGTTTTCTAGACCCCAACAGACCGAGAGGATGTTCATAGATTCTTTCCTGTCGTGTTCATTTAACTATCTTCTCCTTCCTTTTCTTATCCAGCGATCATACTTGTCTCCGTGCTGTCTTCGTGAGACGAGTTATACGGTGGGTTAGTATTTTAGGTAGCTATACTGAACTAATATTGATTATACATTCCTCGGTCCCGAGAAAAGTTGTTAATTCACTTGATGTGGTAGACACGGTAACGTTGGGGGTTGTCTTTTGTGGGTACCTGCATTCGTTATACTCCTTAGAAACGGCTTTCGATCGGAGACTACCTCCTAGGTAGAAGGTAATTTTATTTGGGACATCTTTCTGCCCTTTGGGGAGGATTTATCAAGTGGTTCTTGGGTCTAGACTGATGACAATGGGATTTGGTTATACCGATTGACTGAAGATTATTCCATAAAAACGGTGAGATCTCGGGATCGAAAGAGTTATAGGATGTAGCTCTTGATAATCCCACCCCTTTCGTGAGAGATTAAGGACAGCTAGTTAGCTACCTAGCTACTTGATCAGCTGAATTGCTCACAGTCCCTAAGGAAGTAAGGAAGTAAGTAAGTAAGTACTTGTGATATGATATCAAAATATGTGACCGCATTCAGTAATGCTGATGAAGGAATTGGCGAAATAACATGTTGCATTCTCGAGCCTAGAACCCATGGCCACACCCCACCGACGAACGTTAAGCTAGTTAGCCCGAAAGTTTGTGTTGGAGGTATGCACGTATGGGGAATTTTATATGAACATGTCGGGTGCATGTGTGCATCGGATATATGCAGATGGTGGTGTATATGTTAGTTTAGTCGGCATTATTTTATTGTTAAATACTATTTTTCTTTTTTTTTATATTAAATAGAACTTGAAGATTTCTTCTTCTTCTTCTTCTTCTTCTTATTCTTTTTCTTGTTCTTTGTCATCGATTCTTTGGATCACCAGGACGACCGGAGAGTTTTATAATATTTGGGTGAAGGTAAAAATACAACGGACGGTATGTGTTGCTATCGTGGTGAGCTTTGAAGTGTGATGAGGCGGTTTCTGTGAGGGATTGGAATTTGTGGAATTTGGAAAGTGAGTACCTACTACTACTACTAGGTAGCTTTCCTATGAATGATACCTGTTGGGAGGAGATGAATCTTTGTTTACATTGATACAGTGTTCTTTATAGAGCATTGTTTTATTATTATTATTGGGTTTTCGATCTTATCCTGTAGTTTTTGAATCTTTTGGTGGTTCTTTCTTTTGAAAGGATCCTTTTGTTATTTTTGATTTTTTGACATTGCCATATTGGAAGATATCGATTAGGGGGAAAAGTCTTTCTGTAATAGTTGAAGGGAAGCAAAGTTGATGGAAGAAAGAGAAGAAGCATCGGGAGAATTGGGAGTGGGTTACATCTTCTTGATATCGATGCTTTATTCGATCTGCTTGAAGTCTTGCTATAGACTGGGAATATACTGACGATAGACGGGATAGAAGATAGATATCAATCGATTAAACGACAAGAGCTAAGACCATATATATACACATACGATATATATATATTCCCTATCAAACAAAGAGCTAAAGATGCCCAAACGACGACCACCTCATCAACTAAACCTCCTCCCTCCCTCCCTCCTCCTATCCTTACTACTACTCCTCCCCACAACCGCCACGGCAATTCAATACCCCATCCCGGCTTCAATCTTCAAAACCCACAGTTCGGCCGGAAACCCAATCCTACACATCCAACCGTCCTTCCACCATTCCTCTGAAACAAAATCACTGTTAAACTTCAAATCCATCTTTCTGGCAAATCCGGCACCGGACGCCGCGTTGGAAAAATCATTACTTTCTGATAATTTCTTCATACAGGATGTTGATGGGGTTCAGGTTCCTAATTTTTCGGTTGATAAGGGAAAAGGGGTTTTGGTGTTTGAGAGGGGGAGGAGGTATATGAATGATGATGATTATAAAAAAAACAATAATAAGAATAATAGTAAGAAGAGTTATGGTGGTAGGGTGGGGAAAGATACTGGAGAAGTCTGGGTGATGACTTTTCCTGTTCTTTGCAATAGTGGTGGTGGTGGGGATTATACGGAAAAGGATTATACGATTTTTAGGAGTGGAGCTGGGAAGACGGATTGGGAGGAGATAAACCTGGGGATTCGAAAGAAGGATTCGAAGTCTTGGTCTCCCTCGGCTAGATACCTAGGAAGAGGGTTCATGGTTGATGACATCTTCGAAGCTGGTGATGGCAAAGATGGAGCAGGAGATGCGTCATCAGTATTAAGTGGCCAGGAGAGACTATATTCCTTTGGAGGGCTGTGTATCGGTGGAGATGAGTATTTGGGAAAAGGAAAGAATGATTCCTTTTCTGCTGATTTGTGGAAGATTGAGAATTCAACGACGACGGTTGAAAAGCCTCGGATGATTAAGAGGATGGAGATGAAGAGAGGACTGGGAATACGGCAAGATGGGGGGTTTAGTATTAATGGGACGGTGTCGATGACTACTACTACGGATTTGGAGTCTACGATGGTCACGACAGCTTCTGATCTGTCTTTGAGTGACACTACAAGTCTATGGAGCAGTACGGCTACAGAGATTACTAGCGATATTGCTAGTAGTTCGGAAAGTAGCATGGCTGCAGAGACTACCATCGACACTACCACTACGGACTCAGGAAGCAGTACGACATCATCAGAAGTCCAGACATCTATTCAAACTACAAAACTTGCTACATCTACAACTTCATCTACAAAACCTACATCCACAGCAGTATCTTCAACATCTACCACCTCAGCCGCCGCAAAAGAGACGAATCGAGATCCATCTTCATCTCTAGATGTCAGTATCACTCTCCCAGAAAACCCACCAATCCCAGAAGCAGGGTTCTCGATGACCCAATTGAAAATAAACTCGACTTCTTCGGAAAACAATAGCCAAGACGGCATGTTAATCCTCGGTGGATATACATCTTCACGTCGTTTCGTAGGATTAGGCCAACTAGCCTTTTTCTCCCCCAAATCCGAATCCTGGAGCTTCGTCTCCGCCAGTCTAAGCGACAACGACATAACCCCTCGAGCGGGGCATTCCGCCGTGGTAGACGAATCTCAAAAGAGAATAATCGTCTTCGGCGGGTGGATAGGAAATATCACCCGTCCCGCAAAGCCATCTATGGTTATTTTAAAAATCGGAGATTTGGATAGTAACGGATGGGAATGGGATACCTTCAACGCCACCGAAGAAGTTGAAGGATCCGCCCCACCAGACGATACCCCACTATGGGGTCATGCGGCTATCCTCCTCGAAGGGAACGTAATGATGCTTACATCTGGTTTTCACGTCAAAAGCCTAGATTCTTCTGGTAAACAGATGGTTAACCAAAAAACCTGGTATTTGAATCTAACTTCGAACGAGTGGGTTCGACAATATCATTACCCCCACGAGCAAATTCCAGAAACAGTGGTTGGTGGGGATATCAAAAAGAGTCATAGGGATATTGCCCTGTTAGCCGGAGTATTCGGAGGAGTCGCCCTGTTGGTTGTGACCCTCGCGGTATTATTTTGCTATGCTAGAAGGCAGGAGGAGTATTCTGATGTATCGAACGGAGGGATGTCGAATGAGTATGGTAACAGCGACGGTAGTGATAAATTCGATTCCATGGATTTGGAATACGGGAAGAAAATCCCCACTATTACTGCCACTAGAGGTGTGGAATCATTCAATCCCTTCCGAAGACGCACAAGACCGGAAGAAGTCGGTGCCCTACCCCGAGAAAACGGCGCGGGGAGCCCAGAATTACCACCCCCAACCCGTGCACCGTTAAGAACGCACATGCACAGAAATATGAATCAACCATCACATGTGGACATGGAGATGGTAGAAAGGATGCGAGATCAACAGGAGCAACGGGAGAATATGCTGCAAGACTCCACGGCACCAGAGAGGAGAAGGAGTGTCAGGAGTGAAATGGTAGCTTGGGTTAGAGAATGGGCTAATGCCGATGCTGCCGCACAAGCTGCAGAAGTTTTAACAAGAAGCAAACAGGAGAGGGTGTGTTCCGGGAGCTCCAGAGTTAAAAAAGAATCCTCGGCTTTGGGGGCTGTAGGAGCGAAGGATATGTATTTGAAACCCGGAAGGGCGGCGAATAGTACACCAAAGAGTAACGCTGCTACGACAGGTGTACCGGACCCAACGGATAGGTGTGTTACCAGTTGTTCATCAACTTACTCCGACGGAGTGGTTAGCACGCTTGCTGCCTCCGAGAACTATACTACTCCGGAAGAACTACCATACCCCGTTCCACCGATGCTATTATCGACTTGTCAGAACTATGAAGAGCAAAGCCCCAGAAACCCAAGGTTACTCGTCGGACCCCACGGTGTCACCGCACCATTACCCAAGAAGATGGCACAAGAGTTTCCAATACCTACATTGATCCCACGAGACTCGCTATCTTCTCAATACGGAGGTGGATATAATAATCACTATTCGTACAGCAGCACCCAACCGCTATTAGGACAAGCCCAAGATTCAGCAGGCGATGACAGAAATAGCGAAGGATGGAGAGACGTTACTCCTGCATCCCATTTCTTCACAAACATCCCCCTTACAACACCCGAAGAAGAAGACATACAACCCCATAGCTATGTCAAACGCGGAAAGTCCCTGCAAGATAGGATCAGGGAGGAGATGTATAACCCCGGTCCCTCAAGAACAGATGACGATTGTAGACTATCCTCTATAGTGGACTTCTACGCGGAATCTAAATCGCCAACACCTATACCCGAATTAACAGAGGGTACGGATACCGAGGATGATGAAGGGGAGGAAGGGTATTTGGTAACCGGTGGGAGTGGCATTGGATCCTCGGCTTATGACGGTTCAGTGGCAGTCGAGGGCAAAGGGAAAATGGTGGTGTTGACGAATACTACAGTCGATGAACCTATTGTTCTTCGTTCGATCCGTATGAGATCGAACGGTCAACATCTGGAACAGAGAGAATCCTTTATCGCCCCGTTATTATCAGAAACTATAGCCCAATTAAGAGAAGCAGGTGGAAAAGTTGAAAAATCGAATAGTCGATCCAGGATCCCTTCCATAGGATCTTCGATCAAAAAGCGAGCAGCAGCAATGGCTGCAACTTTCAACCCGGGAACTCAATCTAACGAACGACAATCAGTCTCCCATTCCTCCTCCATAGGTCGTAGGGGTGTCCTAAACCGACTTTCTCAGACATCCACCGCGAGTCGACGGGCCGAGCAATCTGAGTCAACGGCTTTACAACCCCAACAAGCGGAAATACTAGATATCAACGACACATCTACTGAAATACTATTCCCGAAGGGAAATGACGACAAAGATAAAGATAGAGATGAAGTGAGTAGCATGCACATGAATATGAACGATAAAGTAGTGCAATTGGTATATACGGCGCCGAAGGGGAAGTTGAGGGTTGTTAATCCGAGTCCTAGGAGGGTTAGTAGCGGTGGGACTGACGCGAGCTTGGGGTTCGTTCAGCAGAGGCCGGTGGTGCAGAGACGGGTTAGTAGTTCGGGGAATTATCATCATAGGGTTTTGCAGGCGCAGGCTCAAGCTCATGGAGAGGGGATTATGAGGTTGGGGAGTTCGGCTGCGAGGAGGGTTGGGGAGATGGATTAATTCATATTATTTTATTGTTTTTGTTTTGTTTTAGTTGAATGTATGGGGTTGAATTTGGGTTTTTTTGTTATGGCGTTCATGAATTCATGTTGTGAAAGTTATCTTATGAATTAATATAATGTGTATACATGTGTGTATAGTTTATATCAAAATGATACTTTTTCAACAAAGATTCTGCTTCAGTAGATACAAGTGGTTAATTACTTTTTAAAATAAACTTTAAATTATCTACATTAATATCTCTCGATATTATAATCATAGACTACCGTGCAATGGATTATCATATTACCGCCATAATTTCTAGATCCGTGGTATTTTTGAGAAAACTGCGTTGTAAACACCGTCGGTCTCACGCGGGCCTGGTATGCGCTGCTCGTGCATATGAATTAACTCAATTGCAATGTAGCAAAAGCAAGTTGGTAGTCCCACTTATCGGAGCGTAGTCTATTCATTGAAGTGTACAAACCTCGCCGTTATAATCTGCACGCTCAAGTTAACAATATCTTTACGATTATGAGCCTAGCGCCTAATTAAATAACCAGAATATATTAATAAGATACGACTGTACTGCTTGCAGGCGTATAGGCGTCCTCTAACTTTGCAGATTAATCTAATTGAGCCTCTGAGGCTATATATAAAAGTATTTCGTCAGTGGGTATATACAAGCCTTATCTCTGAATGTGGCTAAGCGTTTCCATATATACCATCATGAGCCTCTGTGATTGTGTTTATACGAACCACTGGTGAAGGTTTACATGGGAAGGAAGTTCAAACTCCAGCCTTAATAAATAGGCCTCAGACCGGTAATTTTAAACTAAAGGTTGTCGCAATATGGAATTAATTCGATTCATATGTTCAAGGACTATACCAATAGTATTATGTTCACCCCCTTCTCCAGCCTCATCGCATTGTCGACTATGATTTAACTTAATTTCTTTAAAAAGATATATATTCTGATTCTGTCTCTTTTCTCTTCGAAATCTTCGAATAGAACAAGTCATAAAACTCTCAAAACAACCCCCCGGGGAAGTCGATACTAGACATCATTATTTAAATTAGCTTCCCCTCTTTTTTTTTGGTATTTATATTATAAAAGAGGTGTACATTCTTACATGAGAGTACACTAATGACCACTTTGTTCGGAATATGAGTATACGAGCCTGCGAGGTTGCGTACATCAAACAATACCACCTTGGGATCTGGCCGTGTCATCGATTCTGGCGTTGTGTAGTCTTGCATGTACAGGAAACCGTTATCTGTTCTGAATAAATAAATATATAGTGTTAACATCCTGTATCTCGGTCTAGAAAAGGGAGAAAGAGGATGTAGGAGGGTTTTTATACCTCCTCCTGGGGTCTTCGAAATTAAGACTGTGTAATAAGCGGTTTGATCACTGGATCAATTGATCAACGACATAGTCCGCTTTGATTTGCGGTAAGGGCGGCCATCGGGTCCTGCCAGCGCAAGCCTTTAATTACGTCGATCAAAAATCTTAGGACCAATCCGCCGCCGGTACCGGTACGGTTGACGTCCTTGGTGATCGATAGTACGTTTGACAGTCGGTCATTTCAATGATTTGTTTAACCATTTTGCTTGCTAGTCGTCGGCTAGATATGGACTCAGAATAGGTTCAAAGTTGGTAGTATCGCGTTCCGGGTCCAGGCGAGTAAACCCAGTTTCATGATATCATCCAGAAAGGCATCAAGAGACCTGTTACGGAAAGTTCGATGTATATGTTGAAAGGCACTGATTGATCGACCGCTCCCGAGATTGGGTCCAAAACTGCATCATGGTTCCAAATGACGATATCTGTGTATTCCTATCGGAGACCCAGCTCTTGTATTTTTTTTCTTGATATATATATATATATATATATATATATAGGCTCTTTCAGTCTCAAGCTCGTCGTCGCTGTTTCATGTCTCTGGGTTTTTTTTTTATAATCTCATTGCCGAGTTCAACTCTAGATCTTGGTGGAGTTTTTCCGCGCTGCATCGGGAGTATAGAAGAAAACTGGCCCCTCTCATCGCGGGGGGACTTCGAATACTATACTCTGTAAGTGAATATAAACAAGTCATATCAATATTAAATCGGCCTAGAGAGTAGCTAGTGGGTGGAGAACGGGGGAGCTTACGTGGGAGGAGAGGTATACGTATTGTAATTTTGATATATACGAAGCAACAAGAGGTAGATGCATAGTTGCAGAAGGATATTTAAGACTAAGACTCGAAAAGGTATTAAAAAATACCACCTTTCTAGCACAGTAATATATAATATATAATTTCATTTATGTTGAGATCTTCTTTTGCTCTGAATACTATGTTTCGCATATCATGTTTTCGTTTGTAAGACTCTTCTGATCTGTATTGAACGTCGTAAAACCGTAGTATGTCGAAAAAAACTGCATTAATATTATGACAACGTCGCCAGTATATGTAGCCGTTTTTACTAGAGAATATTAATAAAAGTATTTGCCTAGGGAGGAGAGAGTACTATATATACCTAAATACCTAAGTGTAGATACCCAAGTACTTGTATAAGTAAGTACCTTAGACGTGGGTCGATAGTAGGCTTACAGGCTTATTTATAACGGGAATCTTCCGAATCCCTTCAAAAACCACATGATATTGAAGTTCTTGACTCCTCAAGAAAAGAAAAGACTTTTACAATCTTGGTTGACGAAAAGAATGATTACTGTTGATGAAAACTAAATCTTAGTTGCTATGTGAGATATATATTTTAGAGTCATTCTTAGAGCTGGCTAGAAACTTCGGTAAAGGAATATCTAGCTACAACCACTAGAGGTTTCGCCAGATCTACTAATTCTAATATTCCAATAATCAAGCGAACGAGCGAGAGAGAAAGAACAAAATGACTTCAAGACCATAGATAAATATGTATAAAGTTTATATGTATCGCAGTTACTTATCAAGATCTTGATCCTTTTTATTTCCGCACCACCCCCAACACCGCAATTAGAAGCAAAACGCGAACTTCCATATTGTTTGAGGAGACTTAGTTTGTTTGGAAGTAGTAGTAATAGTAATATACTTGCTACAAAGAGACATCGGGTACGACATACCAAGAAGTGGGAAAGTGGAGTCGATGAGCAAGTTCCTGCGGCAAACCCCTCACCTGCATTGGTATGCTTTTCTTTTCTTCTTTTGTTCCCGCCCATGCGACAGACGAGAAACATTCATTGAATTGAATTCTGAATACTCTGTTCTTTTTTTTTCGAATATATCATAGAGTAAAGCGTGTGTGAATGGGATGGATGGATGTATGTATGTATGTAACTGTTGTATCTAAGATTGTGTGTATACGTACTTAAGTACCTAGGTATGTACTACAGACCAGACCATTGCATCGCCACAGAGTTTACATGTTAGCAGCTGCCAATTCCGTCGTTTTCGTATTTACGTATATGTTGAAGAGTCCATATATACCGAGATATTTGTGCGGGTACGAGGGGTAGGTAGGTAGCATTTCACTACTGGTTGGGAGTTAATTTGTCAGCTCCAATTTAGCTTGTTCTATCCCCCCTTGTATGGTTATAGCACGTTTACTACTTCCAGGAGGTTCGGTCCGGCTTGGTTGAGGTGATTCAAGGGTCTTGTTATGCCATTACTCGTGAACCTTTTTTAAAAATATATATACCTACTTAGGTATATATAGTAATAGTATTTATATAAAGTAGTCCTTTCTCCCTGCTGTTGATTAAGTAGGTACTGACTTTCTTGATATCATTATCGTCGATTCGACTCTTTTTTCTTGCGGTGTCCAACACAAGAGCTCCATAACAGCTAAGCTTGAGCTACCCTGACCTGACTTTACCTTACCTGTCCTGTTCAACCCCCGCTTACCTATCCCACCACCAAAAACCACAAAACCACAAACAGCCCCGCCGTCACTTCATCCCATCTCATCCCCCATCGAACCACCAAAAAGAACTAAATACCTACCTACATCCCCACCGGTCATTTAAACCCCATCTTCCAAATATGTCCTCCAAAACCTACGAATACGACGTCGCAATGTCCTGCTCCGGCTGTTCCGGTGCCATCGAGCGAGTCCTTAAGAAGTGGCAGACTACTTATCCCGGTAATTCAATACTCCTTCCTCCTTCCTCCTCTCTCTATTCTTGGATGATTACTACTAGTATATATGGGGGCTATGGCTAATTTATGGAATTTGGTGTGGGTTTAGAATTAACCTACGTCGTCTCGCTCGAAACGCAGAAGGTCCAGGTTACGACTGATTTACCATACGATACGGTTTTTGAGAAGATTAATAAGGTGAAGCCGATTTCGGCGGGGAGGGAGGTTGAAGTTGCTTAATTTTCCTCTCTTCTTTCTTCATCTCTCTCTCTCTTCAATTGTTATGGTGAAGTAGAGTAGAGGGGTTAGGAGATGTTGAAATGGGATAAGGGAGAGGGAATTGCATTGCATTTTTCTCCGTCTTGGGGGGTTTTGTTAGTTTTTGTTTTTATGCAAGGTGTTTCTTTTAGCATTGCGGATTTCTTTCTCTTCTTCCTTGGGTTTTGCGACTTTGGGATTTATTTGTTTTGTTTATACGGCTGGTTTCTTTCGTTTTTTTGTCGACGGGGTTTCTTACCATAGCCTTTTTTCTATTGATTTCTTGATCGGAAAATTCGTCGATATAAATTCCCACCAGTTTCCAAAACTAAAAATCGCATGTGCAGACTATTGTAGATCTCACAACCACATGGACTCCTCCTCCTCCTCCTCCTCCCATGCTTTCCCAAAAAGAAAAAAATACCTATCAATCAGATATTTATAAATACAACCCCTCCCGTCCAATCCACCGCGCAACACCATCACAAACCCCCAATTTCCAGTCTTCACTTCCATCCCTAACTCCGTTGCGTACATTAGTACTACTAACCCCATCGACCTGTTCGGCATCATCCGGAACCACCATATCTATCTTTTTCGAAATAGAAGGATCGAGTGAATTCGAATACTCATATTGTGATGATTCGTTGCCAAGGTCTGTGCCGGGACGGGTGAAGACTAGGATTCTGTTTGTGGATGATAGGAGGGTTGTGTGAAGGTCTGTGAGGGTGTGGTGGGGTGGGTAGTATTTGGGGTTTAGGAGTCTGTTATGCATATTAATATTTGTGTATATACCCTTTTGACAATGATGATGATGCATGGTGGGTGGATACATACCTGATCAAAGTATCGTATCCTAATATCCATACCTGTCTTGTCATCTCCGACGGGAAGAAAGGATGATTTGATAGATCGGTGGATTTATCGATAAACCGTGGGTGGGGGGTTATTCCTATATCTATCTGCGGAGCTAGTATATCGTCATCAATACTTGATGAAGAGGAGGTTTTTGTTTGTATTTCTTCCGCGAGGAGGCACATCATTGCCAGACGATGTTCGTAGGAAGCTGGTGAAGACGGTTTATCCGCATTTGTAGTTGCCAGGAGGAGGAGTAGCGATGGAGGTTCTTCTTCTTTATCATCATCTTCTTCTGATTTTTTGTATTTTCTGAGGGCTTGGAGGGCCAGGTGCATGTGTGCTTTTGTTGGGGGGTTGAACTAGTCATTCTTTTGTTTTTAATTTGAATATTTTGTTGTTTTTTTTTATCTCTAAAGAAAAGAGGAAGCGTACACTGGAGTCTAGTATGCAGACTGTTTTTTGTTTCTGCGATGTTGATGTTGATGTTGATGGTGTAGATATTGGTCTTGGGGGGTATGATTTTATGATTTGAAGGGCCGGAGAGGTCGTAAGTGAAGCTATTGTGGATCGGAAGGAAGGGAGGAGGGAGCGGATGTTGTTCATTTCTACCAATTCCATTAACATTGACATTAACATTGACTTCATGGGGATATAAATTAGTAAATATAAAACGTACCTGCAGATTCCATTGTTGTATCGTATATATATTATATCTCATGAAGTTTGTAGATTAGAATTATAAAAAAAGTCCCGATCTGGCGGGGGAATATGGTCGGGATGACGATTTGTGGCCAGGATCTCGGAGATGTCGGGCAATCGGACCTGTTTGGCCAGAAGGAAGCTTGAACGGCTTGGCGGGGGGGCGGGCCAGGGGTAGCTGCTGCATATCATGCTGAGCTCACGAGCTACTACTTTACCTACTTTAAATACAGATATTATATAATACGTTACGGTATCGCCATTCTTTTTTAGAAGATACCTTCAGATTTTTAGATTTTAATATCTGGTTCCGGAATTCTTGGTGGTACAGTACACTATATGCTGTACTGCAGATATCGGTCGGGTATACCATACGCGACATAGTACACGCCCACAGACACCAGGGTTTTTCAACTTCACCAGCGAGTATTATATCGATAGGTACCTAAGGAGGTACCTATTTGACACAAAGAGAAGATGGAGTACCTTCGCCTCATATACACCGACTACCTCTTCTCCCCAGACCCGGAAGTCTACCGCGCTCACGTGCGACTCTTCCACTTCTTCCCCGTCGTATGCATTCTACAATCGGCGATAACCACTCCAATGGGCAAGACCTCTGTCAAGTCCTTTCTCAACTTACCAGGTACCTACCTACCTATCTATCTACTTCCTTCCCTCTTACCTACCTATGTATAAAAAATATACTAATATAATATCTATATAAAAAAGGAAAACTATCCTGGATCCTAATGGAACTCATCTCCCCAATCTCCTTCTTCTTAACCTTCTACCTAAACAACTCCCATTCCCCTCTCGAAACCCTCGCCGCCCTGCCTATATCCCATAAAATCCTTTCGATATTATACCTAATCCACTACCTCAACCGCGCCTTAATCTCCCCCCTCAGAGCTCCCGCCTACGCTCCAGCGCATATAATAGTCTTGTTGGTAGCAACTTACTTCAACTATCTAAACGGATACTCCCTCTCTTCATTCCTACTCCTTCAGCAAGGTAAAGTTCCTCAAGAAGAAGGTGGTGGGTGGTGGGTTATAAGGTTCGGGGTTGGAGTGGTGATGTGGGGGGTGGGGTTTTTGGGGAATATATGGCATGAAGATGTACTTTATGAGATCAGGAGGAGGGCGAAAAGAGAGCATTTGGAGAGTGCGAAGGCGAAGAAGGAGGATGGATTGGGGGAAGGGGTTGAGAGGGTTTTGGTGGCCGATGGGAAGAGGTTGGTTGTTAGGGCGGAGAATAGTGGGCATGTTTATGAGATTCCTGAGGGGGGGTTGTGGGAGTATTGTTGGCATCCGCATGTGAGTTTTTTTATCTTCCTCCTTTCTTTCTTCTTTATACCTCTGTTCTTGAGTATGTATATGTATATATGTATATGGAGATTGCTAATATATAAGTGTGGAAAGTACTTCATGGAGTGGATCGAATGGACGGGATTTTTGATCGCAGCTGGAGGGTGGGAGTGTGCGCCTGCTATCAACTTTTTGGTCAATGAGATCGCGTCGATGACGCCGAGGGCGTTCCAGGGGGTGGAGTTTTATAAAAGGAAGTTTGGGAGGAAGTTGCCGGAGAGGAAGGCCGTTGTGCCTTTTTTGCTGTGATATTTTTATCATCGCTGTGTCTTAATCAGTTTAGGTGGTGAGGATTGTATAGACGGGTTAATTGTAGATATCGTCAAATCGGAGATCTATCGAACTGTACAAACCCTTTTACAATTTTTTTACTTTTATTTTATTTTTTTTTATAAAAAAGGATGTAATGCCTGCCGTGCTCTTAGACGTTTGACAAAATAAAACAGAGAGCTAGGGGCATACGAATACTTTTGGGATTCACATATAGTACAACTATGATGGTGACGTATGTCGAGTTAAGTGGAAATGGATATAATTAAAAGGGTACAGTGTACAGCAATAAAAATCAAACTGGAATATCTCTGTTTGAGTAACGTTACGGTTAGTAAGAGATTGGTAATTATTGCAATTACTTTACATATAAATATTCATATTTATAGAATTTGAAGTATTCGCAATTAATGGGGGGGTGTACGTATACACCCCTCTCTCTTCTTCTCCTCTCTTTGTCACTCCACCTTCCATGTGCATGTATATAGTATATATAAGTATATATGCAAACATCCGTAGACGGGTACACGTGTGTATCTATCAAATATAGAATATGGTATGATAGATACTCTATATATATATAAAAAACGGGTGTTTAAGAGAGCGTAACGTTGTTCAGAAACAAACACCGAAAATGGGAAAGTGGAGACCGTAAGTAGAATAGGTATATTGGAATTTAGAATTTAGAATTTAGATTTTTGGATTGAGGAGGCTAAGTCTACTCTAGTCTTTTTCTCATCGATAAGTGGAGTTAATGAGGGAGAAGTTAAGAGGTGGTTCGTCATCCCGTTCATTTCTGAGTTTGAATGGGGGTCTATTTTTAGAACTGTTTTGTATGAGGAGAAAGAGAGAGGGCAACGCAAGCTTGAGCATGATGATGATGATGATGATGGGTAATTTAACTTTTTGATTTTTTTTGCATATGATTTCGAATTGCGATTAATATTGGGCATAAGGGTAAGTAAGTAAGTAAATATCTAGTCGGATGATTATACGAAAAAAAGAAAAAGAGAGGATGACAATTGATGTTAGTAGGATAAAACTTTTTCTATTTTTGTATTTATATTTCTGTGATTTGAGCATGTGTAAGTAAGTAAGTAAGTAGTAGATGTTCGGTGATAGCGTGCGTGGCCTTGGTACTGCTAGTCAACCAGTTCCGAAGCGCGAATGCTTGTTAGAAACGTTCACCCGGGCGGTTGAAACGAACAGAAAAAATCGGTACCACCCACAGTTCGGGAATCAAAGTGCGAAGCCTTTTTCCCCTTTCCTTCCAAGAGTCCTTTTGTTTCTACTCGGTAATTTCGGTACTTGGAAGTTTATGGTAGAGCTGCAAGTCATGTCAGACGTCTCTTAATTGTACTTGATATTATATTATGTTGGACAGCCAAATGTTTGTTTGGTGGGACGGGACCAGTTGGAGTGACTTCTTAAATATACTCCTGCGCATTGAATTGGATTAAATATATACAACAGGAAACTTTGAACAACGGTGAAACGGTCGGTGAGGATGGCACGGGTATTGACATGTACTTACATGTTGGTTGGATATCTATTATACCCCAACATGCATACGGTAAGTAAGTAAGTACCTATGTTGGTAGTATTAATATTTACTAATTTGGTAAAACTGTGCCTGTTGGAAGTATAATAGAGTATGGTATATAGAGTGAAGGATCGCGAGAAAGCCTTGCGGTGTGCAATTGCAATTTGGATCCGTAGATTAGATTTGAGATGAACTTTATATTTTACTCTGTCATCACGGCAAACTCGCAGGGATTATACATTATATTCCTGGAAGTATGGGATTTTTAAATACATCTATTAATATAATATTCTAGAATTACAAGGCGGAATCCAGGGCTCATGCTCAGAATATAATATTACTTTATAACTTCGATATTAGAGTTACTTACTATCCAACGTTAACATGATAACTAATAACACGATACGGGTGAATCAAGTCGAGTTTTAATTTCTAATTTTTTTTTTTTTTGAACATCATCATTGACTGTGACATCCCCTGCATCATTTTTCCATTCCTCCATTCATCGTTCATGCGATTGGAGTAAGCGGGATGGATGGCAAACAATTTCTTGTTAATAAAAAAAACTCCCGTTGGTTCTTTTTTTTCGGGGTTCCTCGTCTTTCTTTTCTTCTTCTGATTCTATAAGAGCCGGAACTAAGAATTCGAATTCATGCATGCCAGATTTTGATTGGTACGGTTTGTTCGATTGGAAGGTTAACGGTTATACTTGCTGTTAATTGCCAGATTGTATCTTCTTCTTCTTATATATTAACCTACCAAGCCAAGGTATATACCCACTAGCTAACCAGCTGGACTATATTATAATATATTATCATAGAGATATTAGAGAGACATTAAAAGGAAGAAAGAAATACACACACGGAGAGAGGGAAAAAATACTTCGGATGGAAGTGGTGATATATTTATTGAGTATCGTGCTGGAACGGCGACTTTTCTGACCGTCCAACTGAGCTCTCAAACCACATCAACATCAGCCATCAAACCACCATCATCATTACTTAACCTTTCCCCCCCACCACCATCGCTAACCATTGCAAGGCCAGGTACAGATACCAACCCGGCTTCATCCCATCAACTGCAGGAATTTACCAGGTATATACAATCTATACTTATATTATTTATTTATATATATATATATCTCTCTCAAGGTACATCGATACATTCGCTCCCCCCAGCCCCTCAACCAGTTAGGCTAGGTGATGTTGAATTCAATCTAATCTAATATAACGGAAACTTCCTTAGACGCCCTCGTATTCGAACCGCAGCACCGGTCCATGAAGACTTGTGGTGGAGGTGACTGCATTAAGATTGTGACCAGGCAGCCCTCCGTTTGGCGCCTCCATCCGAGAGCAGTGCAGTCGAATCAAGGAACTCACTTGCCCAGTCCAAACCAAACGGTTTTGCCGACCACCAGAAAGCAACCACCACCACCACCACCAAGGGACCAAGCACCAAGCACCTCAAGCTTAGTCGGAGCTTAGTAGCTGGTGTAAAGCTACTTTGGCCATACCTCTTTTGGGCGGGTCCTGGACAGGGCAGCTGGGTGAGAGAGAGAGAGCCAGAGTGAGAGAGAGAACGAGTCGTCTTTTTTTTCTCTTGTCCTTTTTTTCTCTCCTCTTAATTGCTGTTCTGCAATTTTGACAAATCCCCTTCTGCTCTGGCCTATTCCTATCCTCCAACCCTGAGATAGATAGATCCCGCCTCCGCAGCAGTAGTAGTAACAAACATTCCTCAGGCTTCTTGCTCTTGGCTCGATCGGATTCTCTCTTCTCACTCAACCCTCTTCTTCTTCTTCTTCTTTCATTCCTACGTTCATCTGATCAAGGCATCTTTGCATTATTTGCTTCCACCGTTTATTTCCACAGCTTCTTTTGCACAGCCCGCCTTCATAGCCTTCTCGAGATCCACCGTCTTCCCTGGTCACTCCCCGGAGAATATATTCCAAGGTACGCTTCTTTTTTTGCCTGACTGCATGAAAAAGTAATCATCACCACCGCTGCCCTCCTACATCTCTAGCCGAGTTGTCGGGGGTATTCTGGCATTCTATCATCCTTCTCGACTTCATCCCAAGCTTGCCTTGCTTTGCTTGTGTGCCCTGTGCCTGGGTCTGGTCCTCTTGATTCTGTACCTGTGTGTCCTCGCTCGTCCCGTCTGAGACAAGCTTCGTCCTCCACAGCCACCCTCTTCGATTCGCTCCCGCTTTCACCGCCTGTCTGCTTTATGCTGCTTTTCTGACATCTCCAAATCTACCTTCCACTGGGTTTCATACGCAATTCATGGGATCTCGCTCCCTTAGTCAGATCCTGTTCCCCCCCTTGACGTTTCATTACCACTTTTGGATTCCCACACATCTGCTACCGGCCGCAGCAAAGTTCTTGTCCAGATCCAAGCCTCCTCGATCAGGAACAACCTCTTTCTCTTTTTCTTCTCAATTCTACTTTCGGGCCCACTTTGCGTGTTAGTATGCGCAGCTGTTGTCCTTACTCCAATCTTCCCTTTGATCACGTTGCTTGTTTTCTAATTCCGGATATCGTTCCATCATCTTTCTAAACGTCTTGCGCCCAACTAACCTATCGGCACAGTTTGCGAAGCTTTGTTTTGACCTAGGCTACACACACACACCCCCCCTCTATCCCAAGTGGGCACTGCCGTTCGCCTGTTCTTTCTCTTCAATATCCTTTTTCTCCACTCCCGTTCCACCTTTCCCTCTTCGCCTCTCTTCCCCTAAGCGTCCGACGACATTGCATACGCAGCTGCCCTTCTTAGCTTTCCGACGATCAGAAAATAGCATACTGCCAACGGAAAGATGTCGCGACAGGGCCTATCTCACCAGAGGTCCTCGGAGGCCTTAAATATGTCGCCAAACCCCAATAGTGTCTACAACAATCTCAACTCCGCACAGCAGAACTACTTTGGCTCCCCTTACCTCACCCCTTCTCAAGATCTCTCGCAAAGCATACAAGCTCAGGTCCCATCGCCCACCTTAAACCCTCAAGTCTTCAGTCAACCACAGGCACCATCCGGTCTGCTGGGTCCCGCTACCTTCAATCTAGGTCAGCCTCAGAGTCAAACTGGCTTCAACGACTTCTCTCTTTATAACGATAACAATTCCCCCACCAACCTCGATCCTAGCGCCGCCATGTACGGTGGTACCGAGATCATGAATCCCTCGAGCTTCATACCAAATAGACATCACAGCCCTCACCTAGTCACCCCACCGAACCAGCAGCAGCTGGATTGGTCATCCCCAAACTTCCATCAGATCCAGTCCCGCCACCAACGTGCGTTATCGGACCAATCTGATATCTCGCCACAGCCGAGCCCTTTCCTGCAGAACCAAGAGTTTCACGATCACCACAGTCCTTTGCTCAGAGCAGAGCAACCTGGGGAAATGATGAATCTCCTTCAGAGCAACGATAACTTCGGGCTCGACCAATTCACCCTGAATGATACTGTAAACGGCTACTCGCCGAATCATAGCCCTAGAATCACCCCTCACCTGACCCCGCAACACACAGGGAATGGTCCTAGCCGACAATCCCTCAACGAATCTGCTTTCCTATCATTGAACCAGCCGACGTTCCAAAATCCGAACACTGCGACTCTCGCAGGCCTCGGCCTACAGCCTATAAATGGCCTCCAAGATCAAGTTGTGATCACCCCTCCTTCCATTGAGGTTGAATTCGCCCCTCCCCAGCGACAACCTACTTTCCCGGAGAAAATGCATGATGATGGCGCACTTTCACCTCCATCAAGAGGCCGTGCCCGCCAGAGGTCTAAATCCGATCCACCACTGTTGACTATTTCTCGCCCAGAGACTCCAGATTCTCAAATGAGCAGCTTCAACCCGAACTTTGAAGTCCCCACACGCGGCCGCCGTGATTCCCTCCACCCCACTGATTTCCTCAACGCCAACAGCCACCTTAGAACCCCTTCTCCTTCTCCTTCAATTTCTTCTGTCACATCTTCGGTTTCCACATCCTCCCGCCATGTTCGCCGTTCATCTACAGGCGGGCTGAGCAACCGCGACTACATACTGGATCTCGCCGACCCTAAGCGCCCTGGTGTCTCAGGATCCGATACAAAGCGCGTGCAGAAGCATCCTGCAACCTTCCAATGCACATTATGCCCAAAACGCTTCACCCGCGCTTACAATCTCCGCTCCCACCACCGCACACATACCGACGAACGTCCGTTCGTCTGCACGGTATGTGGTAAGGCATTCGCTCGCCAGCATGACCGAAAACGTCACGAGGGCCTGCACTCCGGCGAAAAACGGTTCGTTTGCCGTGGAGAGCTGAAGTCTGGTGGGAACTGGGGTTGCAGCCGACGATTTGCACGTGCTGATGCCCTTGGACGACACTTCAGAAGCGAAGCTGGAAGAGTGTGTATCAAACCACTGCTTGATGAAGAAGCCGAAGAGCGGATGAGACGACAGGCGGAGAGTAATAGTATGGCGATGGCATATGATCCCTCTCATCCTACTTTCCCACCTGGAGCTTTGGATCAATTGCCGCTGGCATTGCTTGCGCAGTACCCTGCTCTTGCTAGTGCATGGGAGACGCTAGCTAATGCGCCTTCCGGAGGATACGATGATGAAGATGAAGGGAAGAGCGGGACATTTGATCATAGCAGTGGTGGCGAGTGGGATGAAGGGATGAGCTCGGGTGGGATGGGCAGTCATCGGAATAGCTTTGATGGAAGCGGCTTTTCGAGGGATGATTGGAGTGGTAGCGAAGCTGGGTGGCATAGCGATACGGGCGAACCGTATCCCAGCACTACTCCAACCTGGAGCCTGCCAGGATAACGGTAGAATCCGTGGCTAGGAAGCGTCTATTGGGATTAAGGCCCTCGTAAGGAGTGGCGAAGTTGTGGAAACTGGGCAAGAGTAAAAGCAAGGTATCGGTATTGTTTCTTGGGAATTTACAGGCCGGGATTTTTTATATTCTGTTTCATTTTTGTTATAGGAGTCCTTGATTTTGAGTTTTATATGTTTTCTTATTTCTTTCGTTGATACGGGTGGGCATGATGTGGCATTTTCGTATACTTGCTGCATTTTTATACGAACTTTTGCTATCATGGGCTTTTACCCCGGATCTCATTTTCATTTGCTATTTCTTTTTCTTCACCTTCCACTCTTGCAATATCTTGAATATCGAGAGGTGTGTTTCTATAAACCTGTCCGCTATAGATTTCCTTCTGTTTGGAAGTTTTTTATTTCTATTTTTTTTTTGTTTTTATTATTCCATCATGTTTTATCAGATAACCGGTAATGTATAAGCAAAGTTTAACCTATAGTCAATCTTTCCAATTTCTTTTACTATTATTGTCTCCATCACCCTCTTGTCTTTTTTCGATCTTCTACAATATGTATTAACTCCATTCCTGTCTCCACCTCCCCAAAAAATTGCGAATCTCGTTTGGTTCTTCATCATTTTGGAAAACAAAAAATGTGAACTTTGGCTTTATTTTTTTTATTTTTCAACTTTTCTAGACTGCTGGGGTAATATTGGGATTGCCTTTTTTTATTTATTTGTCTTTTACTCTTATCCTTTTACTCTTCTTTTTTATTTGCTGCAATCGTTTTTTGAATTCGATTTTCATATTAGGGGCGTCTATCTAGTCTTGCTTCTTCTTTTTCTTCTTTTTTTTTCAACTCTCCGCATGCTGTTTGGTCTTCCTCTTTCTACTCTAGTTTTTTAGTTTTTTTTTATTTTTATTATAAGATACAAATGATACAACCGGAAGGATATTTGATTCCCTCTTTCTTTTGAAACTCATTTCTCTTTTTTTTTCTTTGTGAGGGGGTTAATTATTTGGTGAGGGGTCTTATCATTTTTTTGAAGCTTTTTTAAAATACTTATATATATACCTATAAAAGATTGAAAAATTAACTTATTTTTTTCCGTTGATATTGATGTTTCTCTGCTAGTATTATATTTGGGTGATTAGGATATCTTTCGTGGTGTTTATTTAATATAGACTTTATGCATATTATAATATAGCCTTGAGATCTTCGATATGATGCGGGTGCTTTGTAGACTTGATACTATACTTGGTAGACTTCTATCCAGCTTTTGGGGGTTGGATGATCGATACGTACGGTTGTGATGCAAATGTATACTAGAGTATAAGTACCTGGGTACTAACTGGGAAGATATTCATCCCGCTCTTGTGATTTTTTTGGTCGGGGGGGATTGGTCGGGGTGGGGGACGTTACGAATATATATGGTTGATGTTCTTGTGTTCTTGTGTTATACATGTAGATACCTTATGTGCTTAGGTACTTAGGTACTTAGGTACGTAGGTATATAGCGAGCCCTGTATGTACTATGTATAAGTCGGTCTCTATTGGGTTTACATGGTGGATCTTGTCTTGTCTCGTCACCGGACTCCTCAACTTTATATCTTACTTAGCTAGTACTTAAGTACTTAAGTATATACCTTTCAATTATCGTGAAGAGTAGCATGAGGACTCCGGACTATGTCAAATATATGGATGTTTTTTGAGTATGATTTCATTTCATAAAATCTTCATTTTAAAGTCCGAATATATCCACATTTCGAAGTGAAGAAAGTGTGTTTCAACAATGATGAAAAAAAAAAGAGGAAAAAAACCCGACGTTTTCGTCAACGACCATGAGTAGACGCATAATAGTAATACCAAGTAAAGGAAATTGATGAAAAAAAAACAGAAACAGGAGACCGGGGGTGATTTGGACAAGAAGAGAGAAGATAAGTTTGAGATGTGTAGGCTTTAAACCCGTTCCCATTTCTTTCCCTCCCCACGGTATTCTCTGCTTTTCTTGTCCTAAAAGAAGAGAAGGGAGGGTAGACGGAGGGTTTAAAGAGTCGACGACTATGACATGTTGTCGACCTAAAGCGAGAAGAAGAAAAACATTGAAAAAAAAACTTTCTAAAAGTGTGTTTCTTTTTTGGAAGAATGACGGATGAGGGGTTGGTTTGGGTGAGAATGTTTCCCTCTTTTTTGGAGGTGGAAAAAGTTGGAATTAATGGTAGAAGCTTTATGTAACAGAAAAGGGAGGAAGTGGGAGGGTATTCTGCTTTTTTTTAAATTTTTAGAAATTTAAATTTATGCGGCAATGGTGACTTCGACCTATTTAGTTTTTTATATATTGGTTAGAATTTTTGGTGATTCATGATTGATGGTATATAGATGGTTGGAGTGGTGGTTTACCTCAACGCCAGCTTCGATATTTATGATGATCTGCTTGACGACCTCAGTGCCGGCTTGTAAACTAAATTTCCTTCTAGTTAGTAATCTGCCGTCTTCTTTTCTCCCCAGATTTATATCCGGGTAAATGATGATAGGTAGGTTAGATAAAAGGTGGTACGTACTCAATCAACCTCTTGTGGATTCTCATCTCAAAGGAGTCCCATGTCTTGGAACCCTCACCGTTGGGGGTTTTACGGGTGGAGATTCTGAGGTTCTTGGTGGGTAGTCTGACGGGTCCCTTGACGCGCAAGTCCTTGGAGCGGGCGCGCTCGATGAGTTCCTTGCAGACCTTCTCTAGCGATTTGACCTTGCGGGATGTGAGGGTGATGCGGATGCGGTGTTCCTGGAGAGTTTTAAGGCGTTAGGTTCCTGGATCTTTTGTTTCCTTTAATATGATTATATAGTCGAAATCCCCCCCATTCTCCATATCTCTTATATCCTCTGAGAAGGATTATATAGCCTCCCCCCCCCCCTCGATGGTTGGGTTTGAGATATTTCCTTCTGCTTCGTTCTCCTTCGTATTTCTTTCATCTTTGAGAAGTACTAGCAGCATTTCCCCCCCATTATTCCTTTATTTTTCTTCAAATCCCCTTTATAGCAGTTCTATATTCCACCTCATCTCTTCCTTTCGAGCCCGGAGAAATTGGAGGGAGAGAGAGAGAGGTTCAATCTAACCTTTGGAGCATCACCAGAGTCCTTGCTGTCCTTTCCAAGATATCCCGACATATTGAATAAAATTTAATTCGTCAAAAAAGAAGACGGCGTCGAAAGGTGAAATTCGTCGAAAAAAAAAACGTGGAAGTATCGGAATAATCAACCGGTTTATTTAGATCTGGGGATCTTTTCGTCGGGGACGGAGGGAAAGGGGAGGTCGTCAAAAAAGGTTGTCGAAAGGGCTAGCAAAAAAGAGGTACTGGAGATGCTGTTTCTGATTGGGGATTGTTGTCTAGCTGGGCTGGGGGTGCACCATACAGGCTTTTCGCCAAGGCTTAAAATTATGTGGGACACTAGCCACTGGTTTGGAACGCTGATGTGCCCTTTTTGGGGCAGTTTTGTGGTGTGGCGGTTAGTTAGGGCAGCCATGCCCTGTGGCTTGACTGCTCGACGAGTTGGTCATGTGACTTTCTCTCTGTGTTAGGAAACTTGGCTTTTGGGACTTCTACAGTGCAACTGAGAGGACATCTCCGTTCATGATATTGGACAAGTTGGATTTAATAGATTCTTTTAGTACCATCCTTCTAGTTTCATACAGATCGAAGCATTATTTCAGTTTTTGTGAAGGCCTGATAGACATTTGGACTTGCTATATGGATATCAAGCTTTCAAAGCTAAGATGTAGACATCAGTACAGCTCCTGGACGCATAAATTCAGTATTTCTTAGTAAGGGTTCAATAATGGCGTTTGAAAAGCTCTCTCTATCCAATCCAAAATCTTATATTGTAATACCATTTGCTATGTTCAATGGACTGCTGGGCTGTGAAGAACAACAGTTGACTACTATACAGATACTATATGGAGAACAACATTATATTGTGGTGTTGGCGGGAAGATACAAAACGTCACATCGCAATTATCATCGCAAAACTATTCATCGTGATTCTGAGCTCAATATTTCTCCAAATGACTTGATTTTTGGATCAATCGAACGGAAATTCTGAGATCTAAATTTAGTGACCTATCTTCCAGGACGGTTGGGATTTTGAAAATGAGAATAGTCACGTGGTTTTTTTTTTGGCGAAGGTGGGCGTCAAGGTGTTGTCTTATAGAGGTCTTGCGCTGGTGCTTGTTCACTCAGTTTCGTAGCCAACCTAGGATAGAAAAGAATATCTGGATCTTAAAGCCCAGGTATATATATATACGGGGCTGTATACTGCTAAACACACCGCTGGATATTTTTCCGGAGCATGGGAGGCGGTTTACAGAAGTCACTCGCTTTATTCTGGGGCAGACAATAGTACCCCCCCAAAATTAGACTTCATCGTGGAATTTACCTCGATCTTCGCACACAAATTATTCCCAGAATAGGCCGATATAATCGATTACAGCTAATCACGCTTTATTACAAATCATATGTCCTAGAAACCATTGATTCTATATAAAAATACATGAAGCCCATACTGTAAAGAAACGTACAGAGATTTGTACAAATGTTACAAGGCGTATACATCTCGATATTTAAATCGTTGCTTGAGTCTCTAAATACACGACAGCGGGTACATGTGGTTAAATACTGAGCAGATAGTAATAAATGAAATAGTATAGATGAACTAAAAGAGAAAATAAAAGCTGCGGGCTTCAAATTAAGTTGAATATAGATAGCTGAACTAGACGGGGGGTATCTAGAATATATATAGACAATGTAAGCTTAAGAAATCGTATGTAGATCGACTAGCACCAGTATATTATCTACAAATCGATACTTAAACTATTGCCTACCTAGTTTTCAGATACATAACAGGGAACATAACCGTTTAAACAGACAAGTAATAAAAGAAATCACAAAAAGAACTGGGCAGGAGATAATAATACTGTGAACTGAACATTCAGATAAAGAGCTGAACTGGATCGACAGGGCATGTTTCTGTATCAAAAATAAGTGTTTGTAGGGTTACACGGACAAGACCTGCTGCTTAAAACGCAACAGGATCTTGCGGTGTTATTGCCTGAGCAACACATGTCTACAACATATGCATATATGGCATCATGCATTATATCAATATTAAATCCTTCCCAGGCTTCGAGATCGAGATCTATTCGGCAGCATCAAGATGGAACGTAGCGAACCAACTGCTAACTATCCGAATCCGTCTTTTGGAAGTTCAACAGCCTCCCCTTATTCAGGACTAAATCCCGTATATAATAGGTAAATTAATACCCGACGTGGTCAAGAGTATGCTAATCCCCAGCCATGCGAAAACTCTATTCTTAGAGACTGAAGCGCAGCCTGGGCTCATACATATACAGCTGAACATCCAAATCCATGATGGCCCGGGTGAATATCCCCATTCCGATGTCGGGCACGGTTGCTTCCCAAGGAGGAAATATTGGCCGATCAAACCGAGCCTGGATCCGAGTTAACTTATGTACAGGGACTCAGGAACATAGGTCGAATGCCCATCTATATGGAACATAAGTTTTACTAGTATATATACACTTATTAATCGATGAAAATAGAAATATAAAGTCAAAGCTAATATACCAGCTATACATTATATAAAGTCATCATATATTCTCGTTGAGAAACAGTTGTATACACCCCCCTTTTATTAGTCCAAATAAATACATTCCACATCGTCCATATACCACCAGGTGCATATTGGCGATTCCCGACTAATTTCCCCATAAGTATTCTCCACAGTCGACGCTGACAAAAGGCATACTCCCGGAACGCTCCCCGCAACCCCGAACTGAATCGATAGGCAACCTTCGGTTTCCAGACATCGTGTCTTGCATTGTTCGTACGTATAACCGGTGAGAAAGTCGATAGGCTCTGCACTGGCGGTACGACAGGCTGGAGTCACCTTGCAGTTTATGATCTTTGACGTCCCAACTATTGAGGTTATTGTGGTTATTGTGGTTACGGACTCGGTGACTATAGAGACAACAGGCGGAAGGGTTATGGTTTTTGAGAAGGCAGTCGCTGTGCCCGTGACTATGGTATTGGTGACGTGGGTGGGGTTGGAAGGAGCGGCGATGAAGCAGGAGCAAGCGCTAGAGACACGGGGTGGAGAGTATTGAGTGGAGAGCCATGAAGGGTAAGCGATCTGGGAGCGTTTTACGATATTTGGGATAGGAACGTCTGTGGTTGGGATGAATAAGGTTGAGGTGGAAGTATCTGTTTCGGTCAAAATACTAAAAAGTAACTAATGGTCAGCATGAGTCCGATTTGTGTACCCTTGGAATTAGGGAATATCAGCACGGTGTATACGTACGAGACGTCAGTCACTGTTACAAACGTAGGTGGTGGCGTTTCCGTTGCTTCAGTCGTAATAGTTGCCGGGACAAGCACGGTGTCCGTGATTGTGGATTGAATAAATTTGGAGCAGAAAGCGCTTGCGCTTTCGCTATATCGCTTGTCGCGAAGTCGACGGAGGACGTTATTGGAGTGGCATCCGTCACGCTTCCTTCCATTGAAATTGGATGGCGAATAACCCTCAGATAGTTTGATTATGTCTTCAGTGGTAAGTCCTTCTGCTGGAATAGCAGCTGGATGAGCGGCTGGAAGTGCATGGGCGAGGCCAATGAGAGCGGTAAATGTCGTGAGGCTTCCGTGGAACTTCATACTGAGAAGAAATATAATATATACAATATAATCACGAAGATTGTATTAATGCGCTGTTTCCGTTAGGCTTTTGCGGTGAGAACTGGAAGGAAAGAGACACTAAAAGGGAGTACTAGTAGATGCTTTTATAATAGAGTACAGACTACTACTACTATACTAGTTATATCCTGATACTGCTGGTGCTTGTGTAACAATCTTAACCAGCTTAATTAATTCTCAGGCGTTCACGCGGATTGTGAAAACACCTGTGAAAACACTCAAGCTTTGCGCTTGCATGATGGCTGCCTAGTCACACTGGGGGTTCCCACCACGACCAAGACACTTCAACATTGAATAAATGATATTTCCAGCGAATTGGAGCTCGAGAGTATGTATTGACGTGCAGGTGGATCAAAACTTATGGAGATATTTTCCGGGAAGAGCGCAACTTAATCGATCTGTTGAACCCTAGTTGACCAGTCAGCCGTAGCTTGGCAAGCTTAGCTTCATTATACGCGAGACTAGCACCTGGATTAAGGTTGCAGAGCTTGTGAGCCAAGGTGAGTTGGCAGGGAGGTTATGCACGCAAGCTGGCTTAAGTTTGAGATATTACATATATTACCGAATAATCTTTTTAACTTCGGAGTTAACGTTTACTACGTTGAGATATTTTAAACGAAGTTGATGTACGTCAGATTTTTCAATTTGATGGTAATTTTGAACAGAGTTAATATTTTGATCAGGGTCAATGATATCGGGCCAGACCTCCGGACTCTATAATTGTATGTTTAGTGCGCGCGTGGGCTGCAGGCTGAGCTATTACTCGTTCATCCAAAATTAATATTGAACTTCGTATCCAGGTGCCAAACGTACGTTACTTCGGCCTTAGCTACCCTGCCAACAACTGAAGAGGTCTTGTTGGAAGATCCGTAGCGGCTGATTTCGAAGCATGGGTCGCCAGTTGCACTCAGGGTCTGAAGCTTATATTATATGGGTGTTAATTAACCACCTGGTACCGTCGGGTCCACGGTCGATCCTCTTAACTGTGGCCAGTCATAGATGCGGGTAATTATAGACCAATCTTCGTCAACCGTCGAAATTCCCCATCTTGATAAAAACTTAGCAAGTTGTAGCCCCTCCGGCTCTATTATAATCATTTAATATGAGACTCGAATATGACTATGGGCGATATATAAGTCATTGAGAACGTGCGTGTTACTATTGGCGTACGTACTTGCTACTGAATCGGGTTTAAGGCCTGGGGTGGCCGCGATCGGTGGGGAGTGAAGAGATAATACCTATTCAAAAAAAAAAAAAAAAAAAACGTTGCACTGGTATAAGTTTCCAGGTTTGGGTACGAGACAATTGTATAAATATGTGAGTAGATGATGACTTCCTTGTTAATCCGGAGTAAGAATTCGATATAATGAGTTCAGTTTGAAGTGGTCTCGTTCCCAGACGTCACAAAGGGAGGCATCACTTTGTTTAGGCTCTCCAGTTGGCAGCTACCTAGTGGTAGCATACAATGATAATCTACGATAGAAAATAGATTTCTCTGCTCCGGAACAACTTACAAAACTATGTTTAGAAGTATTCATGGGTGGAAATTCGAATATTCTTCCGCATGACTGTACTAACTTTGCTTCTGGATCCTGTTGCTATCGTTTGTTCCTTCACTCCTCCCGCTTGTGGAAGACCTCAAGTTTTCTGGGAAACATGCTGTAGGTATATGAAAATGTTTCCGGTTGCAATAAATATCACCCAATATTCTCTCGAATTTATAATTCAGAGGAGTTATTTAAGTTTTCTTCGGTGGCCTAAGTTGCTGACTCGATTTTTGACCATCACTTTTTAATCTGTAGATCACAGATGTCCAAAGTTGTTTAATATTCAGCTCAGGTCTGTCCTCAAGAGAACCTGAGTAACACATTCACACCGTTAACTCATCCGGACGCATATTGAAGAAGAATCGCGTCTGCTAAGTCTTCATGAATTCATTCTCGCTGGATCTTCTTCCCTTTCCTATTCTTCGCGGTTCGACCTCACTACCTGCATATATGTACGTGATAAAAATATTGCTAAAATGCATACAAATGTGACGAGCTTCTCCAGTGCTGCAAAAATTAACTTCGTATAGGAGCTTAGAATGAGAACTTGGTCGGTTGGAAGTAGCCTAGTTGACATCACCGTTGGATAAGAGGCTGTCGCAGAGCAGCCATCCGAGACCATAATCCAGCCTCGTAACCATAATCGTCCTCGAACGAGCTTGGGGAAATATGTGTTGTCGGATGTTGGTGTTCTGCACTTCGTGTTCCCAAAAGGGGAATATAACGAAGCAACGCATTTCCTGTTCCGATCGTCTATACTTTTATTGGTAAATTAACGTAAACTTCAGTTTGGAATACAGGTAGTATAAAAAAGTGCCGTTTTCAGAAGAAGACTGTGGTAATACATTTCGTAATTGATTCAAGTGAGCTTCCTTCTACAAATTTTGTACGCCGTTTAATACATCGTGATCGATATCAAAAACAATCGTCAATTATGCCAACTACCCATAGGTCAAGTCAGATCATCTCTTCAGGAATAACTCCGAAATCTGTTTTAGGAGTCTTCAATATTCATGAGTAAAGACTTCACCAGAGACATGGCTAGGGTTTGCAATTTGATACTTATATGCAGCAGCTCATTAGTGCCTCGAAGCCAAACCCTGGACCCTCCAGCCTTTCAGGTAATCGAGGCCAAGTCAAGCCTAATTATCTTAAACTTACTATCCGTACCTCAGCCGACCGAGCTGAAGACCGCGATTTGGCTGATGGAGATGTTATTCGAATCTACTATGTATACTGAAGAACAAAACATACGAATATGATAAACCCGTCAGGTCATCCAATTATGTTTGCAATAGACTAGATAGAAGAAGTGATGCAATCAATCTCAAGCAAATGATATCACTTAAGTTAGCTCCATAAATCCAGGTTTATCGGGTTAACGTTACGGAAGACAGAGCTACTTATTTAGAATACAATTATGGTAACGTATAACCTAACGACGCTGAATTGTGTCAATTATACGAATCCTAGCCGATGTATTAACATATCATAGAACGCCTATGGCTAGCGCTATAGCGTAGGACGTCGACATGAAAGCTGTAGATTAGTGCTATTGTTTTACTAATTGTGTTTCTAGAAGAATTGCACAAACTGTTGGTTGAGACACCCACTGTGCAAGTGTGGATATGTTGGGGCTTAATCTCAATGCAAATCGGTTGGTCGTCAAGTCAGTCATTTGTGCGATATATACAGCTAGCTATCTCGAAATATCTTTAGCTGGGGAGAGTGCGACGAAAATTAGGGAAGTTTCTCTTTCGGGTTTAAGAACGAGATGTCTCGAGGACGGATCGATCATTTCATCATTCATTTAAGAATATTTTCTGTAAAGGAATAAATTGGATAGCCCCAAACTGGGGAGGCGAAATTCCCACAGGCCTACCTAAACATTCACAATTTCTTTATAAGCCTCCCACCAAAAAGCTGTAGTCACGTGAGGATTTTGGGCATCGAAATCGGTGGCAAGTGAGACACCATACAAAGGGATCGTCGGGGACCAGCACTGTTTGGTCGGCACCTACGCCGCGACCACGAGGAATATTTCTGATTTACGATGACGTCACTTCGATGAACTCTTAAGAAACGGTGGTGTTGGTCATAGCTAGGAAAAGTGATTTCCCATATAAAAGTGGATAACTTTGGGGCTTACTTGCGAATGAAGCGAAGATGGTAACTTGATGAAAATAATGAATTTATTTAGCCCTTAGTCAGGAGATTTGATTGAACCAATTATCACAATTTTTTATAATATATGTCGTGCATGGCGGCCATTGATGGTTGAGCATAGGGGCAGTTCTGAAGCCCGAATTAGTCAGGTGACCGAGGCCATTTCAACGGGATGATGTTTAGTAAAAGTGCTCCACAGATCTAAGCTTTCACCATCTGCTGAACTATCGACAATCGAATCGCAAGTGGGTCAATCTGATGCCAATCCGCAAAGATACTTGGACTGTAGCGGTCCGGAAGCTAGCCTCATTGAATAAACGAGACCCACCAGCACCGGCGGTCACGGCCTCAAAAATCAGGTCCTACATCAACTTTGTACGGTAGTCAATCGGCGCCTACGGGGCATACCTGTTCGAACACGCCGCGTTTTTCCAATCGAGACATCGAAACCCTCCGTATGAATGCTTAAATTTCTCCGCTTGAAGTTCTCAAATGAGTGCCCAGACCACGAATTGGTGCTGGATCGCTTAGTCGGCTTAACTCGCACCCCGGTTACATAACACAACAGTGCTCCATTCCGTCCGAACTGGAATTCAGCCTTAAGCTGGTCGACAGGATCTTGTATGACCTTGTCCATGCACATGCTTTTTGTTGAACTTTGTCTCGTCTTCCCGGGCCCCGATCGATCCACATTCCTGAGAGATACACAAAAGTACTGAAAGTACTTAGAAGCACACCTTACTTATCCAATTCGATGTGCATTTTGCGAAGGGGGGAATTGTCAGCTGAGGGTGTTTATTATTCTTGGACTAATTCTTGGATACGCCGCGGTATTAACTTATGGCATAAGAGATTTAACTCTAACGATTCGTGGCCTTAAAACATTTAAAGCCCGTGCGTGCCATGAAGTTTCGCTCACCACTATCCTTTCTCCTCGATATAACCAAAATATTGCAATGTCGTCGCCAACTTTGAGTTTCAGTCCGAGCGATATCCCCGACCTCACAGGCAAGGTCGCTTTAGTCACTGGGTAAGAATTGACATATTGATGTATTCCCAACTGCTTTATACAGCATCAAGCTTCGTCATCGAGACCTAACACTGCTTGTTTAATATCAAGCGCCAATGTTGGAATAGGGTTTGAAACTGCCTACTTCCTAGCTTCCCACAATGCAACTGTATACCTCGCCTGTCGCAGCGAATCCCGCGCCTTGTCAGCAATTGATACCCTCCAAGCCCGATTGAAGGCTGCAAGGGTCGATGCAAAACTTTATTATCACAACCTTGATCTGGGATCAATCAAAACCGCTAAATCGTCAGCCGATGATTTTTTGACCAAAGAAACCCGGCTAGATATCTTGATAGCGAACGCTGGAGTCCTCGGAAATCAATGGACGTCAGAATGGGAGTACGAACCGATGTTTTATACAAACCACCTGGGACACTTTGCATTCGTTACGACGTTATTGCCATTGATCGAGAAGACTGCGAGTCTAACACACGATGTGCGAATCGTCTGTACTACCAGCAAAGCGTTAACCATGACTTCTCCGACGATTGACTACAATTCCATTACGGAGCGTCCAAAGGACGCGGATGCGCCTAGACATCTTGGACAATTCGCAAATGCGATGAAGGTTTACGGACAAGGGAAGCTTGCGAATTTATATTTTGCGAAGGAATTGGATAGGAGATATAGAGAGAAGGGGGTATGGGTTAATGCCCCTCATCCCGGATGGGTTGGAGGTACGGAGTTGGGACTTCATGAGGCGTTTGATATGTTTGGGTTTATTACGAAGAGGATTGTGAATTTTTTGCATACTTGGTTTGCTATGAAGACTACCGATGGTATGCGCCCTCCGAGCATTTGATTTATGTTTTGCTTTTAAAAGATGAGAGAGTTGTTCTAATGCGGAAGCTGTGCTTAGGGGCTGCGACACAGACGTATCTGGCGACGTCGCCACGTGTGCCGGAGTATGGGATTCATGGACAGTATTTGATGCCGCGGAATAATTGGTTATGGAAATACCAGGGCCCACAGGTGATTAATCTTGGTGCGCCGTATCAAAATGAGGAGGAGTGGAGTAAACTTTGGCAATGGTCTGAAGAGGTTGTAAAGAAAGAACTGGCGAAGTAGTCCTCCATATTGGAAATGCATGATATGGTTGTTCTGGGTTTACTGTGTAGTTAGTGTATTAGTCTGTGCCATGTAGCATCTATGGGTTGATTTAATAATGTAGCCTATTCCTATTTCTTAGCATGCAATCGCATTTTTTTATTTTTTTAATTTTTTTAATTTTCAGTTTTATAACCTCAAGACGAGCTGGGGTTGTAGGGATTGCAGGGGCTGCGCTGTATGAAGAAAGCCGTGAAGCCAAGAATATAGTGGGTCTCGACGTCACCAAGCTGCTTTGCTGTGTTGCTGGGAACCACTTTAGGTATCTTGTGTACTCGTCCCCTTCAGGTTTTGTCCTTTTCTATCTTCAAAACCATACAAGACCATCCCGACCCCTCGATCGAGGCTCACATCCGCGCGTGTTTTCACCATGTCGACGTAAGTTATGCCACTTTTTTCCTTCCAACTCCCTAGATACATCGAACTAATATCTACATGTAGTCCTCTACACATTCCCTTCCGCAAATCAGCACCCCTCACCCCGCCACTCTCGACGGCGATAACATCCTACATATCATCTAAATATGACCAACATCCTGATATGTTCAAGACCGATTTGGTCACTATCGATAAGATGCGCTCGGACGCTGTTAATGTTCGAGATGCTCATGGCAGCGAGCTGGCGAAGTTGGGAGCCTATGCTGCCGTTTTATCGGCTGCCAGTGGGAAGTTTCCGGTTGATGTACGAACCTTTCCCTTTCGATATCCTATGGCGAGATGTATGCTGACAACTATGCTTAATACTATAGATCGGTGCAGATTTTACATGGTATCCGGCATTAGGATACAACACCCAGCGTCCCCGTAAGAACATCCCTCCTCTACCCTCACCGACAGACTACATCATCATATTCTAACGCCATATTCGCCATAAGCAGTTACCCAGAATAATCTACAATTTGAGCGCGCGAATATAATCTACAATCTCGCTTCTTTATACTCCCAACTTGCAGTCTCAGTCTCCCGTTCCACCTCCGATGGTCTTAGACAAGCCTGCAACTACTTTTCCTCCGCCGCCGGAACCTTCGCCCACCTCCGTACCGAGATTATTCCCACGATGCGATCCCTGCCACCGGAAGACATGGATGTCATGACCCTGGAGGCACTTGAAAACTTAATGTTAGCACAGGCGCAAGAATGTTTCTGGCAGAAGGCTGTAATGGACGGCATGAAGGACTCTTTGATATCTAAGCTTGCAGCAAAAGTTAACGACTTTTATGCTGAAGCGAGAGATATTGCGAAGCAGTCTGATACCGTGTCGACGGAATGGATTCATCATATGACCGCCAAACACCACCATTTTGCTGCGGCTGCGCAGTATAGAGCCGCATGTGATGCCCTTGAGAAGTCGAAGTATGGAGAAGAAGTGGCAAGATTGCAGGATGCACTTAAGTGCGTGAATGAGGGATTGAGGGAGGAGAGTTATGTCTCTAAGGTTGTTACAACGGACTTAAAGGGTCTGAAACAAAAGATTGTGGATACGCTACGAAGGGCGGAGAAGGATAACGATTTGATATATTTGGCGCCCGTGCCGTCGAAGGCTGAACTGGCAGTTTTACAGAGAGCTTCGATGGTGAAGCCAGTGGTGCCCAAGGAGATTACTGAGGCTAGTGCGAAGCTTGTGCCTGGTGGGGAGTACGGTCCACCGTTGTTTCAGAATTTGGTGCCGTTCGCTGTCCATATGGCGGGTAGCATATACGTCGAAAGGCGAGATCGGGCGGTGAATAATATTATTGAGGAATTGGAAACCTTGACGGTGCAGTTGAGAGAGACCTTGCAATCGCTCAACTTACCGGGATCGCTGGAGGCATTGGAAAAGCCGTTGGGTCTCCCGCCTGGACTCATGGCACACGTTCAAGAAGTTAGGCAAACAGGCGGTGTGGAAGGGCTTCTCAGAGCCTATGATGACGTGACAAAGATCAAGTCAAACGACAAGACTGTGTACGAAGAGTGCGTGGAGATTCTCAGACTGGAAGAGGAGGAAGATCAAAAGATGAGACAGAGACATGGGACTGATAGGTGGCTACGAAAGCCATCGAAAGAGGTGGAATCAAACCCTATCAAACAAATCGAGGAGTACGGCAGCATCATACAGAGCGCGGATAACTCGGACCGCCTTATTATGGAGAAAATTCGAATGTTTGAGGCGTCCCTGCGGCTGATGCAGGGTAGTGATGTGAGTTCGTTTTATTATTCCTGGTGGGACAGGAATGTCGATGCTGACAATACAAAAAGGCCGGCTTACGGGACTTCGTACCAAATTCCAGCCGCCCAAAGATGAATGTTCAGGTCGACAAAACAGCCACAAAGCTCCGACAACTTCTTGACGAAACCTCACGGTTTGAATCCGCCAGAAAGCGCCTAATTGAAAAAATCCGTGAAAGAGGCAAAGCGGATGATATTACACAAGCCCTACTTCTCGAAGCCGGAAAAATCGAACTAGAACAACCATTAAAACCTATCGAGGCCGCCGACTTTGAAACACTTTTTGCAGAACGCCTGCGAGCGTATGATGAATACCAACCTCTCAAGGCAGAGGAACAACGAAAGCAGGATTCATTGACGACAAAGATCAAAGACGCAAATACTGCGTTCGTGTCGAGCAGGAAGGTAGACGACAGTCTCAAAGAGCGAGAACAGGCGTTGCAAACACTGGAAACGGCCTACTCAAAACATCAAGAAGTTATTGGGAATTTGGACAGCGGGAGGAAGTTTTATAATGACCTTGCCAAATTATTAGCGAGGCTACAACAGGAAGCTAAGGGATTTGTTTATGCGAGGAAGTACGAAGCAGAACAGATGGAAATGTAAGGATCCCCGCATTCAACACTACTTCCTTGGGTTATAGTACTAATACGCAGCCGAATAGGGATATCACATCTGCAATGTCTAATCTCAGAATATCATCGACACCCGCCGCAGCCCCGATAGCACAATACCAAAAACACCAAAAACCAGTGCAGCAGCCAGTACAGCAGCCTCAAGCACAACCTGTACCTTCTCGGTACCCCACAAGATCACAAGCGCCAACTAGGCAATCTGAAACAGCGACACCTCTACCAGCACCTCAGGCGCAAAGACCGCTAAATGTGCCGTCTGTGCCAACGGTCCAGGGTGGTGGAGTTTGGACGCCGGATCAGGGTATTAGGTTTGGACCGCCAGCTGGCGGGGCTGGGAGGGGGAGGTAGATGTTTCGGTTGCAGAGATATATTGGTCTTAAGTGCTTAGGTACATACTTGATATAGATGTACATGAGATGGATGCAGCTTTTCTTCTTTTTTTTGTCGTTGTTAATATAATTGGGTGGAATTTTAGTCAATTACGCATAACTAGCGGGCAATATAAAGCGAACAATCTAACAACTATCATATATGAGTAATCTACCTCACACTCTACCCTGCAATATTCATAACCACATCTTCTTCCTTACCCACTAAACCAAAAAGACCGTCCAAATACTGAGCATACATACCCAAAGGTAGGTCGCGCCAATGAACGAGATACGCGAGAAGATGGCGCATTGGCTCTAACAGATCCTCGTCTTTACAAGCAGATGTTGTAGACTTCCAGGCAGCGTAAAAAGCCCGCATGGCCACAGAGGACCTCTCGCGCGGAGCGGTGTTGAGGTAATCTGCTCCCTCAGGCCAGGTCATCCCGAAACGGTCGAGGACCTTGGTAAGTGTGGATGTCATATCCAGAGCACGTCCGGTGCCGACTGCCAGGTCCCAGTAGGCGTTTTCAGGGCTGATTACGAATACTCGAGGGTGCGGTATAGGTCGCCAAGTGCTGCTATCTTGCAATAGATTTGCATAGCGAACGGTGGCTTCGGAAAATAACATCGTGCCAATTGCATGAATTAAAGGCCGATAGTGGCCGGTTTCGAGACACAGTTCTGCGCAGGATAGCATGTCACCCATTAGCCTTCTATAGAGTGCTGTATAACTCGGCAAGGCTCCGGATACCACGAAAGCTATCGCGGAGTTTGGCGACCCTGTACCAACGCAATCAAAAGGCACATCCCAGAGATCGTGGAAGAGTGTTCCGATGCGAGTGGACCGGCAATTGGAATCTGTGAATCTACCGGGAAGGTGCTCATAGGCGAGACGAGTACCATGTGCAGTGAGGCTGGTTAGACCTGAGTCTATATACCGGGCTATATGGTATCCGGTCCATTCGTCTGCAGTTAAAGCAGGCGCTTCACCCACCGGCGCAGAGGCATGGCGAGATGTGAGAGACTTGAAGGTTTCAGATGTTGATTGGCGATAAGAACAGAACGGATCACGCGCGACGGCGGCACCGGCTATTGCGTTCCCCAATAATGAGTCCGCACATTGCGTAGTCGCTAATCCGCGGAGCATGGACACACTACAAGCTTGTGAGATGACAGCAGATTGCCAGCCGGGACCGTGATCGGTAGGATAAGCGGTATCGGCATACACCATGCACACTGAGAGGTCGGTATGCGCTTGACAGCAATCACGACCAACGCCGGGGCAGCACCATAGGTTGAAACATCCGGTTAGAGGTTCTAAGTTCTTGATAACGGCTTCCGTAATAGAGATCGAACAGGCGTCAGCGAATAGTTTCAATTTTGCGGCGAGTGGTAAAAGCTTTGGATGGCCGTTCATGGATTCGCGAGTCCGACGAGGCCAAAGAGTTGAGTGAGCCTTCTCAACTATGCCTTTTGTTACATATGGGGTGCCACATAGACGACCAAAGACGGAACCAGGCTCTGCTCCCATCATAGCGAAGGCTATTCTCAAATTATCTGCATCACAGGTAATACCAGGTGCGGTACCCGTAGTGTAGTATTTGCGGTACTCTGAAATTACAGTGGGTAGGTCTGCGGTAACGGCTGGGTATAGGTCAAAGACACCGTACCCGTTATCAGGGAGTGGGAAGAATAGTTTATCAACGTCTCCCTTTGCGAACGCCGAACGAGGAGAGTTAGTTCCGGTCAATTCTATAGAATGACTAGGCAAATGGGTCATAATGAATCGAGCTATTTCATCATCCCATGCTGCGGGTCTGGAGCCTAACGAGGCAGTAAGGACGTTTGTGTACGCCGTAGAATTTGAGCTATCCAAGGAAGCACTTTTCAAAGTGCGGGCCTTAGCCAAAGGTAGAGATGGCGCATCTGATAAATCCTCTTCAGAGTCGCTAGTCGGCGGAGAAGATGGAATAGAACAAGAGGGTGAAGTAGGGGATTCTGGGCCTGCGGCCCAGGCATCAGTGGCAGAGTACGCCCCAGCACCGGGATCAGCATCATAGCGCATCGAAGGCGGGGCCATAGCTGCATCTGAGGATGTCAGCCCGATAGATCTGGCCTGACAAATGGCGATACAGAGGGAGGTGGTCTTTGGGCCAAAGACCTTTCGAGCGCCGGCCATAGCGAATAGGTCCGCGGTTGTATCATAGCGGCCGGCAATGTAAGGTTTGAATTCATCTAGCGTATCCATTACGAATGAAATATAATATGAGGTGTAATGAATACAGAACGCTCAAAGGTATATATAGCCCGAGGATTTCTTTTCCAAGAAGAATATTCGATTTTTGATAAAAGATAGGATCAAGAGAGTACCAAAAAGTAGTTATAGAAAGGCTCTATACATAACTATAGTAAAGTTGTATATATTATATAGAGCTTAACTTGCTGAAGATTGAAAGCCTGAAGGTTCTGATTGATTGATAAATTTCTAGCAAAGCATCGATAAAAGTCGAGATCTTTATATATACATTCCATCCCCTTCAAAGGCTTACCAGGACTCAAACAAACTTCATAAGCTCGAGCTTAGCGCGTATATCTTGATTTCAGTCAGCTCAATCGATCATCAGTCGGTTAGCGGCCGACTTTGAATCCTTCCAAAGATTATACTCCAAATTGAATTGTTGAGTGTACTAATGACCCTCAAGTCGTGAATATTGCTTGTTATGTATACAGAGTTGCTAGCGATAAGTGATCTTCGAGCGGAACATTAATATTAATTCTCGTTAGTGCCCGCCCTTGCCTCACTAGCTAGTGTTTATGCCTACGATCGCTCGATCGATTGCATGTAAATCTCTGTTAGGTGCGTGGTATTAAACAAATTTATCGGACCATTAGGCCTAAGCGATGCTCAGCTATGCACGATATCGATATAAATCATCAGGATAGGCGGGTGAGTAAACCTGCTTCGAGACCTTGCATATCATAACCCCTTTTAAACACCGCTTCCCACTTTTTCTTGAAAAAAAAAAAAAAAAGTTCTTGTGTCGCTATAGACAGCTGGTTATAGCGCTACCAGAGATCTATATTGGAAGGTGTATGGATATATGCACAATGCATATGAATCTTAGCCCCACTTATGCACATATGCATGTATGCACGATTGGAATCTAAACTTTATATTCTTGTCGAATTCGCACGCGGGCGGGGAGAAATTCGCCACTAGTAGCTCGCTTGAAGAACTTATTTTGGGTCTATCCCGTCCTATACCGAGATCTAGACTTGAGGCTACGCCGGATACAGAAATCGAAGATAAATGAGATATATATGTGATATATCTGATTGCCAATATGCTACTTCGGCTATGTATAGCCATCGATATCCGAGCTATCATGCCCATAATAACTAGGTATATACGTAAATATATGTGATACACTGCAAAAGGACGGTCGAAAGAACATGATATCAATTCTACATCACCACTATCGAATGTGATAGGTATCATCAAGGAGCATCTTCTGTTGGTTGCACATAGAGCTCCACCAGACTATAACAGAATAGTCTGGTGGAGCTCTATGTGCAACCTTCTGTTGATCTGTTGAGGACCCTTGCTTTGGTTAGCTTTTTGGTTAGCTTTTTTTCCTTCATTATTAGGCCTTGCCAAGTTCGGATTAGGGGCGGAATAGGTATCTCTCGAGTTCGCAATGAGAGAATTCGTCTCGCATGGCGGTATTGCTTGCTACGAACTAATATTATAGTATGCTGATGCTCGAATCTTCACGGCCTGCGTAGTTGGAATTTGTGAGTTGGTCTCAAGGCTACATAGTAGCGCTATCGCTATTGGTATTATATGTCAGTCTGTGTAACATTATATGGGTAGAAGACCACAAGATATGATGTCTTGCGACACATGTTTTCCTGACTGCCCACACGATATCCGGATTTCCTAAATTCCTAAATACTTAGTAATGAAATGCTGATTTGGGAATATTTGGATTATTTGATAAGGTCTTTAGGGCAGAACAGCCAGTGATTTATTCCAATATATATATAGAAACGCTATACTACACTATAATTTTATGTATTGGGCACTGTGTTATTTCTTAGTTTTCTCTGTTAACTAAAGCAGTTGGGCGCTTGGGATCTATCGATCTACAGACTAGTACGCTTTGTAGCACTATACACAACTTTCACCGCTCAAGTAAAATATTATCGTCAATTGTCATTGTCATTTACTGTTTGACTCTTGTTTCACATAATTACATTATATTTGTTGTTATGGAATGTCACATGTTAGAAAGGAGCAAGAGCGCGAATAATGATGTTGAATTAACGCAGGTACCGGTATACCTGTTTGATATTTCAGTCTTGGTCAATGACGTCATGGGGAATGATGCACGGACAAGCTTTGCATGTGCAACGTCATTGCGGCGATTAGTAGATAAAATGGGATATAAAAGAGCTTCTTGCTAGATCTGTTCTCGAAATTTAATATACTTCATTATATTTTAAACACCAAGCTCTCAAGCAAGACATCTACGAAATAAATAAAATATCACTACATATTATCCAAAAAAGAAATAAACATTATATCCTTTCCAAAATGAATAACAAGAACAACGGCGTCCGTCAAGGTGTGACTGGTGTTACCTCGTAAGTCCCAACCTCGTAAAGTCTAAAAATTCGTTGTGTGCCGGTGTGCTAACAGCCGCCTTATAGTACCGTGGGAAACCTCGCAGGTGGTCTGCTCGGAACGGTCGGCGGAGCAGTCGGTACAGTTGGCCGCGGTCTCGGTGGAACGATAAACAATACCACGGGGACAAAGGCAGTGGGGGATGGGCTTGCATATGTAACCAACGGTGTTGAAAGCGGTGTAAACTCCGTGGCGAAGGGGGTTGAAGATGCTGGGAAGGCACCGGGGAAATAAGGAAATAACGATCAAAGAATGAAAGATATCAATTTGTGAAAATATATGGGATGGAATCTGTCTTGTATTCAGACCCGAACCTTCATCTTGCGAAGCGAAGGGAAGGGAAGGGAAGGGAAGGGAAGGGAGGAAAGACCGTTTGATTTTTAGGGGTTTGGGACTTTTTGGAGTTAAACGGGATCTTGTCACGTAATATTCGTTGAAAATAATACGTATTCTTCACCGGTGAAACGTCCATTTTTGAAGAGTATGAGGAATGTGAACGGAAGGAGAGACCCAATCAGATATAAAAAAAATCTTAGCATCAACAAAACTTCAGAGACGTCTGTATATTTGACCAGTCCGTCAACGAAGCCCATTTCAGTGCTTGACTCTATGATTTGCGATTCATCACGCTGGGTACTCTCCCTGATTCTCCGATACCCCGAGGAAAACTTTTGCATTCAAGTTAAAGACCGACCAGAAGTGTAAAAAAAAGATGAAAGATGGAAGATCTTCTAAAGAACAAAAGAAGCCCCCGAGTTCTGAAGAAAAAGGTTTGAACCCTCAAGAACAGAAGAAGAAAAAACTCCATCGCCCACCTTAATCCCCTCCCAGAAGAAGTCCCCTGGAGAATCTAATGGTGTGTAAAGATGTAAACCCCCCTCGCCTCAAGAATAAGCCCCATCGAGTCACCTCATACCCTTCTTTCGAAGAAAGTACAAAACAATCGCATAACTATCCAATCTTTGACGAAAATTAAAAACCAGCACCAGAGAGCGTGAACTCCCCAATTTCCACAAACTTCGACCACCCCCGAATCCTTCCACAACAAAGAAAACAGTCTACGATCAACCCCGAAGGGCGAGAGACAAATAATCGGTGTTTGAACGTGGTAGTAACTAACGGTTGTGAAGCCGAAGAAAGCGGGTGTAATTGTTTTATAATGCTGTATGATAAACCGAATGGAATCAATGCTTCTATGTCGGTGTTTTTCAACTGGTTTTGTTTGGAAAACAAAACTACGTCCGGGGACTTTCTCCCAAAGCTTTCTGTGAAATGGACGAATGAAAGGATGATTCCCTCATTGTCTGTTTGTGGCTTTGATGGCGATTGTTTGAGCGAGGGGGGAGGTACAATCGATACTTAGATCGTATTAGGGGTTCTGAAAGGTGAATGTGGATGGATGATGGAGTTGAAGTTTTTTTTTCTTTCTGTGATGATGGTTGGTGAAGGAAGAGAAAAGTTGGTTTGGTGTCGCGGAAAAAAAATAAAATTTATAGTTGAGTGGCGTTAGCGCAAAACAAATATGTGGCTGGCGCATTGTTGGTGGCTGGTGCGACAACTCGACACGCAGACACGCAGACCGACATAAAAGCCCAGCATGGACAACTGTTCATGTATCCAGACGTGGATGTTTCAACTCCCATTGGATCCTGAAAAATTGCCTAAGTCACTGCAACGTGGTAATCCATACAATATCTGGCTATGGCTTGGTGTATAAATCAGACCTCAAAAACCCTATGCCAAACTTTCGGTTTTGCAATTGTGCTGATACCATCAGCATTATTTTCACTTTGTAAATTCGAAATTTCGGAACGACTTTTATTACTTTAGGACGGTTTTGGTCTATGCCAAGTTATGGTAACTATGTTAGGAGGATCAGTATCTCAAATGGTCACCAAAACCAAAAGGGCTGGTTCTTCGATTTTATCCAGCGTGTCTCGAGGGATGAGTATCCACTCCGATCCTGAAGTTGTCACTTCTGAGCAACCGAGGACTGTTCCTAAACCACAAAAGTCTACTCCCAAGCAACAAGGAAGTACTCCTGAGCCCCAAGAAAGTATTCCCGAGCCTCAAGGAAGAGTTTCTAAACAGGAAGAGACTATCCCTGTACAGCAAAAGGTTATTCCTGTACACCAAGAAACTATTTCTGTACAGGAAGAGTTTATTCCTGTACGACAAGAGACTATTCCTGCGGAACAAGAGACTATTATCGAGCAGCAAGAGGCTATTACCGTAAAACAAGAGGTTACTCCTGAATTACGGCAAGATATCATTCCCGAACGGCAAGAGACCATCCCTGAATTACGACGAAAAATTATTCCTGAACGGCGAGAGACTATTCCCGAAGTACGGCGAGAAACTATTCCCGAAGCACGGCGAGAAACTATTCCCGAAGCACGGCAAGAAACTATTCCCGAAGCACGGCGAGAAACTATTCCTGAACGACAAGAGGCTATTCCTGAGCGTCAAGAGACTATGCCTGAGCTAGGAGGTGCCACCGCCGAGCCACGATATACCACTGCTGGGCCATCTTCCCCGGCAACTGCCGAAGATACTAGTCTTTTTCAGCACTCCGACTGGTATGATCGTCCAGACCAGGGCCTTGACCTCAATCTGGCTGCCGCTCAAACAGGGAATTGGAAACGTTGGACAGTAAAGCTGGAGTTCACTCAACAAGGTATAAACCCTATCGGTGCATACCTCGAATCCACATTTTTGACTAATAGGGGCCCTTAATAGGTAGCAGACGTACCGGAACCGCTTTCTATATCAATCTAGCCCAAAAATCAGGTCGAATACTTCTGACGGCAGGGCACAACCTCATAAGCGAAGATGGCGAGATAGTTCAAGACATGAAGATTTCGGAGACAGGCGAAGTTATTACACCAGCGAATATATTTATTTCTGAGGTTTATAGGAATAAACCATGTTCAGACAGCAAGGTTGATGACTATGGAATGATATTGTTACCTGGGCGCCCGCAGGGTGGGTTTGGATTCTCGCTGAAGGTGGCCGAAGCTTCATCTTCTGATATGAGGCAAATTGGGGTCAACATTATTGGCTATCATCAAATTATCAATGAACCCGACTTCTACTCTGGGAGGATTGACCAAGTTGCGCCGAAATGTCTCAAATACAATATTCAATCTGTCCCTGGGAACAGTGGCGGCCCTGTTTGGATAGGAAGTGAAGGGAGAGAAATTGCAATTGGGATACAGTAAGTCAACCTGATTCAATTCCATATCTTTCGTTCAATTACCCAAGTAAATTCTTTCTAACGAAAAAATTCAAGCAACTACGGGGGCGATAAAAAGAAGAAAAAGTCACCGGCCCAAGGAACTCGAATACATCTTGGTGTGCTCGAGGATATTTGCCGATGGACAGCGGCTTCCGGGTGCAGCGTTGGATACCTATCAAAAAGACTCGCTGTTTGTGGTTTAAAGCCACCGCACGACAAGTATCCAGACCCTGAGCTAACTTTTTACATGAAATTCGCGAGGGGGGTGAGGACTGCAAAAGCTCGCTTGGGGGCTGAAGAACTCGAAACCACTTTCGATGTGCTGCCTGGCCTTACACCTTCTTGTGCTGGGGGAGCAAACGGACTCCAAAAATCACTAACACCTGCACGATACGTGTTCAGGTTTAAGGAGTGGACGGCCTGGCAGGAAAACAGCGATGACGAAGGCGAGGATACAGGCGGGAGACGTGTCGCTCCCACAAATTCGGAACCAAAGCCACAGTGGGTACGATGGAGAACCGACAAGGATATCGATAGAGTCGAGCTTTCTGAGAGAATCAGAGATGATAGTTTGGTGGAACTGCAAGACAAAGCTAAAGGATTCCAAATTATACAAGGCCAGAGGAAGCTGCGAATGATGGTGGATGACGTTGACCAGATGCCACCGGAAGGCCCAGAAGGATTGTATGAATTGTATGAAAGTGAACGAGTTGGGTTCATACCGGCGGGGGCCAAGCATACAGAGAACCTAGTAAGTCTGTCTCGAATGGTTCAGAAACGCCGTTATGATATGTACTAACATTACTTGAAACAGTATTGTCTGTTCCGGTTTGCCGAAGACGGGGAAAAAAAACAGTAGTACTTCTAAACCAAATATTGCTCTAAATACAACTTGCTTTCAACGAATGTACAGAAACCGAGCTTGAGCTAGCTATAACTTTTAGACTACCAGCAAATACCCCGAAATCTAGGAACGAAGTAATGATAAATGACTACATAGCGCACTCTGAAAAAGCAGGGACGACAGCCCCTGCTAATCCACCTGATGTTTTGCGCGTCATTTGTTTTTGTCAGAACCCCCTCTTCAACTGAGCCGACATCCACGGGTTCGCTCGTTCCAGAAAATCGGAGAAGTCTTTCGTTTGTCAAGACATAAGCTTCAAACTCTCCCGTCTCTTGGTCTTGAGAGGCTCGAAAACGGGTAACCGGGGTCTCGACAACAATGTTGTCAATCCTGTGGTCTGCGACGTGGCGAACCGACGTTAGTTTTGATTCATCCTTTTGAGGCGTTTTCAACCCTATAAAAATGTATTTAGATTGGACAACATACCTTTCCAGCTACCAGATTCATGACCACGGTACAAGTAATGTAATGTATCGTCAACGCTAAAGTAAAAGAGAGAAACACCTTTGTCGGATACAGATGTTGTCAAGGGTGTACCAATCTTTGCCTCGGCAGGGAAAACATTTGTTAATGTCCAATCTTCACCGCCCGGTCGAACTGCGGCTTGCAATCCGCCAGACGGGTTCATGAAAAATAAGTAGAGGCCGTCAGGGTTGATAGCTGCAGATAGTCCGGATTGCGGATGCACGCTGATGGTGCCAACATTTCCAGCAGTGTAGTCCATCCAGACGTCATCTTCCTCATAGTCATACTTGAATGCAATGATTTTGTTCTCCGGAGTGACGGAGAAAACCATTCTCTACAGGCCCAGAGAGAAATATTATTGAAAGAGTTAGCATATTGATTTGGCTAAGAAATATTGAATATCATAAATCATATATATCACTTTTGTGATATATATGCAGCCACAGTTGGCGGAAAGTAAACTGACCTCTTCACCACCAATTCCTTCGTCAAAATCGTCACCGTAGTCTTCAGCCCCCTGACCATTCGAATACCACACGTAAGCGGCAGGTGCACCATCCTTAACACCATCCCCAACCTCTTCTTGTTTTATTGTCTCACCGCTCTCTGGGTCCCAAACCTCTTCTGTAAGGGTACCATCATTTGCATAGATGAGGTGGCTAGCCATTTCTGACACAAATGTGCTAGAGGCAGAAAGGCAGTAGGCAATTCTCTTGAGATCGTCACCCATTTTGAGAAATAATTTGCGAGAATTAAGGTTTCAAAAATAAAAAGAGATGGCTTGCAGAAAAAGTGATTGCAGAAGTGCTAGTTTTCGATTGTTTGAAGATTTGATGAATTGGTATTCTATCTAAACATCCTGATCTTGTCTCGAAACTGGAGGCCTTTATAAGATTTTGTTTCCCATATAATAGATAGGATCTGTATAAATCTCCCGTCGCAAGAAAAAAAAAACTATCAAGCTATCCTCCCAGGTAGATAGAGTGATTCCACTGCATTTGGAGAAAAGCTACACCATCTGTTGAGAAGAAACAAAGTCACTTCATGTTCGCGAATCACTATCCACGGCGTTAGCTCGATCACGGTAATTCAAACTTGCATAAACTTCCAATGGGTATGGAGTTTCTTTGAAAAGGATCAGCAGTGTGTGTGACATAGCATCAGGCGTGGCTTTTGTCAGGGATATCCTTAGAGGGATAGACTCTCTGGGCCCATTATGCGGAGCCACCTATTAGCCGAGTAGAATACTTCAAGGGCGGGGTAATTTACCATATATTTGGAAATCTAATATCTATAGGGTACGAGCTTTCAGATCTATTAATCTCCTATAGTGTTGGGAATGTTCTTGCATGCATTAAACGGATTAATTAGCGGTAGCAATGGATAGGAAACATGCAGGTTCCGGTAATGGGCAAGATATTTCCTAGTGGGGCGGCTTACTTTCGAATTAGAACCAATCGGTAATACTCTAGGCTAGATAGACCCCGCTCGTTTAATGGTATTACTAGTTACATCAAGGATTCCTGAAAATTAGTTGCACCGTTGGTCATGCAGCTGCGTTAGAACTAGAATGTGGCTTTAATGCATTGCATATCCCATCCCAGCTCAGGTATCCCTTCGATGATAGAAGTAGCTGGCCCAAGAACCGTCCAATTGGCATACGCGATTTGTAAATTTAGAAACGATGGTTTAAGAAAATATGGGATGAAATGCCATTGCGTGTTCGATATGATAACTTTGGGGGTGTTAGAAAGCCTGAATCTTCATGTTAACATGTTTGAAGTGAGACATATGTGGCGAGGTGTTGCAATTTGAGGATGGGGGGTACCCGCTTTCATAGGACGGGTGGATGAACGTGCATGATGCATGGACTTTATATGCAGCAATACGTAGCCATCCACAGGGTTCTTGATGTATCAGCTTCGAATTATATTCGCGGGACACATGCCTATCCTGGCCATGATTTTATACATGCTCTCTGCGCCTGGTCTCGAGGCTAACATGCTCTAGCTTGTTCGCACTAACTGCGTTACACAGGACGCATGGTCCAATTAATTGCCAACACAGAACGTTTTGATCGGGATAAGTTCCAGAAAATCATAGGCGGAAGGCCTGAGGATCAGAGGACGCTTCGAGAGGTACATATTCCGGCCAATGGCCCTGAAATATCCGAAAGATATAGTATGCATTCAGAAGTTGAACGATATCCTGGGGCGGATACCCACCATAATTATTTCCAATTCGGCCAATAAAAAGCGTACAGCATAGGTCGAAGAGGGGGAGTTGCATGATGCAAGAGCTATCACCAAATATATACGCACCAACATCATGCAATCTAGCTCTGCCTACGCATGGGACTGGACCACAGAACACTTGACAGATGTAGGATGACGGGAAACGGACGGACGAAATTCAATAATTAGCTCTCCTACGCTTTCGCGGATACGAAATAATTACAGATAAAAGACGATGTTAAGAGCTTAAGAGCTCAGGCGCTGAAGGATCCCGACAAAAAAAAGTACGACCTTGAGATCGACTCATTCGATATTTTGTGCTTCCACAACTCTGTAGGTTCAGAACTCTGGAATGTTGATTTTCTTTTTCCTTGGGGTTTTCTCTTTTCAAACTTGGTCCTGTGATCACCAGCGGGAAGGCCATGCCGACTTGATCCGATAGTCAACTAACTCAAGTCAGCCCTAGGAAGATACTCAAACGACATATATTTAGACATAGTACTCCAAACGAAAGCGTGGGCGCGCGGGAGAGGCCCTTTGTACCCTCATCATGTCTTGTCCACATATCTGGAAAGACGCCCTAAGCGGCAAACTGAATGAAGTCACCTTAAAAGAGTACATGAGATCCGGTGAAGACATCAATGGTCGAGCCACAGCAAGGAGCTACACACCACTCATGGGCGCAATCCTAAAGGGCCATGAGAAAGTAGTTCAAGTCCTTCTTGATCACGAGGCAAGGGTGGATATCCGGGCAGAAGATGACTCAACTGCTCTATGGTTGGCTACCTCGACGTCTACAAAGCACTCATCTTCAATCGTTGAGCAATTGCTTCGTAAGCGGCCGGATTTGAATGTAGTTCCAAGAAAAGGAACTGGGAATACGCCGCTAATGCAAGCCATTGTGCAACTGAAAAATGAAAAGATTGTCAGTAGATTGGTTGATGAGGGCGCCAACCTGGAGATGACAAACAGTGAAAAAAAGACAGCAAAGGAGCTTGCGGCGGCGCAGTTTAATAGTAGGCTTCTATATGCGTTGTTGCCAGCCGAACAGAGAGCAAGTAAACGGGCATCTGTTATGCAAAACTTTCGTGCTTTTATTAGCCATATTATTTGGGTTGTGAATACGGCGGCCGGCGAGGGCATGGGTATTATGAGAGCTGTATTAGGAATAAGTGGACGGCGCGCGATTGATGACCCGCTGCTGAATAACCTAGTCCCCAAGGTATGTAAGCTTAATTGCTTAAAAAAACAAACTCTATTAACGGTAACTTGAATCTGACCAGATACTGATATACGCTATAGGAACTTGTTATAACCCGTGAAGAACTGAATCGCTCAACGGGTGCCGGTGAACCACCGGCCAAGTCTATGGAAGATTGCATGACCTTCGCGGATTTCGAAAAAAGTGTACTTGACATTGTCGACACTATGGGATTGAACCGATTCTTTCCACAGAACAGCGACAAACTTCAACGGTTAACCCACGGACTTGTAAACTTCAGAAAAAGTAATAGCAACTTGAACACTCCCGAGAATCTGCGCGGCTTGGCTACACTATCTTTGTATAAAACCATCATTCTTTGCGGTATGTTTCAAAACCCGACCTTCTATTCGTTTAATTACGTATACACATAAAAAATAGTCAGCTAACGTTGTTTCCTCTTCAGACGACAGCGGTTCCATGTGTGCAAATACGACTGCCAATAGCTCCATAACTCGTATCAAATCTCAGAACAACATCATTGGACGCATCGCCGATATGACTAGTATACTAATGCCGGATGACGGTGGTACATACGTACGATTTCTCAATAGACGAGTAAACTGGGAAAGAATGTCCAAAGATGAACTTTTCCACAAATTGGATATCATCGACCCCGACGGTGGCACACCCCTTGGGGCTGCGTTCAAACGGGAAGTGGTTGATCCATTCGTCGCTAGCACTATCGAAGCCGGGAAGCAACTTGATTCTCCATACCTCATTTGTGTCGTTACCGATGGTGCTCCAAATCGTGGCGAAGACCAGGTCTTTATCCAGGAATTAAAGAGATGTCTGATGATGCTCGAGGATAATGGATATGGTGACAGGGGTAAGTGTTTTTATTTAAATCTGAGAACAGCTTATCGTAACCAAATAACTGTTCGCATACGCATACTGACTATGATTCGTTATGATATCAAGTTGTATCTTTTGTCATTAGCAGAATTGGCGACGATAGGTCCGCAGACAGGTTTATAACACAACTCGACGATATGGCCGAATTCCCAGATATGGTTTATGTCTGCCGCGGTAAGAGATTTCGCAGTCTTCAACATATTTAAGAAGACCGAAACTAACATGTCTTCTAATCTTTAAGATCAAATTGATGAGGGAATTGGAGGAGAAGGCCTGAGCGATGCTGCGCTAGAGATGAGAGTAAGTCTGATCATCTTGCCCCGCAAATATCTTCATTTGAGTTCTAACTTAATGTGTTCCTAAAAGCTTTTCGAAATTCTTACCACTCCACTGTTGAAGTAAATATTTAAAGTAACAGAAGGGTTCAGGCTATCTATTAAATCAATTATGTCAAAATTTCAAACAGGAGTTAGTTTGGCGCCGTCGGATATTATTAATATTTGTATTTGAAATTTCTTAACGAAGCTCGGTGTAGGGAAGGAAGGAAATAATATTATCAGTCTTTCTTCACTGCCTTGCAACATAAACCTATGAGAAATTTAAGAGGAACTCGATTTTGGGATAACTTTTCTTGCAGGTGTGATTTAGTCTGCTAATATCAAAAACCTTTTGTTGACCCGAAGTATGTGTATTTGTGCTAACAAAGTTAAGAAGAGAAATGTTGAAAACAAAACGGAATGGTAATCGCGCCCCGTGGAGGTTTTGATTAGACCCAAATTTATTGCCCAATGAGTCTAACATAGTCCCGAAGAGACTCTTGTGCCCAGATCGACCACCTGGCCATCCCATTCCCGTTAGCAAAAACTTCACCAAACTCACGATAGAGAATAAACAGGGACCAAAAACAGATATAAAAGTCAAACTTACGTCCTTAGCCCAATCATAGCCCTCATCTGCCAAACATCCGGTACAATTACCCTCCCTCCATACCCACTGAACACCTTTTGCACTGCGATCTTTGCTGTCTTCTCAACCCCATAGAACAACCTTTTTTGAACCCTAATCTCTCCGCTCTTCTCAACAGTTTCAAAAGGTACAATTTTCGTCCTCATCCAAGTAGGATGCACAATACTCGTTCTGACCTTCGGAGCTTTGTATTCATGTCTCAACTCTTGCCTGAGTGCTTCATAATATGCCAGCGTACCAGCTTTGGTCGCACAATAATCCGCCAACCCAGCTATTGAAAGATAAGAACACATGCTGGCGACGAACATTACATGTCCGTGGTTACTCTTGATCATTGACGGGAGGAATTCATGGATCATGGCGATGTGAGAGGTTAGATTGATGTTAATCAACTTTTGAGACTGTGCAACTGGAGTCGAGAGGAGAGGACCAAGATTCGCAATTGCGGCGTTGAGGATGATGACTGTTGGATCGCCATGGGCTTTGCGAATTTCAGCAGCCGTTGCTGAAAGGGCTGTGAAGTCGGAGATGTCGCAAGAGAAGAAGGAGATCGTTTTGTCTGTTATTGATTAGATATAAGCCAGGTGTTTGTCCCCGTCATACCTAGTTAGTCCGGCGTCATATATATTCGGCGAGAATATGCATGAATAATGACACAGTATGAAATAAATGCTTCAAAGAAAGTTTTTATAGATGAAAAGAGACTGAATCCAGGACTGAAATACCCGAATTCCCTAATATGAATAGAAAAAGTATATAAAAAATACTGACATTTCTCTAAAACCTCGTCCCTAACCGGATTCACATCAATAACCACAACCGTAACCCCCTTTTCCGCAAATTGAATCGCCATCTGCTCCCCTAGTCCCCCACTACCACCCGTAATCATCACCACCTCTTTGTCCCAGTCATATTTATCATCTGTAACCCAATTATTCTCCTTCTTCCACGAAAAATACGAATTGATATTCGATGTCACCCCAGTGAGTAATTTAAACCATGCAAAAAACTGAACGCACGATAAAATTCTCTGTGGAGTAGCCGGCGTTTTCGAAAGAAGGTCGATAAGCGGGGCGAGATATTCGGGAGGGGCGTATTTTAATATGCCAAGGGTGGCGGCCGATAAGAGAAGGGTGGAAACCTTAGCCATCATGTACTGGAGTATCGCGCTTAAATGGACCGCCTAACTGTGTATATGTGTTAAATTTCGAGAACTGGGGATGGGAACGATAAAATTGAAGATATGTCCTGGGGAGAGAGGCGTAATATATGCGACTAGTCCTTAAATGAATAGAATTAAGCCGGGCCGTGATGCGTTGGCCGACGTTGGATTGAGGTCGTCAGCGGCCACGGCATTATCATGTGCGACATGAACAAACGTCTACTAGCCGTGCGCGTGCACCATGGCTAACACTAATTATGCCGGCATCAATATCCCCTATAGCCTACCCCGCATACTCAAATCAGGGTGAAGAAAGAGACCCACATAGGCCGTCTTATATCCGATAAACTGGTATGGTATGACGCTCACTTGATAATGTTGGTAATGCATATAACTCGAACATATTCGTTAGCCAGTGCAATAAATACGTAAGGAGGGTTAGAATTTAGTAGAAATACTGGGGTCTAAGTCCATCCTCCCAACCCCTCATATGTATAATTGTCATGATGTTGTTGTAATATACATTAACTATGACGAGAATCATCTCAACGACCTAATAGAACAAGATATATATGTGCGATGTTAATCAATATACCCCAAGCACCCCATAGGACCTTTAAGTCCAAGGTAATAAAAACGAAAATAATAGCACCTGCCTGAAGGTCGGCACTATTATATGCTCTCTTTGGGCCAGGTATATGATGTATATCCACGATATTCAAGAAGATGAAGAGCGATCAGGATGCGCGACAATATGAAATTTGTGAAGAAAGAAAGAAAGAGGATGACGAAAGAGACCAAGCCCACAAAACTCCAGCCCTACCGAGTCAAAGCAAAAACATAATTAAAACATAAAAAAGCATTTATAAAGAGGAATTTGGGCCTTTCAAGTGCTGTGCCATCATCCTAGTCATCAATACAGAGCAGAGAAAGGATGGATAGCAGCTCACGTAAAGAGTGGATAAGGATGATTCGAGAAACATAAGTGGGATACGTATTCTGAGACTTTGGAGGCGTCTCCCCTCAAACCGTATATTCCGATCACTCCTGGGGAAAGTGTAGAGATATAAGGTCGTCAAGCGCCTTCATACTCAGCGGCTTCACGTAGTACCCGTTGGCACCAGCCGCTACGGACTTCTCCTTGTCTTCATCCGTATTTTGCCCAGTAACTATCACAAAGCTTCAGTTAGTTCTATTGGCAAGAACTGGGGATTTTCCGATACTAACCCATAAACACCATACTCGGTTGAAGTCCTTCTGTCGCCTCGCTGACTCTGATATCGTGCGTCGCATCAATCCCGTTTTTGACTGGCATGTCCAAATCCATCAGGACAAGGGATATGCACTTATCCTCTGCAGCTGCCTCCAAGTATTTTTGATGCGCCTCCTTCCCGTTTACAGCGGTAACGTAGTCATGTTTACGTCTCTTGCAATACATCACGAGGATACCCAGATTCGTAGGGTTATCATCCACAATGAGAATTCGCAATGCGTCAAGACGCCGGCGTCCATGATGGCGCCGTCGGGTCTTCGACGATTCTGTGGAAATTGCGGTCGCGTGGATGTTTTGTCCAGATCGAACTTTTGAAGGGCCTTCCAGAAAGTGTTTGGATGGTTCGGGGAGGTGCAACTTTGGGTCTTTGAGACCTAAATCTCGGTAGGCGTTTACGGCGTCCTCTACAACCTGCCAAAGTCTTCCTCTTCGAACTGGGGTGAGGCAACGGATGAATCTCCTGGTATAGTCCTCATTACTTAACGCCTCCTCGCTGTCTCGAAGCTCACTGTAATTCTGGCAGATGTATATGATAATCTGGTCGCGTCGAATAGAGCCAAGTAGGTTTGCAAATGTGTCGGTGGCACTCTTAGCTTCAACGAGAACCACTGTTGCCTTGTCCGGTCCGTTGCATCTGAACCCCATTCTTTCCAAGTTTCGGGCCGCATAAGTAAGGTGAACGGTTTCGAGTTGTCTATCGATCGGCATAAAGTACGTAAGAGGCATTTCGCAGTTTATCAGGATACGTTTTCGATAAGAAAGTCTCGGGCAGGCCAATATTGGATTTTCTAATTGAAGCCTGAAATGTGATCCATCGCTGGGGCACGATGATATCAACTTGAGACTACCTCCCAGAACTTCTGCAATCCGCGATGCCACCGGAAGCCCTAGACCCGAGCCTCTCACTGTCGGGTCCACTTTCTCAAATGGTTGAAATATTTTTTCACGATCTTCATCCGCAATACCGATGCCAGTGTCCACGATGTTGTACTCGAGGATGTCGTGGTGTTCTGACAGCGTAGTCTGGAATATCACAGTCCCGGTATTCGTAAACTTCATAGCATTTTGGACTAGCTGCCCTAGGCATTGCTTTATCAGGTTGTAATCCGTCATCAACATTTCAACTTCTGGAGGCAGCCGGTTGTCAGATATTAGAGTGACTGCTTGGTCAGTGTTGAACCCAGAAGCAGTTTCACGCAGAACTTCTTCCTCGATGATATTGAAACTATGGAGTTGCATAACTTTGACTATTGCCTTGTTTTCGAACTGATCGTAGTCTAGTAAGTTATTGATAGTGTTAAGAAGCTCCCGGCCCGAACTGTCGATGTTACTCAGCATGGCGAGAGCTTTATCTGACAGATAAGCTTGTCTCGGTAGCATCAAGGAGTCAACATGCTCCTGTGAGTTTGTTGGTGGCGTTATACCTCTGTTCTCTTCTATGAGCAGCTCGCAGGACGATAGTATGGCATGTATTGGTGTTCTGAGTTCGTGGGAAATTCCTCTTAGGAAACGAGATTTTGCATCCATAGTCTGATTTAACAGTTCTTCCTGAATGGTATTACAGACAAGAAGTGTGACTGCGCCGACAAACCAAGAGTCTACTTCATCGAATATCTGCTTCATCTGGCTGGTTTCTACCACCACATATGATTTTGGATCAGATTTCATCCTGACTGCGATAGCTCGAACACTAGGGTCGCATTCCGATCTTTTATACGGTATATTGTTGTGTCCTGCAATCCAATTATTGAGGCCCTCGTCATCTTCCCAAATATTTTCCCGAAAATCGGAGTATGAAATAGGTAAATGCCGATTCTTGAGGGAAAGGTAGTCATCATGGTGGCTCTGAATACTGACGGAAGCGAAGGGATACGTTTCTCGTAGTGTTTGCAAAGCGGTTTCTCTGATGGTCTTCGGCTCAGCAGTTTTTGTTAGATGTCCGAGTATCGATGTAAGTCGTTCTCTTTCTGCAAGCCTCATACTTCGAGTTCGCTCAATGATAGTATGGACGATGATATCGGCGAATTTCATGAGCGCATTTTGTTGTCGAAGGCTTAGAGGCTGAGTTGCTGAGAAGTTGGCGACACACTATCCTCGATTTACCAGGTCAACGAAAGCTTAGTCCACATTGCGTCGCAGAAGGCGCGTTTTATCCTTACAAGAGACCCAAAAGCGATTTCACAATTGGTCCCAGGTATCTTGTACCTCAATTGTGTCCCTACAAAAGGATTAGTACCGCTAGCCGCGTGGTTCAGACTTGATAGGACTTACCTGCATAGAATTTTAGACCGGCCTCGACATGGGGTGAAGCCATAAACCTAGATATCCGATTTTATTTAACAACATTATCTTAGATCGAGGCTAGCAACCGGGGCTACGTAACGAACCTCCAGTCTTTTTCCATATCCTTCACCATAAACACCCTCCCTCCATCATGTAAGACCGTATGAGCGCAAGTAGCCTCCCGACGGGGTAAGATGGCTAAGGGCACATTTGCAGTTACGACTCTCCGATAGTAGTCGTGATCGAGTAGGCCAAGGATCACACAATCCTTCTCCATGAAATCTATCATACACCATACATTGATCAGTTACTACTAACCCAACAACTGTTGCCAAAAGAAACCATACCATTCACCAAGTCTACTTGATCTTGCAAACATGATAACAAGTATGTATCATTTTCTATGTACCGTCCGTAGTACCACAATGATTTGAGGCTGATGTCTAATATTAGCAGAAGCATGTGATAGACAACAAAAAAATGCCGGCATCATACCGTATCAACTCATTTTTTGTCAATGTCGGGAACAAATATGGATCCTCAAAGTCCACAGGCTTAATTGGCTCCGTGACACACCCATCTTCATCCCTGTCCGCTGGGTATAAACGTTGAAAGTCGCCCTCACAGAATTCAAATATCGGCGAGCTAGTTAGGGTAGCGTCAAAAATTGTGGGCTCAGAGGGTCGCTCGGGTACAGTATTTTTGACTTTAACTTCTGTAATACCAAGAATTGAGGGTCTCTCGTCGACCCCATCTAACCTGGGAGTAGTAGGCTCGTCGTCAATAGGTGTGAGCGGTGATGACATGGTTCCTTATGCTTAGCGCCTTGGACCCCAGAAGCGGTAGTGATCACCTAGAAATCGGTAGCGGTGCTTCTGGTGAGAATCAAGTAATAACTATCACTACCCGCTCACCCACCGAGTATCGGGATCTTATATATATAGTTGGGTACTGGCACTGGGTCATCAGAATCCGGGTACACCGGTATCTTCGTAGCGCGCGCTATTGAGAAGTAAAAAGATCGTGAGGCTTGGGGAATGCTATCTGTGGCGAGATCAAAATCATTGCGGCATGTGAGAATATTGATATCAAAGGATAATAATGAATGAGAAAGACGTAAGAGGTGGTTTAATGGGGTTGAAAGGGACGATAATGAAATAAAGCATTAAGTTTGGAGTGCTGGAGCTGTTGACCTGGAAAATTAAAATCCATTAAAGAGACTTTCTTGCCTTCTCCCCCACCCTTGCACTCTTGCACTTCAATCACTGCACTGGACTGCCGATGTTCGAAGATCGAACGATCCAAATTACCTTTCGCATGAACCCCTCCGGCTGGCCTGCTAACTAGTTCCTCCTCAAAGCAGCCACACGCTAGTTAAAAAGCCCCCGCGGATTTGGTCTTCCTGAGCATCTGGTTTGCTCCAATCAGCCGTGGCTTGTCAAAATGTCCCTGGGCATCGAGCGCTTACTTTCGGTTGACTGAAAGCAAAGGAGATTCAGAGATATTAAGTTTTCCGCCAGCTATACTTTTCCTCTCAGATCCCTCGGCCGGGATATCAGGGTCTCTGGATGACCAATTCTTCGACAAAGGGTCGAGACCGCTTTGGAAAGTTTTTTTCTTCTTTTATTCTGAAGAAACAAACGAATCCACACTCACGTTCCGAGACTTTGGCACGACAAACCGGATATCGGATGATTCCAGCTGGGTGGGAGAGCTAAAATGGCATTCTGGAATTCCTATCCCCGTTGGCCGAATATCCATGCTGCAATGCAAATCCCAGAAGCAAAGCGGCCTAGAATTCCAGCCTTCTGAAAGCCTCTGCAAAGGCACATGCCATGCTGTGCGACAAGCAAACGCACCTTCACGATCCCCACGAGTCCAGACCATCGTCGAGAGCCCTGTGAACACAAATCCTAACCTCCAACCTCCATCTCCAATGTCGCTGTGGCCGAGTGGTTAAGGCGATTGACTAGAAAGACCTTGAGTCCTCTTCATCAATTCCGTTCGCGGGCATAGGTTCGAGTCCTATCGGCGACGACATCTTTTTTTTTTTCTCATTTGAGTGTGTGGATGTCCTAGGCATAGAAGGACCTCGATGTCCTGGCATGCAAGGGTCGCGATCGCACAATTGGCTATAGTTTTTAAATTTTATTGTTTCCTGTTACTACGACTAACAGCTTAGAGCCAATCTATGCATGCTGGACACCATAGCGCTGGCTAAGTTTGCGAAGGATCCTAGGACGATCGATACATATTTGGTCCCTACCCCAGAGCTAAGCGAACTCTTATTAGGTGTCAGTTTAGCAGCGCACCCACGATCTTTGACCCGCTGGTCTGGTATCTCCTGCAGACACAAAGAAACCTCGGCGAGAATAACTTCCTGGAGCTAGTTGTCGAAACGACCCTGCATAGATATGACGCCGAAATACTCTCCTCGGAACTCTTTTGGCTTTACCCTGCCACCAGGAATCTACAATATTTATCAATCTGAAGCTCGCTCCGATATTTCATATGTTATCGGACGACCTTTCATATGATGAAATATATTCTCTTCCCAAATAAGACGCCTTAGCCATATTGGTATCACTCGATTGTCCATGTGGGAGGGGATTAAGACTTTATATACCCGGGTGTATGTATACCCAGTGTATATTGTACATCAACTTCGATACCTATGATATCGGAACAAGCACCGCATAGTTGAGCCCATATACACGTTGTAACAAAGGCTGTGGGCGACAACTGGGTGTTTTACAGGAGCTGGTACCTAGCTTCATACTTGATCCAATTGACACCCCGACGACCCATTTTTCAGACCGTTACGAATATTATCCTGACCCATGCCAATGCTGGTTTATAAATATTTGTTTTACTTACAAAACAAAGAAATAAGTATCACTTAGTCTAATTTTACCCGACGCGGCCGAGGCCATCACTGCACTGAATCCATCATGGACGCCTGTATATTTTTCAAGGCGTAGGAACCGTTCAAACTGAAATTTTCCGTTGGATGCCTACATTTTATTTTCACAATAAATCAGAGGTGCAAAATAGAATCCAAGACCGTGGTAATAATAATCTTCCATCCCAAACATCCGCTATGTATCAACCCGGCAGGGTGTTACACAAAATCGTCAACTTCGTTAAGGCCCCTATACAACTGGCGAGGTGGACCAAGAACAACACATTCCAGTCACCGGCATAGAGATAGCAGCAAAGATTCAAGTATGAGTTTTGAATTTGTCGACATCATGAAATATGTCGCTGTGGCCGAGTGGTTAAGGCGATTGACTAGAAAGACACTTGTCTCTCTTGCTATCAATTCCGTTCGCGGGCATAGGTTCGAGTCCTATCGGCGACGACATTTCTTTTTGTTTATCTTTGATACACTTTTTGCCGGCTAAAAGGTCCTGTAGCCAAAGATAGGAATAGACGTTGTTATATTTTGCAAGAGCTTAACTTGTTGACCGATTCGTTATATTTATTCGACATGTCCTCCTACACGCTGAAGGGTCTGAAGCACACTAGGTATAAACCACTTGAGTATGCTGCTGAGGATTTGGATTTATTTGTCCGGATCAATCTCATTTCGATTTGTCTCGACATATCTGTCGTATCTTTTTCGATTCCTCAGTATTTGTTTAGCATGCCTAACAAAATGATTCAAGGGCGGAAACCCAATATAGAGATAGGAATTTAAAGATTTAGATATTTAAAGGATCATAATCCTTTTCGAGAGTAACAAAGTGTGAGTGTACAGACATCCCCATCAGTATCAATTATGGGAGGTTCATTTGAGATTAAAGGCGGCTTTTTGCATTTATGAAACAATCAAAAACTCTGCAAGTCTCTATAGCTATATAGATCTATAATTTATAGCCTCGAATACATGGCCTGGTGATAGATTTATGCAACGTCGGTGGGATATACAGAAGACATACAGAATATTTAGTTATAAATGCCAGGGATGTTTATTTTCTATATCTTCGTAAACCAAATGCTGCCGTATAGCTCTAGTAATGAGGTAGGAATATTCGAATCCAATTTAAGAAACTGCGGTCCTTATCAATCCACCATTGCAAGTCGTAAAGTTCTAACGGCACTCTAAAAGTTTAAGCATTCCATCAGGTAAGCTGTTCTTGTAAACCCGAATCAAAAATATTAACATACCTCATCCATAAGCTTATTGTTTGATAATCTCTACCATATCGGATCCTTAAACTTCCATACGTCTATACGATCCTCTATCGCAAATGCGATCTTATTACCCTGAACCCGCGAGCATTTCGGATCATTCCCGCGATAAGCAGGAGGTACCCATATAGACCTCACGCCGTTTTGCGCCACCCATCCGTCTCGCCAGGCTACTGGCCCAGCGCCAGGGCTGCCATGTATCCCCGAAGCATCATAGAGATCGAAATTCTCTTCCCTCAATATACCTTCATTGGATGAGTATTTGTATATCCAATTTTCTGATGTCGCAAAACGCAAAGAGTCGGATATAGATTTAGAACCATCTATAGGCTTTGTCGCTCCCAAGAATCCCGTAGATTCAGCTTTCTTCGAGTACTCTTCACAACTTATCGCCTCCCAACGTTCTGTACACCACAGCTCACAACTAAACGATGATATAAGGGCCAATGTGTTTCCTCGTGTAGAAAACATGACGTAATCGAAACTGCCTTGACACCTTGCGATATTGTCTGAACGCAGCACGATGAGCCTATTACGAGACTCTAAGTCCAGTACTAGGGCCTGGGCATTGTGTGGTAAGGTAAAAACCAAAAACCTCTCGTTTGGCGAGAATGTTAGTAACCCTGATACTAGGTTTCGCCCCCCCCGTAGCCATATTCCGCACCCAAAAGCCGAGTCTTCATATACCACATCACCAGTGTCAGTCCTAATGATGGTTAGTGTTTCCGGAAGGTAGCAACTGACCGCTGCAAAAAGTTTACTGTTGCGAGAGAAGGCCCTAGCAGTTTCCCAGCCAAATAAACTCCATATAGACAGAGATTTATCATCGTACTCGTAATTGAACAACTTTTGCGAACGCGGCATTAATCCATCCGGGTGGATTTGCCATAGTTTGAAGTCTTCTGGGGTCCCAGCTGCCGATGCCGCAAAATCGCAATTGTAGGAGATATTTTTGAAGACAATTTGCCGTGGACAGTTGCCCTTGTTTTCCTCTTCAAACCCTGCAAAAAGTTCTTCTGGCCAAGGACTATCCCATAACTTTATTTTGGAGACCAGTTGCGAGTCGTACGTTGCTAAAGTTTGGCAATCTGGAGAAAACGCCAGAGCTCGGATGCTATTCTCTCGATTCCTGCAGATCCGGATGCACTTTCCGGTGTACGGACACCAGACCGAAGTTCTGCCACCAAAGGTAACCGCAATCTCTTCATTAGACGCGAACGTTATTTGAGTTTGTGAACCGCCGTCCAATTCAAGGGTTGGGAAGACAATTATCTTCTCCAGCTTTCGTTGATGAAGACGTAATACAGAGACGGTTCCCTCGTCTATATACGCTAAGTATTCACCGTTTGGGGAGAATGCTAATTTCCACATGACCGAATCCTTTTCAATGCATTGTAATATAGTGCGAGACTCGGCATCCCAAAACCTCATGCTAGAGCTTACAAGGTCTAAGACTCCATACTGAGTCCATGTCACTATTGAACTGTCATCGCGTGAAAAGGCGCCATGTAAAGTACTAGTTCTCTGCCCGCTATCCCAAGAATCCAAGAGATTCCAGCTTATGGTTTCCCATAATAGCAATGTATTTCCTCCACCCCTGGGTGCGATAGTTGAAAGAAAATATTTTCGATCATTTGAGAATGCTAGCGGTTTTTGAGAACGGCAGTTAGCAGTTATAGGGATTTTCTTCACTTCCAGTCCTGTCAGAAGATCCGAGATCAATATAGACTTGTTCTCTACTACGCCGGCAGACCAAGTGCTGTCAGGTGAATATACTGGTAGTAATCCGTAACAATAATATTCGGTTTTCAATAGAGCGCCTGCCTTGATATCCCATATTTCTACCAGTCTGTCGGAAATTGAATCAAGGTGACGAATATAGGCCTCGAAGCAGGCCACTAATTTTTGTCCACCTGATAGGAAATTCAGCGATACAAGCTTAGCCCCGTCGATCCTACCCTCAACATCAATGGTTTGTAGCAGGCGGTCCCAGTCCTTAGGCACCTGAGGCCCATCCAGTACCCAATCAAGATGTGAGGCGTAAAACTTCTGTCGAAGCAGGCAGCTCTCAGGAGAAAATAACAAGGCCGAGTAATAGGTTTGTAGCGGTAATTGAGCGATGATTTCGTAGTTAAATCGAATGAATCTTCTAATATCATAAAGGAGTGCGCGGACTCCGTCTCCAGATTCTTTCTAAAGAAGGGTCGGGGGAAAGATATTAGCATATTCCCTGGGATTATAGATAGGTCTGAGTTACTTGGATTCTTACTGATATTGCTGATTCTAACATAACAATAGCGTCGATATTGTATAAACAGACTCCTAGAATACTCGTGGCTTCTAGCCATTCAAGGATATAGTCCTGAAGAAACAAATGCGCTTCTCCATCATCGCAAACTTCCTCGCGGCTCTCAATAATATGGTATACCCAGTACCTGCACGCGTATTGGAGCTCTTGAGGGAAACCTTTTTTGATGATACTAGTAGAGATATCTTTCTGGCTATAGTCTGGTGACGGCAGATCGCAAATATTTTTTCGAAGGTGTTTCTTCATGATGGCGATACACCGTTTAGCAATAAAGCCATGCACTCGGTATTCATCAATCCAGAGAGGAGATTGTTCCTTCGTTTGCGAATCTAGAAGAAACTCCCTAAATGATAAGTGGAAGGTTTTGATTACACCATCCGGGGTTGTTGGGAGATTAATAACAGATTGGAATCCATCAAGTCTCGCTTGTGCTTTAGACTCTTCTATGTCGATAAGTTGCAAAAGCGAATTCTGCGGCAAAGGGGTTTGAAGGAGGACTATTGTCCCTATAATATCTTGGAACTCTCTTCGCATTATAGATATTTGCGTCGGTGTTTTTTTCTTCACCCGTTGCTTTATTATTTGGAGGTATACCAGACTAAGTGATTTTTCAGGGTTTGCCTCAAATAATTTCTGTCTGCCCTCAAGAATTTCCATTAACAAGTCTCCAGGGAGCGACTCAGAGTCTTCAATGAACCGGCATATCGTTGACGCAACGATGAATAAAGGACATGCCATCTTCGCTAGAGTTTCGATAGTGATCCGGGTCGGCCAATCTGGCGGGAGTGTATCGCAGTAAACATGGTCCGTTTTAATCCTTCCCAACTCATGGTTCAAGAAGATCATGATGTCGTGTAGGATCTTTTGCTCCTCAATATCGTGTAGGATTAAATCCTGAAAGTCACCAGAAATCTTTTGGAATCCAGCATTTATAAACACTTCCCGTCGGCTTGTAATCAAAATTCTGATGTCGACGCCGTTGAGATTTTTCAATAGCCCCAGAAATTTAACTATGGTGAGGACATCCTTGTCGTTATCACACTCGTCGAGGGCGTCAATGACTAGGAGAATACGTTCTGAGTGTTTGGTCGACGAAAGCGGCTCAAATATTAATTTATCGAATTGCTCTTTTAGAATCTTCCGAATAATATCAGGCTCCTTCTCAATAGCTTTGCTAATAGCAAGTCTAATGTCCGGAATATGTTGCATAAGATTTGTCGCCAGCGTTGTAAAAAATCTCGAAGCATTGGATCGATCCCCCGCTCCTCTTCTGAAGAAGAAACTAGCCCCAAGTATATTGGCTTTAGTGTATGTTTCCGCCACAGTCCTCGCAATGGTCGATTTACCAGTACCCGCGGCGCCTGATAACCAAAATATATGTTTGCCATAAGATCCGTTCACCCAGTCGTCTATCTTCTCGAGGAGTTCTTCTCGAGTGTTTGGTAAACATTTTGGTTCGTGATCGTCACCATACCAATTAAATGACGCCCCTTCCGCGATTGGTAGATTTACTAGATTTATTTTAACGTCGACATCTAGTAGAACCTTCGTTTGGTCGACTTGAAGTGCGAATTGAATAGCATTTTCAATTCCCTCCAGTCTTGAGATAATTTTGTTGACATCTGCCTTCTCAATTGGCCATATTAGTACCCTTCCAACATTCGATAACGTTTCTCCTTTTACTGCATTCTTCAGTGAATCGAAGAACTTCCGGTGCCTCTTCAGCCGGCTATTCGATGGCCCAGCTGCACCAGTTGGTGCCGGGGGGACCTTTTTAATGCGGTTCTCCAAACTCTGCAGCTCATCCTTGCAAGCAATCAGATTATTCTGAAGTTCTTTTGAGCTTGTGAGCTTTCCTTGATGTGGTTCTTTTAAAAGGTCGTCTAGTTGCTGGAGAACTTTCTGCAGGCATTGGACTCTATCTGTCAAGGCCTTTACTTCAGCCTCGTATTCCCTAACTTCGCCAATATATCCAGCACAAATTTTCGCAATTTTGCCCGCCAAGTCGACGATTGCGATAACGCTTGCGACTCCACCAACTACCTCCATTGCATAGCTTGATGGTCTAAAAACGAGAGAATGAAATGGAACTTGGTTTTTAACCTTTTTTTTCTGGGAAGGAGTTCAGTCTTCGATAATGCGGCTGGTAGTTTTAAACGAGAATGATTCCAATAGTCGATTGTTTGAATACGCGATGGCAGAAGGATCAAGCTTCAGCCCCGCTTCTATGAATTTAAAGAATGCAGCCTCGCAATATCCTACTGGTGGCTGCGTAGCTTCCCAATCTGCATGGTTTGCTCAATTTGCGGAATACCACGCCCGTTGAGCCTTATAGCTGAGGAAACAAGGCTGAGGTCTAGTTGTTGCTGGTGTTGTAATTCCGCTCTCGACCTCAAGGCGTTTTGACTTTAAGAAGCTTGGGTGCAGTCTCGTAACCAAACTGTGGCTTGGGTGGTCTATCATGACAATCTAAATACTATCGATCAAGATGTACCATAATCACAATGCTATCTATATACAATCCACAATCTCGAGTCGCTTCCCAAACACACCAAATTAAGCCTTCTCCACAGCCTCCAAAACCTTCTCAACACCCTCTACCGCCGCCTTTTCCTCTTGCCTCGACAGTTCCGGCACCAACCTCGCCGCTCTGCCTAGCATCTCCCGAGTCGCCTCCCGGCTTTGTTGCTGCAAAACCATATCCATAACTACCAAAGCCGCCATGGCCTCCACAATTGGAATAGCTCGAGGCACAACACTAGGATCATGTCTACCCTTTGCCTCCAAAGTCCCTGGCTCACCAGTATAACTAGCAGTTTGCTGTGCGATACTAATAGTCGCAGGACTCTTAAAAGCTACCTTGAAATAGATATTCTCTCCGTTCGTAATACCACCCTGAATACCGCCGGAGTAGTTTGTGGCAGTCGCTAAAGACAGCGGCTTTGTAGGATGTGGAACGAACATATCATTATGTTTCGAACCAGGGATCTCAGTTCCTTTAAACCCAGAACCGACTTCAAATCCCTTTGTAGCTGGTATCGATAACATTGCATGTGCCAATTTCGCTTCAATCTTGTCAAAACATGGTTCTCCCAGTCCTGCTGGTACGTTCCTGATAACGCATGTAACGGTACCACCTATCGAGTCCTTCTTGTCTCTGTATTCTGCGATTAAATCTGCCATCTTACCGGAGGCAACGGTATCTGGGCATCTGACGGGTAGGAAAGAGTCGACTTTTTCACGGGTGATTGTAGAGAGGAGGGATTGGAATGCTGGGTCGGAGCTTGGAGTTGCTTCTGGATCGAAAAGGTGGATAGGACCGACGGAGGAAACGAAGGCAACGATTTCGATGTTATGGGAAAGGCGGAGGTATTTCTCGGCGATTGCACCGGCGGCGACACGGCCTATAATCATTATTAGTCAATTCGAGCCATGTAGATAGTAGATAGTAGATTTGGGGGCGTACACACCAATTGTCTCGCGAGCACTACTCCTTCCACCACCGCTACGGGCTTTTACACCGTATTTCTGTAGATAAGTCCAATCGGCATGACTAGGACGCGGGTAGATATCCATCTCGCTATAATCCTTAGGTCTTTGATCTTCATTCCTAACCAACATGCCAATCGGTGTTCCCAATGTTACACCATACTCAGTCCCCGATTGGATCTGTACCAAATCCTTCTCATCTCTCTATATAATCCGTAAATAACGTCCTGTTAGCCCCGCAGTTTCCATAGGAAGAATGTAGAAACGAATTATTGCCGGGGTGGGGCACACGAACGGGAGTGCTGAGGGCGCTTTGACCCGGTCGTCGTCGAGTCATTTGAGGCTGGATATCTGCCTCCGTAAGTTCCATTCCGGGTGGAACGCCATCGACGATGCAACCTACGGACTTGCAGTGGGATTCACCGTAGCTGTGGTTGAGTCACCGGGGTGTTAGCAGGGGACCAGCAGCTCGGGCTTCAGTCTGAAAGAACACATACGTTGTGACCCTGAAGAGAGTTCCGAAAGTCGACATGATGGTATTTTGTTATATAAACCCGATATATTAAAATCCTTATAACCGTATTATTCGCAATGTAATGTTGAAATGAAGTGGTGAAGATGGGATGAAGACGGCGAATCGATGGGGGTTCTGTGGAATCTTGTTGGATAATTTCTTTGGGGAAAAGCGCCGCTTATAAGAAACAGCTGCAGGCCGACAACGGCACCCCTCCAATTGTGGCTACAAGCGACGTTCCGACTAATCTTCAACAGCCTATTACTCATGACACAGAGGCTAGAACAAATTTCCGACAACGGGAGCTTGTTCGGTGGAGAATCTAGTTTTGAACTAATGCGATTTTTAGCCTGTATAATGTCCAGAATAGTGTCATAAGCACGCTTTGGCGGGTTTCTCTACAAATCGGCGTCTACAACACGTTCACACTCTAAATTCAGCGCTGGTTGTTCCCAAGCCAAGAGAGTCTTTTGAGACATCCCAACTGCAAAAGTTTGTAAAACCATAACCTCGGATTGCGAAAAATTCGTTAAAGACTTAGTAGTTCCAGATCATATTCAATTATTTTATCGTTTACCGGTATTCTCAAAATAAATCTCAAGCAAGAAAGCTAAAGCTTTGTACAATGCAAGATTAAGCTTTGTTGACCACGCCGGGGGTGCGAATATTTCAAGCATCCCGAGACTACAAAGATTAAGATGTTATATATATTAATACCTAATAACTGAATTTAAAATAGAATATCTCCTGCAAAAATACTACCTATAGCATATCACGCCGATTGAACCTGATATTTAATCAATTGAAAGGCACGCCAATGGTCGGTTAGCAAATGTTACTATTTTCCAGCGCGCGGGCTCAAATGACATTTTAAAACCTTCGATAATTAAGCAAATAAATACTGTCCAAGAGCTGACTATATATGAGCATGTAACTTAACATTTCTGGTCTGCGCATAGCCTTGGACCGGGTGTAAAGCTGTACTCGCAAGCCATCACTACAATCGAATAATTATTTTGCAGAATACTTACAATCGATATCATATAGAGCCTAGATAGTGAGAAAACTCCTGAACACGCAATGTACCATTCCTTTAGTTTAACAGTCGATTTGACGTTCAGCTATATTTAAAATTAACACCCATAGGATATTTAGAAATCTTCAAGGCCTCGAAAGGAAATTCTGAGAAAATTTATGCGTAAAGCATTTACCATGAACCTAAGACTAGTTATACTTACAGCGAAGAATGATCGTTGTCCATTATCCTACCTCCCTTAGGTTGACTTTCCTAAGAGGACAATTATAATTTGTGACACAGCGTCCGATAGAGCATGGAATGGGCTCAGCTGTTGCATTTCGACACTCTTTGCGTTGCCTCCAACATCACAAAAGTCCAATTCATTACCACATCCCAACCTTCAACCTTCAACCTTCAACCTCACCACCACCACCACCACCATCATCGCCATCATCACCATCAACATGTCCCCCTCCCGGGGCCTCCGGCTCCTCCCCCTCGCCCGCCGTAGCTACTCCACCGCCGCCCCTCCAAAATCCCCCATCGAACTCCTCCGCCTCTCCCCCCACCGCCTACACATCTACCGTTCCAACTCCACAAACCCCTTCTTCAACCTCAGCGCCGAAGACTACCTCCTCCGCCACTCCCCACCAACCTCCACCCTCCTCTTCACCTACACAAACACTCCCTCCATAATCCTCGGCCGCAACCAAAACATCTGGTCCGAAGTCAACATCCCACTCCTAAACACCCCACCCTATAACTCCACAGTCCAATTAGTCCGTCGTCGAAGCGGTGGAGGAACCGTATACCACGATCTAGGAAATCTATGTTGGAGCGTTATCATGCCCCGTAAAGCCTTCGACCGGGATTTCTATGCAAACGCGGTGGTTAGGGCGCTTCATTCCTTGGGTGTTACGACGGCTATGGTTAATGAACGACATGATATTATACTTCGAAAGACTACCACATCACCGGATACGGGGAAGACGAAGGTAAGGGATAAAAAGGTTTCTGGATCGGCGTATAAGATTATTAGAGAGAGGGCGTATCATCATGCTACGTTACTTTTGAACTCGGATTTGGTGAATATTTCGGCGTTGTTGAGGAGTCCGCTTAAGGAGTTTATTACTACGAAGGGGGTGGAGAGTGTTAGGAGTCCTGTGGAGAATATTGGAGTTGCGAAGGAAGAGTTGGTGGGGAAGATTGAAGAGGAGTTTTTGAAGGCTAATGGGTGGAAAGAAGGAGATGAAGAGGTGGGGAGGGCGGTATTGGAGGAGGAGGAGACGGTTAGAGTGAGGGAGTATATTAAGGAGGGGATGATGGAGTTACAGGTTAGTCGTTTATATGCCCCCCTTCCTTCTTTTTTCTTCCATTTTATGGTGGCGGATTCCTTTGCTTTTACCTTTTATTATCAAGGAAACGTTTCTATATTGCTGCGATACCATGGTTTACAAACTATCTGGGACGCAGCAATCGTTTATTTTTTCTCTCTCTTCTTCTTCTTTTGTCACAAGATTCATGTATCCAATACATCTCAAATCCAAATGCAATCCATTTTCCTCTCGCTCCTCGTAAAACTATTTACCATGCATGCACACCCGTGATGAAAAGAAGAAACCCTCTGACGTGAACAACCTCCCTTATAAACAATCTCCTTCTATAAAACAATCTAGTCCCAAAAATGGCTATACTCCCAAACCCCAGAATTCACATTATCTCTCCCTGCCGGAACCACTCTACCAGAACTCCCCGGTCTCGCGGGTTTTCAACCAGTACTTCCTCCAACCGTAAGTAAACAACCCCCCCTCTAAGAATTTCAATTAACACCAAGAAACTAATATTCTATATATACAAAAAAAGAGTAAACTATCCCTCCTAACAACCTCCTCAACCCTACAAAATATCCAAATCTCAACCTCCCCAGATCCATCCTTTTCATTCGTTCAATCCCAAGAATCTCACATCCGTCTTCTACACACCCCTTTCAACGGTCCTCAAATCAACAAAAAACTACAAGAAATCAATTCTTTACCTGAAGATTATAAAATAGATGTGGGCAGGTGGTTGGAACATGCGGTGGGAGGATGGGGCGGTGAGGAAAAAGTCGATCTGTGGACTGATGGGAAGGGTGGGAAGAGTATGAGAGCTAGGGCTGCTGAGAAGGAAGAGGAGAGGAAGGAGAGGAGGGAGGCTGTAGGTTAATTCCCCCTTCCCCCGCTTTCCTTTTCTACAGGTAGATATTTTCGCTTGGTTTGATATATAGAGAGACTAATTAAAGACACCCTAGAACAAGAAACTGCAGGGTAGAGCAGCAGATACCAATAACATAGAAGATCCAGTGGTCACCGAGCAAACGAATGATACTACTACTACTGCTGCTACTACTGCTACTAGTCAATAGTAGTAAGCTACTAGGACCATGTATGTATTTATATTAGATCTATACAATAGAAATTTATGCCATAAAAGTCATTACACTCAAATCAGAAAAATGCATTGTTCTTTTCTTTTTTTTTCTTTGTGATCTTAATCTTCATCTAATGCTCCATCTCTCATGCATTGTAATACAAAAAATTCAAGGATATCCATATATTTGTAAAAGGAAAAGAACCCCTCCATCATGCATCGTAAACCCAAAAAAAAAAGAATAACCATCAGTCATAGTTTCAAAAAAAAAGAAACCTTAATTAGCAACAACATTCGACGGCCCAGCAGCAGCAGCTCCACCATCACCCCCCTTCTTCGCAGCTTCCTTCCTCTTGGCCTTCTTATCAGCCTTCTTCTTCTTCTCTTCCTGCTTCAAAGCCTCCTCAACTTTCTTATCCCCTCCATACTTCTGTTGCCACTCCCCTTCCTTCTTCATATCAATCATACTAAACAAATACTCCGCCGCTCCAATCCTATGCCCAACCTTCAAGTCCAACTCCCAAGTATCTGGAATGTTCCTTAGCGGCGCATTCAACTGTCTAGCGATCGATTCCGCCGTAGCCGGCATGTATGGATAACTCAAAGCCGATAGCAAGTAGATCAAGTTCAAGCCCAACCCGACGACAGCCGCAGTCTTAGCCGGTTCGGCCGCAAAAGTTGCGTTATCGAGTTTATTGTCCTGCAAGAATTGGTTGCCGCGTTGGGCAACCTGCATGAGTAATTCGGTTCCGGTACGGATGTGGACGGCTTCAAGTTCTTCAACGTATTCCTTCAACAGCTTATTAATATCCGCTTTGAATGAGTCAAAGGCAGGATCATTGCCAGCCGTGGTATAATCCGGTACAAGACCTTCATACTTTGCGATAGCGAACTTAACAAGTCTGTTAACAAAGTTACCAAATCTTGCCAAAAGCTCGCTGTTGTTCTTATAGATGAAATCTCGCCAGATGAACTGTGTATCACCGGTCTCGGGTCTCGAGGCAAGGAGATAGAATCTCCATACGTCAGCTGGAACACCAGTATCTTCTGCATTGTTACCAAAGACACCAACGTTTCTCGATTTCGAAAACTTCCCGCCTTCGTATTGGAGATACTCAGTGGTGGAGATATGGTGTACCATGGTCCATTTATCGCCCGTACCAAGTTGCGAAGATGGGAAGATGACGGAGTGGAAGGGAACGTTATCTTTACCCATGAACTGGTAGAGCCTGACGTTGTCGGGGTCTTTCCACCATCGTTCCCATTCGGGTGTGTATGTTGCGGTGATGGAGACGTATCCAATGCAGGCGTCAAACCAGACGTACAGCACTTTCTTTTGGTAATCTTCAAATCCTTCCTTTGGTAATGGTGTACCCCATGATAGATCTCTTGTGATAGCTCGCTTTTGAAGACCCTCCTTCAACCAGGATTCAGTGATCATTTTACCATTACGGGCCCAGGCACCCTCGACGACGGACTTATTGAACCATGCTTCTTCTTGTGGCTGTAGCTTGCCGAGCTCGAGGTAGATGTGTTTGGTGGGTCGGACGACAGGTGTAGCATTATCGAGTTTGCAGCGAGGCTTGATAAGCTCCATAGGATCGAGAAGAGTTCCACACTTATCACACTGATCACCACGGGCGTCATCATAGTTGCATTTAGGACAGGTGCCCTCGACATATCGATCAGCAAGGAAACCATCATGCTGTTCGCAGTAAAGCTGGGTAATCGAGTCTTCAGAAAGGTATCCGTTCTTGTGAAGTTTCAAGAAGATATCCTGAGCAATTTCCGTTTGTTCAGCTGTGGTCGTACGACCGAAGTGGTCGAAACCGATATTGAACCATTTGTAAACCGCCTTGTGAAGGGCGTTATACTTGTCGCAGAGTTCGCGAGGCGTAACTTTCTCTTCAAGGGCTTTCGTTTCGGTCGCGGTACCGTATTCGTCCGTGCCGCAAACGTAGAGACAGTTGTAGTTACGAGCTTTGCAGTAACGGGAGTAGACGTCGGCGCTGAGGACGGATCCGATGATATTGCCAAGATGTGGGACATTGTTGACGTATGGGAGGGCAGAGGTGATGAGAACGTTTCGCTGTCCAGGGATTGGGAGACTAACGGGTTATACATACGTCAGTAGAATTCTTCAAGAAAACATCACAGGGGAGCGGGGATGCTTACATCTTCTCACCATCCTTATAAACCTTCATCTCAATTCCATCTCCAAGCTTCCTATCGGCAACAGTGCCAACAACAACAGGCTTCTTTTCAACCTTTGGAGCAGTTCCAGCAGCTCCCTTCACCGCCTTTGCGGAAGAATTATCAGCAGGTGCTACTGTAGTCATAGCTGCAGCTTTCTGAATGCCTTCAATAGCCCACTCGCTACCCAACGTCTTTCGGAACCAAGTTTTTAACTGTGGGTGTTTATCAAGAATACTCGGCGAAGCACCAGCCGTAGAATCGTAAAGCGTCGAGAAGAGGATGATTTGTGCAGGTGAAACAGCAGCAGCAGTCTACTCAACCCCCCAAAAAAACCATCAGTTAGTCACCCAATCCCCACAAATACCACGATGATTAATCAATATAGAATAATAAAAGAGATGGAAAAATAATACCCCTACGATACCACTCTTAACCAACAACTGTTCGGCCAAATCCAGTACGGTCGAAAGCTCACTAATTCTCGGCCGTAACACCAGCTCTTCCCACTCGATCCAAGCGTCGTCCGGGGCTCTTTCGGCCTTAAACCCGGCTCCACCGACCCGAGCGAGGTACCTTACAATAGCGTTTATATCAACGATAGTTACACCCTCCTTTGGTGCTTCTAACGATACAGCGGTGTCGGTTGCTAAATCCAATTCTCATAAAATAAGATTAGTCTCTTAACTAGTGAATGAACGAACGGATAGGTGAATGGATGGGTAGGCCGGTTGATTGATTAATCGATTGATTGGTGGAGGAAGTTATCAGACGGGAGAAGACTGTTGGAGGACATACACTTGCAGAATTGAACCTGATCGGCCTGAAAAGCGGTAATAGCACAACAAGCTTTCAGAGCCTGAGCGAAAGCGGGAGAACCGCGAGGGGCGACGGTGGGGATGTTGAGCTTGAGGCTTGTCGCCATTTGCAAGACTTATTTTCGGACCTAGAAAAACAGCGACGATGGCGATGGTGGTGGTGGTGGTGGTATCGTAAATAGAAGTTGGGGGCTGTAGCTAAGCTAAGAACCAAGAATGATGATTTTAGATTGACACGGAGAGCGAGAGAGAATAAGAGTTGTGAATGGGGTTAAAGTTGGTGACAATCGGGTTGGTCTGCTACGAGCTACGAGCTACAGCTCTCGTGGTTATCGATAGTGGAATAAATTTTAAAGCTTCCAATGCGAGGTATGTTAGACTCGACCTGACTCACATCCATCCATTCATCTAGTCCGATCGTATGTACGGCCATGACCATGCCATGGTGGGGTACTTGTCCATGTATGTATGTCAGTATGTAAGTACAGGGCGGGGTACTTCATATCGTCCCAAAACGGGGCAATTGGCACAACATCTCTTCAAACGTAGCCCTCTCCAACTCCTTCCTTTTCAAAGCCCCCCAGGATCCAAACCATCTTCAAAATCAATATAAACAAATAATAAAATAAAAATAAAATAAGATAAGATAAAATAACATGACAGACATCCTAGACTCAGTCCTCAACCTCGAGGAAGAGTACGTGCCCCCCTTTCTCCCTATCAAAACCGCCCCTCAATCCCCATCACATCACTTCTTTAAAAAAATAAAATAAAAATACCACACTAACAACACAAAATAAAGCTACTACACCCTCGGCCACACAGAAGGCACCCTCGCCGGCGCCACAGCCGGCCGTCTAGAAGGCCGCGCATTCGGCATAGAAAAGGGTTTCGAAAAGTACCTAACCCTCGGCATCATCAAAGGCCGTACCAAAATCTGGGAATCCAGAACTTCCCCTTCTTTACAATCATCATCATCATCACTTGACCCCCAAAAAATAACAATCACAAACCCCCGCCACTTAAAACACCTAGAACTCCTACAAACTCTATCAACTACTCCACCAATCCGTAACGAAGAAGATGATGTAGAAGAAGTCGATGATAGGATAAGAAGGGGGAAAGCCAAAGTTAAGATTTTGGAAAATACTTTGAGGGAGGGTGTACCACTTGATGAAGATGGTGAAGAAAATGAAGTTGAAGTTGAAAGGGATGGGAGGACCCCTAAGAAATTGGGGTCAGGGGTAGCTATATCCGGTGCTACAGGATTGGAAACCGAATTCGAAGACTTCAAGATACGGAGGAGCTAAAACAAAATCTCTCCTTTTTTCCCCAAAGAAATTACATTATTCGGTCAGAATATATCTCTCCCACGGAAGGGGGAGAAAGAACGGCTACGTCCTTTAAAAGTTCCATGTTTGATTGAGATACAAGTAAGTAGCTCCTACAATGCCATACCAGGTAGTTATTATTGATAAACATGCTAACAATCTCTATAAGATCTATCCAGTACCAGATACCTACTACATAGGAAATTGAGAAATATGATATAATCCACATACCTACCTAAATACTTCAGTATGTATATAGAATCATATGTACCCAACTCACAGAGATACCAATCCAAGACCGCGATAGCTTTTTCGTGTCTATTTTATCTTCCTTCTACCTTCATTCTTCTTTCAGATTACACCTTAAACCTCATATCGATATATATCAAATCACATCTACAATCTACACAAGAAACAAATCTTTGACGGGAAAAAAAAAGTATGACATTCCCCTCAGTCCCCTGCTACGCATGAATGAGGACTATCTACAGCCAGAGAATGCCAATACAAAAAAAATAACCCCAAAGAATGACAAAAAAGAAAAACAAAAGAAATCCCCCCCCAGACTCCCCCTCCCACATCCTGCCAAACACCACCGGTTACGAAAGCTATTCTACTCAATCACCTTCCCAAAGATAACCCCCCTTTTATCTCACACAGCCCCAACCAATGCGCACCCCCTATCCAAACCCTTGTCCAAGTGTATGTACACCCCCGAAGGAGCTTCAACCTCGCTAGGACGGCTACAGAGAATGGAAAGAAAGTGCCACCGATTAAGGAAGAGACTGTGCGAGGAGAGGAACCATGGTACGTACTTCTCTCCTGCAATCACTCCCAACAAGCCAAAGGACTACAAAACCGCTCAACCCGCTTTCAGGAACTTATCCAATCCCCCGCCCCGAGAAGTCCCCTACTTTGCATCCCAAAGAATGAATCCCTAGCATCAAAGGTTAAGATCGCAGAGTCCCCAGCACGCAGCTGAAAGGAGCATCAACGAAACCAATGCAAACCAAGGAAACCTCGATCTTCAGCAAAAGTAAAGAAAATCAAGGAACAAGGAAAAGGAAAGCCCTTCAACGGGGACGTCCCGGTATGCATCTTCGGCTTGAAGAAAGAAACCACATAGGGAAGTAGGAACATACCTGACCGGACCCGCAATAAACCAATGCATACCCGAAGATACCACCAGTTGAGATCATGCAGAGTCACTTATCTTTGAGAAAAGCTTCTTTCGAATAACCAACCAGCGCCTGTCGCAGGGAAAGATTGGGGGTCTCCACCAAAAAAAAAAGAAAAAAAAAAGAAAAAACTCCCCCACACCGACCCAGATAAAAGAATGAAAGGGGAGGAAACCCACATGAGGCGTTCCGACCAATTAGTAACGCTGGAAGGAACGTCTGCCCCTCATGTAGGGCTTCACCGCAGATTTCATGCGGTCCTCGTAGCGTTGATAAAACGCACGCTCCTTGCCGAGGTCCAGGCCACAGGTGCTATGTCGAGCATCCCTGTGGGAGATTGGGATGTACCTCGGGAACGAATCCACCGAGGACATAGCGGACGGAACATCAAGTTCCTCCGGCATCCCAGTCTCAGGACCTGCGGAGCAGACGAGGCTCCCCTGAGTTGGAGTCGTTGCAAGCGAGGCGACTTCGCTCGAGACCTCGATGGCAACAGTCGAGGGAGCGGCGGCTGGTGGTGTCAATTGTCGGACGCGGGCGCCCTTTGGACCAGCGGCGGTCGAAGTAGGAGACACAGGCAGCTCAGTCTCCTTGGACAACTCCTCCCACGGCACCATGACGGGGTCGCAAAGATACTCGGCCGGGATATCTCGGTTGACCGGTACTTTGTCGTCAAAGTGAACCCCATCTTCGTCATAGTACCATGGAATTTTACCATCGGGAGCATCCCAGACGAAGCCTTCGAACGGATTCTCAGGCTTGTCGTCCAGTCCGCAATCGGTGTAGTCCGAGGTGAAGAGTCCATTCGACATCGCCTCGCTTGCAACTGCAGCCCCACGGAGGGTTCCCGACACCTTTAAACCCACGATCCTTCGCATTAGCGTTAGATTAGAGGGGGTGGGGGAGAGGACTGGCGTGCCCTCCGTGTAGCTGAGAGCCGACCTGGCCGGTTCACAAGGAACACTGGTGGCCGTTGGTTGCGGCTCAGCGGACTGGAGTTCGACAGCCCTAGTTCCGAATCGTCTGAAGAGGGTGGTGAAACCAGTGGAGATGTTCTTCGCGATTGCTTCTCCTCCTTTCCGAAGACTCCCAGCGAAGGTCGTGACAGTCACATCAGCCACCGTATCATGAATTGGCGCCTCAGTTTCTGCACAAGGGGGAAGACCTGCAGGAACTTGGTCGGAGTAGAAAACGGAACTTGCACCAAAACTCGGCGAGAAGAATAACGAGTTGGTGGATTTAAATGCCTGCATAGAGATGTTGCTGGCTAAACTCAGTGAACTGAGTGAACTCAAGGCGCCCAAAGAAGAGAGGGAACCGACAGTGAGGAAACCAAATGTAGACGCTGGTTCCTTCTGCCGTGCGCCATTTCTGACATGAGATGACTTTGGCTTTCCATTCTTAACCGTAATAGGATTGTTCTCAGTCGATTCAATGTCAGAGACGTCGGGAGATGACTTATCCCATGGAGACTTGTAGAGGGTCTCAGATTCGAGACGTCTTCGAATGCGTTCCATTTCAAGCTTCAAGAACGGTACACCAGAAAAAATCGGGGAGATTGAACGATCCGGTTGCGGGTTCAGCAAAGGTGACGCAGGTGGTGAGATTAAAATATCGACAAATCCAAATTCGTCCGGCTGTGAAGGTGGTTGAATATCATTCTCTCCATCAGGGCCAGAAACCGATGCATCGTCCGCTGCAAGTTCAAATTCGTCGGGGTCTAGAAGCTCAGAGGGTTCAGCTGGCTTCCGGGGCGACGGGAGCCTCGGGGGCTCAGCAAAAGACGGACTGAGAACATCGTTAAGGACTTGCATAATCGAGGGAATTCTTAGATTCCCCGGTGAGACATGTCGATTCTGGCGGGTCTTGTTTACCGCGAGCCTGCTTTGTGCACTGTCATATTTTTGGCCAAATATTAGCATTGCATCACTAGTATTTATGAAGTATATTTTTAGAAATATGGAAGAATTTACATACGGAGATGGAATCCGAGGCGATCTAGGCGACCAGGTACCTTGGCCGTAGACCATAGACTCTTCATCCGACGGATAAACAGAAGATCGTGATCGGTCATCTTGGAAAAATAATCTCATTTTCTTGGACTTTTGAGTGCCGCCTAGCGGTGGCGTTGTGCAGGCAATATCTGGAGCCGCCAGAGCTGCAACGATCTCGTCGGTATCTGCTTCAGAAATCGCTGTATTTTCTCCAGTCTGTCGAAGAGCCGGCAGAGGCCAGTCGTTGTGGTTAGAAACCCGACGTAAATCCAGGTCAAGAGTCCAACTGTGACCGGGATTGGAAAGATGGCGTGGTGAAATATGAGCGATCTGAGGGAGGCGGGGCTCATTTTCGTCGTCATCATCGAGGAATGGGGTGTCAGAAGGTCCGTCAAATGTCAAATGTGGGTTTGGTGGTACAGCCAGAGGATCCTTGATAAGAACTTGGTTTAGATCTTTGCCCATGAGATCTCCGCCATGGTCTTTTTGGGATTGCTGCAGTTGTTCCCCGGACTTCTGCTCTAGTTCGAGCTTATCGGCTGCTTCAGCTTCCTCCTGAAGGCGAGCAAGCTCTTTCCCTTCTTGATAGAAGGCCTCGATTTCTTCCCAGGTGGGTTTCGGATACCGACGACGGGTTGTTAATTGCCGGACGGTCTTTGCGACCCTCACAACCATGGGTGGCTCCACCAGGCCCGGTTGTGTATTAATGACAGCATCAGTGCGACTCTGATACTGTCCCTTACTACTACTGTTTTCTCCGCTACGGCCACATCCGCAGCACCCGACTAACTTGCTAACCAATTCCATCGCGTGTGTTGACGTGTATGTAAAGACGTAACAAAGGGGAGTACGGTCGAGCTGTGAAAGAAGAGATTGAAGGAAGAGATAGATGAGGAAGGGGTGAAAGGTGTTTTCTGGTAGTCGAAAATGGAAGAGTGGACTCAGAGGGGGGAAGGTGAGACGGGGAGAGAAGAAGAAGGGAAATAAAAGGGAAAGAAAGAGACGGCCTGGGAGGGCTTGGTTTATGGCGGGGAGACGAGGAGGCCATATTAATTATGGTGTATTTTGCCATCCCGTCTATTTTTTATTTATTTATTCACCTCTCAAAAGAAAATATTATATACATTGGCTATCAATTCAATTTCCTTAATACTCCTTTTATTCATTATTTATTTTATTTTATTTTATTTTTATAAGTTATGGTTCCCCAGGTGCCTTCTATTTATTCTAGCCTTTTGCCAGACCGATGATTTTCAGGAGTGTCATGACGTTGCAAAGATACAGTAGATCATTATTAACTTACTCCCAGATTATATTGTATATCTAACAGCTAGGCGGACTGTGTATAAGCATACGGCACCTTTCTCAGCTTGCCGAAGCGTTTTAATACAAGATTAGATACCTTTATGATTTATACCACGGCATTTTAAACACAAGACTAGGCATTTTATATCTAATTGACCGAATTATATACGCGTATCGATTAATTCTCCCACAACACCCTCTGCCATCCACAGAGCGTTGGAATTTGTGTGTTGCATGATGTTGGGATTTCCCGTTCCAGCAGCTTATCGATAAGAAGCTAGCAAGCTGCACCGACCTCCAAACCCACACGGGCAGGTACAACTTAGTTCAACTGGGCCAGATTCACGATAACCATTACGAAATACATTCCTCGAGTAAGCAGACAGATATAAGACATCAGCATTCCTCATCTCGGACTTCACTCCGCAGTTCCACAGCAGCTGCAAATGCAGACGCAACAGACCTAGATTTAGTCTGATTATGTATGTGCAACCGTTTGACGCCGGACTGTCTCGAAGTTTCCAGAACGAGCAAAATTTATAGACCGGGGTCCTGACAGGCGCGATATCGGCAGCCCGCCCGGTTAGTTAGGGACTGGTCGTGATATCTGCAGTGGATGGTGAATGTGATTCGTCCCATCGTATGCCTCTTAGGACTCATTTCATTGGCCCTGCCCCCTCAACAAGCTAGTAATTGCATGTAACTATCGGAAACCCCGGCTAAAGCTTCTGTCTCGAGCTCGACCGGTGTGAACCGTAAACCGCAAACCGGTGGGGTCGAGTTCGAAGGAGCTAGTTTTCGACCCCAAAAAAAAAAAAATCAATTCTGGAGTGAGGTGCAGCGGTGCAGAGCTTTTGCAGGTGGCAGGCTTTTGCAGGCTTTTGCAGGTGGCGGGGTCCCAATACAATTGCCAATATTTGTATTTAATTCGAAAAATTTTCCCTTCTTGTTCCTACCCCTCTTCCTCTTCCTCTCTTCTTCTCCTCCTCCACCACACTCTATCAACTACCTCATCTCCAAATTCCTTTCCAAGATTTCGTTCATCAGGAAGAAAGGTTTATCTAAAATCTTCATCATGGTTCAATCGTAAGTCATCATTGAGACATCAAATTCGATGGATTGCGCGCGTATTAATGTCGCTGTCTTTGTCCAGATCTGTTCTCGGTTTCCCCCGTATGGGAGGTATGTCACAAGAAAACCCGCGTCTCTCCTCCGAGTCATTGAGGCTTTGGTGGGTATTCAATTGCATCCACTAACTTTTCCGTAGCCAACCGTGAGTTGAAGAAGGCTACCGAGTCCTACTGGGCCGGAAAATCCTCCGTCGAGTCTCTCATCGAGACTGGCAAGACCCTCCGAGCTGCCCACTGGAAGATCCAGAAGGATGCTGGTGTTGATATCATCCCCAGCAATGACTTCTCTTTCTACGATCAGGTCCTTGACCACATCCAGCTCTTCAATGTACGTCTCTTCTCTAACCCAATTGACGCGTCTCGTAACCCCTCGCTAATATCAGTCTGTACACAGGCTGTTCCTGAGAGATACACCAAGTACAATCTATCCCCCCTAGAGACCTTCTTTGCCATGGGCCGTGGTCTCCAGAGGAAGGCTACAGATACCACTGAAGCCGTCGATGTTACCAGCTTGGTATGTTACTCCCTTCCTACCTATAGTAACTTCCCCGCCCTAATTACGTAATGAACAGGAAATGGTCAAATGGTTCGACAGCAACTACCACTATGTCCGCCCAACTCTCCAGGATAACCAGACCTTCAAGCTCTCTGGCACCAAGCCCATTGATGAGTTCAACGAGGCCAAGGAGCTCGGAATTGTCACCCGTCCAGTCGTTCTCGGACCTGTCTCTTTCCTCCACCTCGGAAAGGCTGACCGTGGCCAGACTGTTAACCCAATTGACTTGCTTGACAGCCTCCTCCCAGTCTACGAGGAGCTTCTTACCAAGCTCGCCGAGGCCGGTGCTGAGACCGTCCAGATCGATGAACCAGTCTTGGTTCTCGACCTCCCAGAGAAGACCAAGAAGGCCTTCGCCACCGCCTACTCCAAGCTCGGAGCTTTGGCTAACGGTCCCAAGCTGGTCTTGGCTACCTACTTCGGTGACATCGTCCACAACATCGACGTCGTCCCATCGATCAACCACCTCTACGGACTTCACATCGATCTCGTCCGTGCCCCTGGTCAGCTTAAGGATGTCCTAGCTGCCGTTGGTGAGAAGCAGATTCTCTCTGCCGGTGTCGTTGACGGACGTAATATCTGGAAGACCAACTTCAGCAAGGCCATCGGCCTCGTTGAGACTGCCGTCGAGGCTCTCGGAGCTGACCGCGTCATTGTCGCTACCAGCTCTTCCCTCCTCCACACCCCACACACTCTCGCTTCGGAGAAGAAGCTCGCCGCTGATGTTGCCGACTGGTTCTCCTTCGCTTCTGAGAAGGCCAAGGAAGTTGCCATCATTGCTAAGGCTGTCACTGAGGGCTCTGATGCTGTCGCTGAAGAGCTCAAGGCTAATGCTGCCTCTGTTAAGGCCCGTGCTACCTCCGAGCGCACCAACGATGCTGCCGTCAAGGACCGTCAAGCTGCCATCACTGAGGCCGACTACAGCCGCAAGTCCCCATTCCCAGAACGTATTGCTGCTCAGTCCAAGACCTTGAACCTCCCCAAGTTCCCCACCACCACCATTGGTTCCTTCCCACAGACCTCTGAGATCCGTGTTCAACGAAACAAGTTCACCAAGGGAGAGATCACCGCCGAACAGTACGAGAAGTTCATCGAGAAGGAGATCGATGATGTCATCGCCATCCAGGAGGAGATCGGTCTCGATGTCCTCGTCCACGGCGAGCCAGAGCGAAACGACATGGTTCAATACTTCGGTGAGCGCCTCAACGGCTACGTCTTCACCACCCACGCCTGGGTCCAGTCTTACGGATCTCGTTGCGTCCGTCCACCAATCATCGTTGGTGACATCTCTCGTCCAGCTCCTATGACCGTCAAGGAGTCCAAGTACGCTCAGTCCAAGACCAAGAAGCCAATGAAGGGTATGTTGACTGGTCCAGTCACCTGTCTTCGATGGTCCTTCCCACGTGACGACGTCCACCAGTCCGTTCAAGCCGAGCAGCTCGCTCTCGCTCTCCGTGACGAAGTCGTCGACCTCGAGAAGGCCGGCATCTACGTCATCCAGGTCGACGAGCCAGCCATCCGTGAAGGTTTCCCTCTCCGTGACGGCAAGGAGCGTGACGAGTACCTCAAGTGGGCTGTCAACAGCTTCAAGCTCTCCACCGCCGGTGTCGAAGACGGTACCCAGATCCACTCCCACTTCTGCTACTCCGACTTCCAGGACATGTTCTCCCTCATCTCCGACCTTGATGCCGATGTCTTGTCCATCGAGAACTCCAAGTCCGATGCCAAGCTCCTCAACGTCTTCAAGAAGGAGGAGTACCCACGTCACATTGGACCCGGTGTCTACGACATTCACTCCCCCCGTATCCCAAGCTACGAGGAGATCAAGAACAGAATTGAGGAGATGCTTGCCTACCTCAAGCCTGAGCAGCTCTGGATCGACCCTGACTGCGGTTTGAAGACCAGACAGTGGACTGAGACTAAGCCTGCTCTCACCAACTTGGTCAATGCTGCCAAGTTCTTCCGTGAGAAGTATGCTTAAATTTCCATCATGACTATTATCTACCTCTACTACTTGACGGCTTTCAACGAACGACATGAATAACAATCAATGAAAGTTCTACGACGGCCTTCCTCTTCCTCCTCTTCTCCTTCGCGTTTGCTCTTTTTTATTTCCTCTACTCTTTATTTTTATTTTAACGGCATATCGGGCGTGACCAATCTTGATGAGATTCAACATCGGCGTTTAAAATGTGTCTTTTTAATTACTCCTCTTCTTTTTAACATAATGGCGGGATACCTTTTCAACAAAATATTTGGGATATCAAACTGGCGGGTCGGTGGGAGTGTTTGTTTTTTTTCAACAAAAGTTTCTTTTTAATTAAAATGTACTTTAATGTACCCCAAATGGTAGTCATTTGACTGCTATCTATGGAGGTTTCTCTTGGACTTTTATTGTAAGTCTTCGGGAGCCTGGGCGGCTGGATGCTCTTTTTTGGAGATAGTATCTACCGTCGATGGTGGAGGTGGAGATCTCGTCAACCGAGAAGAATAGAATGGAGCGGTACCTTCGGGACCCTTTTGAACAAGACTTTCCTGGCTTTTAGATGTCGTAAATTCGTAGACCTATAGAGCAGAGCTGGCGTTTTACGCCCTAGCCGCCGAGTAACATCGAAGGCATGGCCAACTTTACTAAATACCTAAAAAACTAGACTACTAAATACCTATATGAAGAGAATGCATGGCATAATGTCACAACTAGGATCGATAGGAACATCACACTTGTAATACTAGGCCATCGACTATATTCAGCTTGATGTTCTTGTAAAAGACGATCATATGATATTTTGCAACATGAATCAAGGTTATGTGAATATTATGCATAGAAGACAGAGATGTTGTTATTATGAAGCTATCACTCTCGTAGCCAGAGCTAGTAAGTATCAATCACAATATTAGAATCTAAATTTAAACTACTTTCGAGACAATCTAAAGATTATTCTATATAATGCATTAATGCTAAAATAAATCCCACGATTCGAGCTGAGACTCCTTCTTTTTTGTGGCCAGAAATCTTATTTTCAAGCGGTCGATGCGATGATGAAGCTAGTAGAGCCCTGGACTAAGCATATAAACCACGAATACGCTCTTTGCGCTAAAGATGAATGTAGTATTGTTCTTTAGGTCCGGTTTGGGCGGATGTAGTGGTGTTTCAGTGCAGTTGGAATTAAGGTATGCACATTGAGGCTACGGCGACGCTATGGCGGCGCTATGGCGGAGCTATGGAGAGACTACAGTGACACTACAACGACGCTATAGATACGCTACGGCGACATTATATCGACTCTATAGAGACATTACAACAATTCCCTAGAGCTACTATAATAACGGCATGAACCGTAATCCTAAAGCGATATAAAACAAAATATTAATAACACCAATTACAACTGGTATAATATAATCTTTACAAAACTAATTAAAAAGGAAGGTATCGATTATGATACCGTAGCATCTCGATGGAGACATTCTTTACAATTCGTTGGATAACTACCTAGTTAGATAGCTTACAAAAACAGTAGGCTGTGGGTTTTCAACATCTAACTCGCACTTGCTTGGTCGTAGTGCTCGAGCGTTCGCCATCAAGCTAGCTGCACATCATCACCTTTTTGGATCCATGGTGCTACGAAGGAGGGGATTTGGCCCGCGAACATAGCCTACAGCCCCGAAGTTAGACAAAAATTGTCTTCTATAAGATAACAACCTAAAAAGCATTACATCTAGATATCTAAAAAATATTTAATGGATAACATTCCAAGATGGATAAAACACTAAAAACGTGGCTTTGACATGTTGGATTTATTCTTTGGTTAGTGTTTTTGTTGGACTGTTGGATTTTGGAAAGGATATTGCATACCCCCCACGCGCTAACGTTCACGAAAGCTAGATAGGCGAAGAAAAAAGTTGGATCTCATGTTCCAATGTTAGGTCAAAAAAATCAGCAAAAGTTATTCCGTCTGTGCGGACGGGAAGAGGGCATCGAGATTCCCAACTGCACGGGCGTAAAGTGTGTGTGGACCTGTGTAACGAAAATCCAACATCAAACAATTCAAGGCGGAATCGCGAACGTTCGAACAGGAAAGTATGCCGAAAATGCTTACCGATCCATGTCAAGCAATACCAGGCTTGTCGAAAAGTAGGGGTACTTGAACAAAAGAAAATGAAACTATAATCATCTCAATCGAAACAATCGGAAACGAAGTATGGAAATTCCGAGTTGAGAGCAATTTTGGGGAAACCAAGAACCAAGACGAAAACCCCCCAAACCTGGTCTGCTCAATTATGTCTTGCAGCCTTGAACCGGTCATTAACCAGCTAGTTAACAGTGATTTCTTCAAACCGTGCCGAAATTTCGACATCTGGTATTCAGTATGTTTTGCTGCAGGTGTAGAGACGTGCATACAACGACTGCTGGGGTAGTTCTGCAAGTCGTTCGTATTCGAGGGTTAACAGACGGTAGTTATACCGACAATCATCTTGGGGGTTCAACGTTCGCAGTGTATGATCACGATAACGGGAAATCATGTGCATGCATGACCACGGCGTCTAACTTCTTACCCCCAGAAACCCTTCTGCATCAATACCTTTTCCTTTTCCGTTCTTCCTTTCCATGCATGCCTAATCTGGCAATACTCCCGTCTAGACCGTCACGTTTCTTTCGTAGGCCCTAGTTGAACTCTTTTTCCTTTAAACCCGAGGAGGGATTCCTGTACATACGTTACTTCGTGGCCTCTCATGCACTCCGCGTTTTTAATATAGAAAAACGAGAATTGGAAGAAGGTTGCACCCTGAGAGTTTTATCGCCCCTCTCTGTTTTTTTGTCCACTATCAAATTATTCCCTTTTTTAATATATCCGTAACGGTTAATCTACCCAGACCTCGCAATACAAATTACAACGGGGCGAAGTTGTGTTGAGGGCCTAATATGACAATCACGGGGGGCAAGCAGGGTTGTGGATTCCCGGCAGGCTTATTTCGTTCCCGAGAGGGGAAAAAACGGTTTTGCGGGGGGGTTATTATAGGCTTTCGAAGTGTGGGTAAAAAGAGAAAGTGTTTAAGCGCCCGTCGGTCCTATTTCTCTGATCTTTTTCTTCTTCCCAGGTTGTAATATATCTTATGAACCTTGAAGCCTGAAGACGATCTTGAGTTCTACTTAGCCCCTCGCGAAGAATAATATAATTATAATGGCTCATTATGGTATTTCAGGCGATGGCGGGGAGAGTTTTTTTTGTATCTTTATGTCGTATCGAATTTGATTTTGTATTGGTCTTTTGGAGCTAGCTAGGATACTGGGGTTATGGCTTAATGCAAGTATATTAGATCGTTGGGTTTTCGGAATCGTAGAAAGATGATCGCGAGTAAATGGTTTCTCGGGGTTTGGAGGATTTTCGGATGAATTATAATTATATTATTTGGAGATCTTATAACTACTTGGTTTGTTCTTACGTTTTCGGTGCTTCTAAGGTGATATATTCCCGGATATCGGATCTGAGGTATTGCTAGATCGATTACTGTGCCTAAAGGCCGGTTAGAAGTTTTGTGCTTCGGGTTATAATTTGTAGACGGTTTCTGTTTCCGATTCGTTTTGATGGGTAAATACGAAAAATGTGATCTACGTAAGCTGACTTTTAAGGTCAATTGACAGGCTGGGCTGACTCGCTTTGGCATAATGTTATTTTGCAATATAGCACCATGATATAGATATATATACGGGGATAAGAAATGTAAGATATCGAAGAACGACACGGGACGGAATATAAACCGATAGAAACAAACTCGGAGTTCGGAAAACCATGTAACATTTGAAGAAACATCTGGACCAGGGTGCTTTTTGTGTTTCTCTGAATTCATGAAACGTTTTTGCAAATTTGAGAGGTGCCCCCAAAAATTTGTTATATGCATCTATATCGATTCTTTAAAATCAGATGTCTTTAGAAAAAGTATTTACTTCATGCTGGAGATGTTTCAATCACTACTCGCTTCTCTATGTTAACGTTAGCCCTTCGGGCCCAAGTGGATTGTTTTTCTGGGGTATACGTGAACCGTGGTTCACGAGACGCATGTAAAACCGTTTATGTTCCTCGGTCGAGGGTTTCCGGTTTCATGCACGATATACTCGCTATGAAAGTATGGGGGGCAACGAGCCATGGAGTCGCTTGCATGTACGCATACAGAAGTGGGGCTCTAATACGAATCTATACGAAGCCTCCATGGTAGTCGCAACGAAGGTCTTAATCAATACCTTTCATCTGTGTTTTTCTTTCTGATGTCGATTATTGGTTTTGATGCGGGGCAATGAGGGGCTCTGCGACTGAGGAATATAACATGTTATGCGCACCATCAGGTTATAATTATCTTTTGTACAATTAATTGGTCTTGTAATGTTGAATCCACGGGGGCCCAGTATTAATACAGTTCCCGGAGAACGTGGAAGATCAAAAACGAGGTTGACTACGAACTCATCCCAGACCTCTGTGAGATGCATAGTATACCGAGAATAAGATGTTGTATCACGGGTCGGCAGCAATACCGTTACAATGAGTCCACCAACTAGATTAGCTTTAGCTGACTAACTTAAGGTCTGTGATGATATAAACACTAGTGGAGATTTATAAACCGGAGTTAAAACACCATGATCCCTTCACCACTCACCAAATCACGCCTCAGTGATCAAGCCATATGGCCATCAGGTGAACTTCAACGTTTTTTTATATAATTTTAACCTAAAAAAACACATTAAATAATTTAAAGTCACACACACAAAGTGGCGTGACGGATCAACCGACCCTCCAGGATAAATGTTAAATCAATGACAGCTAACGAGCTGCAAGACCGTTCGAAGCCCGAGTGCGATTCGGCTCGCCTACAAAGCACAATTCTACAATTCCAATCGCATTGGATCGAGAAAAGAAGAAGAAGAACTCCGAGTGCGATTCCTCTCACTCACACTCCTTTGTTATCTGACTTGATCGATATCACCAATAC